CTATATTTGCTTTCCTGAAAAAAGACATCTGCAGTTCCCGCATGTTCCGCCTAGGGGGTAAGGTGTCTCGATTTTAGTTGAGATAGAGGGGTAGGATGAAGTGTTAAAGCCACATGGCCCTCCAAACGGAGTGTTCTCAGAAAAAAAGAAAACTGGCAAGATGGCTGCGCAAGCGACCAACGAAACCCACAAATGTGAGTATTTTATCCATTAAAAAACATGATAACTATTGCTTTATCTTCGTTTAATGTCGTTTGAATGTGTTATGGTCCTAGCTAAATTGCCTGTTCCACCTTAAACAGTCCAGCATTACTGACGCCTGAAGCGCCAGAATGTAACTGCTGCTCCATTTAAGGTGGAACGGGAAAATACGAACAAGAAGCTGCCGAATAGCTGTATGTGAGCCCGCATTTCAACCCCTCTCTCTTAAGCACATAACTCACCTACTAGTTCCATAGTAGATACGAAATAATTCATAGCTATGGATTACAAGTCTTAGCATCAAGGGGCTTAGATCATGGAAAAAAAAACTCATTTTTACAAGTTTGATCCAGTTTATAAGCACTGTTACAAGTTAAAACATATTGTTCACTCCAAAGTCCACATATGGAAACTAAGCTGCCTGTTTGGTATTCACTGTCTTTGTGTCTCACAAAATCCAACACATTTGCATTTATCCACCTGTACAACCTACAGCAATCTATCCCAGCCCATTCTGAAGTTATAAGGAGTGATGCAGCCTAGACTGCCATTAGAATGAGGCACACTACAGGACAGCCAATAGCAACAGAGATCATTTGCATATACAGTCCTAAACGCACAGCAACAAAAACAGCCTGTATCATTCTAAGGCAGAGGTGTCAAACTCAACCACTAAAAGGGCCATGTTAAAAAAAACAACAAATCAGGGGGCCAGCTGTGTTTTATTTAACCTCTACTTAAGATTTTGCCGTGACCCCAACTGGCCATTGTTTGTTCAAAACATGCCAAACTACAACGGCAAAAAATAGGCACTGAATATCTGAATGATTTAAAGGTCATTTTAAATAAAAACTAATTGTTTTATATAAAATAGTAGACTAAATTAGCTGCAGATCACTGTTAAATCTCTTTAAATGTCCCCATTGTACAGTAGGTTTTTTAAAACTGCTCATTCGCTTGAGCTAGACACTTGGCATCCTGTCATGTAAAAGCGAATTAAGCCTGTCTTTGGTACATAAACCCAAACAAGGGTCATAAGGGGACCTCAATAAAAAACATAAAATAGAAGCAACACTTGGGAGCCATTATTAACAGCATTATAGAAACAGGCTTCAAGGAGTTAGGAAAAACTTTAGATTATGCACTGTAAAAAGAGAAAGCGAGGCTTTGCCATATGATCGGCCGCCTAATGGTTTATGAGAATACCAGAGTTGGCAAGTGTAAACAGTGTGCTTGCAAGCTGTCCATCCCCTCTCTGTATAACATGTTATTACTGAGTTACCTGTGTTTTTAAATCCATTATCTGACGTTCTGTATCACGCAGGTAATAACAGACTTGCTGAGGCGTTTCTCCACATTTCAAGAATGGCACGCACTCCACTGTCTTTGAAGCCGACAAACAGATTTTCCACTCAGAACGAAAGCATGAGAGGAAAACATGAATGCGTTATGAATGCAATGCATTTGTGTTCCTAAAACCAGACAGGCAGAGGACAGTGTAACCACCACAGAGCGAGCTTCAAAGCAGAGAACGGAACTCATTCGACCAAATGATTCTGACCATAAAAGAGCTTCTCCTCCCCTGTTGATTGAATCATTCTGCGTATTTCACAGTACATAAACTATGTAATGTAAGCAACATGTATTTCGAAACCAAGAATGGATGAAGAGCCACATTATTGAAAGAAAAGAATTTTCGTCTCCCCGTATGACTATTCATAATGAAGAACGGAAGAAAAAGCATTAACAGTGCTGTGGATGTTTTTGCAAATGCATTTTTGCTACATTTTTTTTAGATCATCATGTAAAAACAAGTTTCACAAACAGGCCAGTTTACAGTGTTTCTCACCAGCACGCCTCTCACAGACCGCACTCGCTCCTCACCGGCCAAGTGCATCTTGCTGTCTCCATCTACTGGTAAAAAACAGAAAAGACCAACGTAAAGCTCAGAAAGGAATGAATGACTAGTACACATATTAAAGGGGAATTCCATTAGTTTTTCAAAATTTCCGCATTATTTAATCACTGAGATCTGCAAAATCATTCAGTGCTCTGATGTGAAATGTTTCTTTATGAGAATGAGTTCTTTAGAGTGGTGGTGATGGGAACAAGAGCTCACAATCTTTTTGCCAATAAAAACATTTTATTTACCATCTAAAACCTCCAGTGAACCTTCACATCAACTGAGTTCTTATATGGAATGTTGTTGATGACAAAACAGTGGTAAATCTGAAAAGCTAAGTTTTCTTTGAGCACTGCTTCAGCTTACAATGCCCTGCATTTACATCATTTACATCATTTCAGCAGACGCTCTTATCCAGAGCATCCCTGCATGTACCTCTCCACCATGTATTTTAAAAAAGCATGTTTTAGGCTAAAAACCTATTTTAAAGGCATCATAAAACAATGTCTCAGACATCAGGCAGCATATTCATAACCAATTTTAGAGGCATTCAACTCAACTTCAACTCAACTTCAGACATCTGGTTCCCATCACCATCACTGTAAACAACTTCCCCAGAGCCACTCTGAATAAATTTGCTTACATTTCTGCAAAATGAAACCTTAAAAATGTTCTGCAAATTCCCCTTTAATTCATAAAAAGAAAACAAAAAAAAATCAAATAAATAAATAAAGAAATGAAAATCAAGCTGGCTTCTGACAGACGGAAAAGAGTTTTATTGTTTATATTAAATCGAAGGTAAGCACTATAACATGTCACAAACCAAAAACCTTGTGGTGTAGTAATATTTTAATATCTGAAAAAGAAAGGTTTAAAATGGCATATTACAAAAAAAGTAGTAACACTAGTGAACAGGAAACATTCTTTAAATAACAGAACTGTACATTTTTTAAAAGGTGACTAAAAAAAACAAAAAAAAAGAAACAGTAAGACACAAAAAAACAAACAAAAACTTAAGTCATTTCTACAAAAAATGCACTACTACCACTAGTATCTGTAATATAGACTGGAAAAAAAAATCAAACAAGCAAAAAAACAAACCAACATTTTTAGCACAGGGCTTGGAATAGGGACAGGAAAAAATATATCACAGTACAATCAGAGGGACAGCAAGAGGTCAAAGCCCAGAGAGAGAGTAAGGCAGTAGAAGACGAGATGTCCTCCAAGAAGAGGGAGCGCAGAGGGAGCGCAGAGGGAGCGCAGGGAACAGGCTGCATATGGCTCCATTACAGCTGGAGCTCAATCGCAAAGTATTCAGAAGTCAGAGCTGGTCTAATATAAAACACTTCGGGACTGTATGCTCCCCTGAACTGTAGCATCCACGTTAATGTGTACATTCACACATAAAGCCAACACAAAGTCAACACAGGGGGATTAAAAAAAAAGAGGAGGGAGTAAGAAAGTTAGAAGCTATACAAAGAGAAGAATGCTATGCTAACAGGATGCAGCAGAAACATGCTCCATAACCCCTGACCTCACAGCTGCATCTTCACCCTCTAGAGGTAAAAATCCATATACAAGCGTCATAGTAAATGCTGTTAATACAACTACAAACCATTATTGACAATAAAAAAAAACACCACATCTTCAATCGCCGAGTGCCAACCTAATCTCTTTTTGCCTGTGCAGACACTGCTCACAGTAACCCTTTAAACATATTCTATCATTTCTCCCCTTTTGCGCGCCCCTCCATTCGAGTGCATGGACCACAGAGTGTCGATTAAGATAACGTGGGCATGGTATACATCTAACGTTCCTACTGCCGTACAAGAACTTAAGGAAGAATGAAAACTCTGAAATATTCATTCTACTTTAAATACTGCTCCATTCAAGTTTTCTGTTATTACTATACCATGAAAAACTGAATTGAATTGAATTGAGAACCATCAGCCAACTGTGTTTGCACACTGTGGAATTAGACCTCCGCATTTAACCCATCCGTGCAATGAAACACCTACATACATGCACACTAGTGAACACACACACTAGGGGGCAGTGAGCACACTTGCCCGGAGCGGTGGGCGGCCCTATCCACGGCGCCCGGGGAGCAACTGGGGGTTAGGTGCCTTACTCAAGGGCACTTCAGTCATGGACTGTCAAGTCTCTTTATTCATTTAATTAGTCGTCAAAACAGCCAATAAGCACAAGTTATTCATTTTTTGTCCCCGTTTGGGCCGTTTCTTTTGGGTCATTAATCATGAAATTTACACGTAATTTAAACGGCAACAGTCATTTTCACAATATGTCAAGTTCTGGTTCCCCAGAAAAATTATATATATAAAATATATATATAAATATATATAAAAGCAATGCTATGGTGACTCAAAATGCATTCCTGAGCAACATTAACGCACTAACTCATTTGAAAACGTTTGGTCATTTAGGTCTACTACTTCAAATAACTAAAAAAAGTTAATGCATCCGTTCCAAAGGCTTTGCATACACAGTGTGCAAAATGACGAAGGCCATCCAGCAAGTAATGATGGCCAAAGTGAGAAGATCTGAATGGGTTAATTTTGTTCTAATGATCAGTGTGAATGTCAAAACCAACAATAAAAGCACTAGTCAATGTATACCATGTCCACTACTAAACATTTTGACCACAGAGCAAATCCAGGCCAAACATCTAAACTACCACAAAAGACACACCCATATAGAAAATTCAGAGCTAAACAGATGAACAAGTAAAAACAAAAAAAACAAGCAACACATATTACAAGTCAGTATAAAATGTATAATAAGAGATAATATATTGAATTGATATATTTTATATATATATATATATATATATATATATATATATATATATATATATATATATATATATATATATATATAAGTAAATATACAAGTAAAATAGTTCCTTTCTCATGGACTAAGTTGTTCCAGCCTTTTGTCTGATGCTGAATTCTGCATAGCCATAGCATGAGGAGGGCTTCCATTCACTTACAACTGACTGGACCAATAAAAGATACAAATATATTCTTTCAGAATTATACCAAAATCATATAAATTTCAACTTCTACTCATACAGTTTAGTTCATAAACTTTTTGTAAACAATTTTCCCTTTTTTCTGTTTTAAAAATACATTCTAGTCAGACTGAAATTATGAGGCATATATATATATATATCTGTGACCAACATCTCTTTCATAAGCTTTAACTATATATGCAAATAATAAAAAAAGTTCTATACAGAAATTACTGATCCCCTCATCTCTTCACTTTTAAACATATGAGGGATTTCATTCACTGACATCTGACATATCCTTTGATGTTAATGTCTGACTGAAGAGCCTTTAGCTTGCCTTATGCTTTTAGCTCACCTACAGTCAGTGACACATCCACCGACTGGTCTAGCACACACACTGGTCTCTCTCTGGTCTCTCTGGGATGTGTTAAAATCTCCATCATGCACTTCAGGCTGCTCTAACAGTATGGTAGGTGAGGGTGCTGGTGCCGAGAGCCAGACTCAACTAATGACAGGGAGAAAAGAGAGAGGGCACTGATTGGAAGGGAGTGGGAGGACTAAAGGGGAGGGGAGGAGAAAAGAACAGAGAGGAGCAGAGGGGGGAGAACAAGAGTAGAAGAAAATAGACTGAAGAGCAAGTAAGGGCAGAAAAGAGAGGAGGGGGAAGGGGGAGCAGGGGGGTTGGGGTCAGAAAGAGGGGAGTAGGGGAGGAGAAAATAAGAAAGAGGGAGAAAGGAAGAAAAGAGGGAAGCGGAGGGGAGAACAGCAGTAATGAGGGGAGTGGAGGAGAACTGGAGTAGAAGAGAGAGAACTAGAGATTACTGGAGGGAAGTAGGGTAGAAAAGAAGGGAAGGGAGGAGGGCAGGAGGGAATGTGAGGACATCAGGAGGGGATGTGAGGACATCATTTTGGAGGGCAGAAAAGATGAAAAAAAAAAAGAACAGAAAAGAGGGGAGGTTGGCAGAAAAAGGAGAGGGGGGGGATGCAGAAGTGACAAGGGGATGCGAGGGCGCCACACTGGAGGAGAGGGGGCAGAAAATAGGAGGGAAGGAGGGCAGAAAAGGAGGAAGGGGAAAAGGAAAGACTAGAGGAAAGGGGAGAAAATCAGACTGAAGATGAGAGATGCAGAAAAGAGGTGAGAGGAGGGGTGGAGGGCAGACTGCAGGGGAAGCGATCAACTCGACTGATCTTGCTGGTGCATAAGACTGCAGCATGTGGCGCATCAATATGAGCTGGTATCAGGCAGGCTGCTGGCTCCTTCTGTTCCATAACACACCATACTGTTGTGCATTCTTTCTCTACATAATCACACCCTGCAGTGAGGGCTCCAGGGGCTGCAGCTATTTGGCATAGAATAAGCCAAACCTTTTCTGCTTTCCATAAATCTGATGCCTAAAAGCAAAACACAGCTCTGTGATGATATATCATAAACATTCAAAAACGGTGACATGTCTAAGAGTAGCACATTTTTTTGGTTACAGCGATTCGGCAGAGACCAGGACAGATGCGTCCTGCGCTATGAAGTTGCATCCATTTGATAGTGCTGTTGGTTTCTGGGTCTGATTGTCACACTGCCGTGAATGGATTACAATCATTTTGATGTGAGCAAATTTGCGTGTCGGATGGGGTTCATTTTATAGCCCCAGTCAGGAATCGCTGCAACAGGCAGGACAGCAACAACTAAGGCCTTGGAAAAACAACCACAGTGGTGCTGGTGTCACTCCTGAAAGGTAACTTTGCTACAAAAAGACTGCGTGCACACACATGTTCACCATGCTTTGTTAGTAAATTTAGAATCAAGTCCTGGGGACATTAATTCCCAGTTGGGGCTTCAACAGATGTTACATATGGGACTTGGCACAGATTAAGCGTGGTCTAAGTTATACTGTCAGTGAGGTTTTTCCTCTGAAAATCCTTTCCGTAAGTCTAGGACCAGGCTTACTCTGGGTGTGGCAAATGTTTGCATTAAACGCTCGGATTGATTTCGCACATCTCCCGCTCCCGAGTACTCATAATCATAACTGTCTCGAGTGGCAGATGGAGAACACAGAATCAGAATGGCCCCTGAGAGACGCTGCCTGTGTGTGAATCGCACTAATGGGCTCGCCAGTCATTTTTTCATTAAGATGTAGTGTCTGTATGTGTCTGTGAGTCTACAAAATGAAAAAAGAGCCATATGTTCAGCTGTATCTGTATGTATAAAGCAGGGATGGGTACTGCTGCTGGAGTTTTGTGCATGTATTCGTTCAGCAGTGGGTGAGCTGCTCCATGCGGGAGTATGCATGTGTTGGAGAAAGAGAGGGAAACTGCAGGAGTATGAACATCTGGGCACAAATGCAGCTCTTCAGAGTCTGTCGCTGCGGAAGCTGTCCTCCACCGAGGGGTCTGGCAGAACCATGTCAGGGTCACTGAGCATGCTCAGTCCATCCAAACTGAGGGGTTCAATGCGAAGCTCGTCCTCCAGGGGGAAAACTCCCTCCGAATCGAAACACTCAGGAACTGCCGATAACACACTGCTGATGTCCTTAGACAGGCTGGGGTTTGAATCATCTGAAAGAGAGGAGCAGTAAGATCAACACTTATTCATTGATTTGCTCGCTGAATTACTACGTTTGAGAAATGTGTCTCATATACATCAGATACAGTCTGAAAAAAGAAATGTTCCTAAATGGTTCTTTTCTTATAATCACAGTTTTAGGAAAAATATCCAATTGTTAAAGAACTTTTAATACTTTAAACTTTAAAAATATTTTTCACACTAACATATTTAATTTACAGAACTGGTTCTCTAAAAAGGTTGCGAACCACAGCCCTAATGGACCCACATCATGGAAAAAAAAAACTTTTTCTTCACTTTTTTTTTGTTTTATTTTTAAATAAAAGAGCTATGTAAACATTTTTAAAGTTTCAAACTATCCTGTCCACCAACGTCTACATGGTCCATATATGCAGATTAACCTACAAAAACAGCCTGTTTTAACCCAATGGTTTCATGTCATCATAAAAACCAGCTTATTTATATATGCCTGTTAAGCCTAAAGCAGATTAGTTCCACCTAATCACGCTTAAGTTATAAGAAATGTTTCATCGTGAACAGCTTTTTGAATGAAAACAGGGTGGCCAATCACAACAGAGGTAATTTACACCTATTTTGAAGGCACAGCAACAAAAGCAGCTTGTTTAAGGGATAAAGAGTGGTTTGAAAACGTTCATGTAAAAATGAACCAAGACTATTACTGGTACATAAACCTACAAAAATGCCACAAAAGTGGACCTGAAAAAAATGTAGGATATGTGCCTTTAACCATGCAAACTGGACTGCAGCCTACAAAGTGTAAGAAAAAAGTGTGTGTAAGACTGATAACTATCTGGCTGTCGCTGTTTCTTTTAATTAGCCGACTGTTTATTAGACTGTTAGTTTCAGTCAGTGACTGCGTTGCAGCTACTGCTATCACATGCAGTACCTGTAAGGATGATGTTGGGCACTCCTCCTCCACAGTTAGAATACAGCATGTTGGGCTTCATCGACAGAGGGTCCTGCAAGTTGCCATGGCTACCACCCAGGCCCGTAAGGGATGCTTGGGAGCAGTAAAGGTTAGAGGAAGGGTCAAATCCTCCAGCCATAGAGCTCATGGCATGCTCCAACATGTTATACTGGTCCTGCTGTAAGGGTTTGGAGAGTTAAACACAAACAATACAACACCTTAAAAATAATCAACACTGTTGATGCCAAGAGTAACAGAATCAACAACCATGCTAATCAGTTGTGCTTAAGGATATGTAGTGAAAGCAGCTGTTGAGGATATGACTATGCAAATGAGCATGAAAACCTGTTTGGGTGAGAATGAAGCACATGGCCGGAAACCAAAACAAGGCAACAAACCAACAAGCGCTAGTCAAATCTGATCAAAAAACAAAACCGTGACAAAGTTGAAAAGCAGCTTTAGTTGTTACGCTTATGAAAAGACTTCCTTAAAACCAATGTGACTGACTTCATGCAGCTGGTCTTGATGTTTCACTCAGGATCTACTGTTGTTTATCACTCATGCTGGGCACCGTTGACATAGCAACGAACCTGTGAAAACTAAATCTATTTATTTCACTAAACGAGTGACGTGGATCACTCATTTACACTATGGCTCTACCACTATGTGAATGTGCACCAAACACAACAGGTATTGTTAACAGTTATAAATAAAGCTGTCAAGCCTAAAGGTGTGGGTGTGTGGATCCTGTGCATTTCAAACCTTTGCAGATGAGGAAATTTTACTGCCTGTTTCCCACACATGAATTACACTCTAATTCTGGGCCTGAATTTCAGTCTAAATACAGAATTACCACAGGCAATTGTTTTTAGTTTAGGCTTAGGCTTAATCTGAGGCACTGGAAAAGTGGCTGGTATTGCCCATGTGATTGTGTCCTTACCTGATAAGGTGGGCATTTGGACTGGCGACCTGAGAACTGTGGTTCCATAAACGGATCGTTGCAGAACACTCCCATGCTGTTCGGCTTTGAAAGGACAAACAGAGCAGGTCAATTCTCAAACTGTACTGCACGTGAATAAGACACGCAATGCATAAGCTGCAAAGAAAGATACTTCGTATGTGGATCTATCCTGTCATAATTCTTAAAGTAAATAAATTTTATTTCTAAGCTACTTATCTGTTTAGAATAATGCTGATCATTGGCACAGTCTGAGGGGGCAGCTTTTTCATGACTTAATGATAACTGATTCTTGGCTACAATGTTGAAGGTGGATCAATAATAGGCCAAAGTTTATTAAACATTGTCATCAAAAACATATGAGGGCTATTACATAATGATAATAATAATAATAATAATAACAACTTTTTAAAAATGACTCTAGAGATCAACAGTAACTGCTGGTGTAGGTACATAATTTGGGAAACCAACAGTGACAAAGCCATTAATAAAGGGATATAGCAAAGACTAAACTTTCAGAGATTAAACCATCCTAAATGTTGTTTACACAATGTTTAAGTAGCTACAGATTGCAGTGATATGATGAAAATCCATGCTTTCTGACTCTCAGAGTCACTGGCCAGGAGTGATACCCATGTTGGAGCTGAAGAATGGACTCTTGAAATTCGCTCTCCATAACTAGCCCAACATCAAAAGGAAAGCATGAAGCTAAAAAGAGTCATGTGTGGGACCACTTTTTGCAAGAAGGTGATGTCAGAAGTAACTTATGTTATGCTGTATTAAAGTTCAGCAGGAGGATAAGTACAATGATGCATCATATCAGCAGCAAACTTCTGCAGGCGCTAACCAAGAGAAGACAGCAAACTATTTTGTTCATGTTTGAGGAAATCACACAAGTGTGTAAAATGATAGATAAGGATATGATGCCCATGAGTGTGGTGGATGTTGGTGGCTTTCGAGAGCTGCTAAGGCAAGCAACTTTGGTCAGATGCTACTTGTGCATACCAGTGTGAAGCCCAATCTCACATTCCCTTCCTTATTTCACTTCAAGTTAGCAAGTTTTCATTATCATGCCAGCCATAACGGTTAACTGCAGAGCGGGTATTCGCAGCTGTTGGTCTGACTGATCAGTCTGCACAGTACACTGACTGCTGCTTAAACAACAGAGAAGAGGGGCCTCAGTCCACAAAAACATGTCCAGTGTGAACCCCCCCTTTAGCTACAGTCTACAAATCTGTTTATTAGCAAATGGTTAGCCCATGTTTTTAATCCAATGACAAAAAAAACCTAAAAGCAGTGAGCTACCGACTTTCTGTTGATTGGTGTTGAAATTAGGCATGAACTTCAAGCTAGCCCCAGTCAGGCCGTATATGTTTGTTAACTTGGGCTAATAACACGGTACATGTAAGTAAATAGACTACATTACGCTACTGTCATACCTGTTATGTTTAGCCATATTTTTTATTCAGTAAAGCCAGTAAAGCAAAATTTGCATCCTTATAAGTAACCTATACAAACTTGTCGAACAGCCATTCAATCTCCAATTCTATGAAAATAAGCTGCAGCATGTGCTCACAGTGCTAGAGTTGAAGTCCAGGGGTACATTCTGTAAAGGAGACACAGGCGGCTGCTGTTGCTGCTGCTGTTGCCCTCCCTGAGGTTGGCGCTGTTGCCCCATAGCATGCTGGGCACCTTGCTGCATGGGTGTATGGGACTGGGGCTGCTGCTGTTGCAAGGACTGCTGGGATTGCTGATAGAGCGGGTAGGGCGGAGGAGGCTCCATTGGCAAGTTGCTGGTGTCCAAGGCAACCCCCTGAAGAAAGCAGGAAAGCACAAAAATTAGCGCATTTGCAAGCCCGCGTACAGGATGTTTTAGAACAGTGTGTCCCTGGCCTTTCTCTGCAAGCAGGTGCCAAATTTCAACTTAACAGTTTACACAAACCTTTCCAGGAAGTCTGGGGAACTTCTCGTCAGTTTGCACCTCATGCTAAAAAGGCAATGCAATTATGCAAGATATTATTGAGACATTCTAGAGTAACGGCAATAGCAGCTGCCTTCTGGGAGAGATGCTTTCTTAACTAACTGTACAAGTGCCGCACCTGTGTAATGGGAGAGAGAGAGGGTGACATGGTGGGTGACAGTTGCTTCCCCAGGCTGCGGCGCTGCTCAGACCCAGGAGAGAGGGTCAGAGGGCTTATGGGGGCGGGCCGTCTCCTGGGCGAGGTGGCCATGCCTCCGGGAGGAGGGTTGGAGAGCGAAGAAAGCCGCAGAGACGAGTGGATAGAGGGATTGCTGAGAGACGAGTGCAGCTGGGAGTTGGTGAGTGATGCCTGAATGGAGGGGTTGCTTAGAGAGGAGGAGAGGCCTAAAAGAAAGAGAGCAAGATTGGTAGAGATCAGACTCCCACTTCATTTTATTTAATTTTATTATTGTGTGGCAATGTTCATTATTATCATTATTACTCTTACTAATCCTGTAATTGATAAGGCTTATATGACGTCTGTTCAGGGCCCATGTCACCCCTATATTCAAATTTTCCTTGCTTTTGTGGAACAAAAGAGTGTGAAGTAGTATGTAAACACTAAAGTTTCAAAATGTACCATTTACTCCCAAGAACAATGGAAACTAAGCTGCAAAAACAGCTCATTTTGTGATAACTGTTTTTGTGAAAAACGAAAAAATTTACATACTTTGCTCTTTTGGCACACAGCAGTTTAACTCTGCCCATTCACAAGTGTTTCTGCTCAGATTGGTTTGTGAACGAGATATAAGACAGGACAGCCAATCAGAAAGAAGGCCACATTCATATATATTAGCTTAAACGGTACAGTAACAGCCTTTTTAAATCTAAGGGATACAAAGAGGTTGCAAAATGGTTATTTTAAAAAGAATGACTACAAAAACATAATAAGAGTACCTAATAAAAAAAAGATTTGAACCCATTTGACTTCATTATACTTTGGCAACACTGTACTTAATCCATTCATGCCAATAAATCTACCTTGAATTGCAAAAAATCAAACTGAGAGACACTGAACATGACCTATTGTAGTCTTATGCAACACGTTCATCAGAATCATGCTGGATGTCTGTAGTCTCAGCCTGATGTCTTCTGCCTAGCTAAGACACAGAGGGATTGTTTGTGAGCTGCTGGACCACTGAGGACACGGAGAAAAGAGCTGTTTATGTGCAGCCAATTTAGGGGGTCAAAGTTCGCCGTGACTCTGGGCTTCAGCCAGCCTGCATCCAGTTCAGCCGACATGGGCAGGAGCAGCAGGCCAGTGCAAGCAGTTCCCAGACATAGGCCTGAATGGAAGGTCCAAAGCTCAAGAGAATGGAAGTGAATGAGAGCAATCAGATAGCGGAAAGTGGGGGGGGGGCAGAGTGGAGGGTGGGAGTCCGGCTGCTCTTATGCACGGACATGGGTCTGCAGAGAACAAACTGCATTCATTCACCAGACTGTGTCTAGAGTAGCTCTGAAACAAAGGGCAGAGTGTTCACACCGGCACTTGGGTGAGTCCAACTCAGGAAACTTGCATGTGCAGCTTTAAGTATCAGTCACAAAATATAAGGTGTCACTGGCAGGTCCCCTCCGCTGTTGCGTTTCAGTCCCACGATGAACTGAAAATATTTATGTTACAAGTAGTTTAGCACTGAGAGCCGTCTAACTGCTTTTGTGAGTTGGTTTCATGGACAGATTAAGCCTTGTATAAATTTTAAAGGCTTTGTAGTGTTATTTCCAATTCAAGTATTTGGAAATCTATGAATGATTTATTATTGTTCAGTTAAGTCAGAGTTAAGTCAAATAATAAAAAAATTATGAATAAATAAAACTAAATTACTTGTGAAAATAACTGATCCACTATAGGGGTGTAACGGCAATAATATCACAATTCAATCTGATTCATGATACTGTATTCATATTTTTTATATTCTCATGCTATCTTGAACAAAATATAAATGCAGAAACATCACGACTATTCAATTGTGGCAAAATCTACTAATGAGACTTGGCGAGAGGAGTGTGGCACATACGACAACCAGTAGCTGTGTGTTTGCTTCCCACAGCTGCTGGATGTTTACAAATAGAATTTAAAACTGCATTAGATCATCAATTATCATCTGAAGAATGCTTATTCATCATGCATCGTCAAATTTTTGTGACGTTTGGCGATATCACAATGCGCATCCATGCATTGTGACCTAGTCAATTACTTAATTTTTACTTTATGCTTTACCCTTGGCAATGCTTTTGTGGACTTACCCTGAGAATTTCCGATGCCCAGGTGCATCATGGCCGCAGGAAGGTTTCCCGTGCTGCTACCACCGCTCAGGTTGGGATACCCCCCCTCCTCAGGATCCAGCGGGGTGGGTAGAGGAGAGGGGAAGTGCAGGTTACTGAGGTCAGGCAGGGAGCCGCCTGTATTTAACGTGCCCTGGTAATGAGAGAGACCAGCGTTCTGCTCTGGAGATGGGAATATGCTATGAATAATAAAGAAACAGGAAGAACAAGATTACTAGTTCCACACTTCATAAAACAATTTGTACAGTTTGATGACATGGCTTCACGTCATCTATATGCAGTAGAGCACAAAGAACACATTGCGCCAAGAATGTGAAAGCCAGACATACTTGATTCCAGGCACTTCACAGGATTTGGGCCGTGACGACAGGGACTGCACCTGCCACAAAACGATAGAACATTAGGCTGGTGTGCTTCACCCAGCACTCCTAAAAGCAGTCTGACAATCAGACTACAGAAAGTAAGTCATGCATGTACCGAAATGTAATAAAAATATGACAAAACAAAACATTAGGCACCTAAACACACTATTAAAAGGCATTTAACTCAGCCATCAGTGTGTTTTCCTTGTAAAACAACACCATATGTCACCAGAATACGTGCAATAAATAAGTAACCTGAAAAAAGAAAGTCTTGAAATGCCTTGAAAATGAAAGAGAGCAGTTGATATCTTGGGAACCAGTATGAAAAGACAAAGTTTGGGTTCAGATGTCTCCTGGATTCCCCCAGCCATTACAGGAATTTGTTAAATCCTATCACCAGCACCCTTGATTTAACATAATAAAGTACTGCTTAACCAGGTACTGGATGATTACTACAAATAATAGTAGACTGCCATGAGGAGAGGTTTGGAAATGGTTAAAGGAACATATGGAAAAAGCAATAATGAACAAGAAAGAGCACAGAGGCACTACTGCATCTACCCAATTCTGTAGCTCACTCACTAACTCACTCACCTTTTTGGCTTCCCACAGCTGCTTGGGCAATGGCTTACTCACACCAATCAGACTCTCCTCGTTAGGGATGGCAGGGAACGAGAAGACTGCAAAAAAAGGACAGAAAATCCATTAGCAACACCCTCAATCTGACTACACCAGAACACCACAAAATCAGTCACATCACACAGGAAGCCAAATATAGCAGTGAGTGGGTACTCAGAAGACCTGCTATTTGAAATTATTGTTTGATCCATTAACTAACTCTACTAATAACTACTAATATTTCACTAAGCATTAATATTTAGCAAAAGACAACAACACTATCATAGAGTAACAGGGATGTAGATGATCAGCTGTTTGGCCAATGAAATTGGTTAAAAAATAAACAAACAAAAATAACTTCATTTTATTTCATTTCCAACAAACAACTATTCTTAAATGAACAGGGGTGGTTTATCATATCGTGCTAAGGAACATTTTGAATGGTATAATAGAGTATAATAGGTGATTGGTTCCAGTAGATAGGCCTATTGAAAATTAAATAAACACTTCTCCAGAGAATAATAGCACAGCTACAACAACGTACCATCTCAAAAGCTAATATCCTCAAGCGATATGACAGTTAACTGCTTTGTTCATGTTCTCAGAGAGAAAGTGTGATGCCCAGCGGTGTAAGGAAATCACACAAAGATGTGCAAATTTGTTGTAAAGGACATTGTGGACGGCAACAGCTTTCAAGACCTACTGAGGTACTTCGACCTACAGCTGCTCTGGTCATGGCGTTTATGTTCACTTTGACTTGGGCTAGTAATGAGTGAAAAGATAACTAGAACCTTACAATGCAGAACTGTTAGTAGCCCATCAAATATTCTATTCACTTTGTAAACATTTTAGTATAATCATGAACATGTTGTAGTTGTCAGCCCCATCGGTTTCAACAAAACCAGGTTAGGGTATATTACATATCGTTTCAGACTGTTTCTACAAACACTTATTCCTGGCCCCAACTATCAGTACTATGTTCCATAGTCCAAACAAAGAACTCTATTTCATACAGGATTCAGCTGACCTGTGCACTTTTAAGTGTAAATATGATCAGTTTCCGTTTCAAATATTATCAGTGATATTTTGATGGGTTGCATCCTTGATTTTAGGTTAATAATAATTTATAATCAACTAATGACTATCAGTTATCAGCCAAAATGTGCATCCTTATACAGCTGCAAAACTGTTTCTATCAAATGCCCTCTGTTTCCTAAGGATACAGGAAAAACAAACAAAAAAAAAATTCTAATCAAAGGCCAAAATGGCATTCTCCCTGTGTCTGACCGTTCTTGCCAGCAGGGGACACCAACACTAACAATTATCACTCTACAGTTGTACAGAAATATGCAAAATCAGCCTTGGTGCTGGTAGAACCTAAACACTGGTTAAACAGATGGGAGGGTATTTTAAAATGGTTGTAAAATGCTGGTTCATTGCTTTTGGGTTCCAGAGAAGTTTCAGAATGTTTATATCACCTCTAACAGGGTCAGGTTAACCTGCATGTAAGATAAGATCCTTTAATCTGCACAATGCACAGAGGAAGAATATACAAGCACGCATGCACGCACGCACACACACACACACACACACACACACACACACACTACATACATACATACATGTACCCCCCCATGGACCCTCACAGAGCAGGTACTATTTGGGTGGTGGATCATTCTCAGCACTGCAGTAACACTGATGTGGTGGTGGTGTGTTAGAGTGTTGCGCTGGTCTGAGTGGATCAGACACAGCAGTGCTGCTGGAGTTTTTAAACACCTCAGTGTCACTGCTGGACTGAGAATAGTCCACCAACCAAAAATATCCAGCCAACAGCGTCCTGTGGGCAGCGTCCTGTGACCACTAATGAAGGATTAGTGGATGACCAACACAAACTGTGCAGCAGCAGAAGAGCTATCGTCTCTGACTTTACATCTACAAGGTGGACTGACAAGGTAGGAGTGTCTAATAGAGTGGACAGTGAGTGGACACAGTGTTTTAAATTCCAGCAGCACTGCTGTGTCTGATCCAGACCAGCACAACACACACTAACTGAGAATGATCCACCACCCAAATAGTACCTGCTCTGTGAGGGTCCATGGGGGTCCTGACCACTGAAGAAGAGGGTAAAAGGGGGCTAACAAAGTATGCAGAGAAACAGATGGACTACAGTCTGTAACTGTAGATCTACAAAGTGCACCTACATAGTAAGTGGAGCTGATAAAATGGACAATGAGTGTAGAAACAAGGAGGTGGTCATAATATTATGCCTGATCGGTGTATATATAGATGGCCACATAGATACACACACGTATAGATGCATACATAAACCACTTAACATTACTCACTTACATTTTGGATAGACATAAAAAAAAATTAACTTAAAAGCAGCTGCCATTCTTTCCTGTTCAATGTCCACATTCTGCCCACAGACACTTACCATCTCCTGTACCATCCACCTCTGCTTCATTCATGCTGGCTACACCGCCACACCGACATAGTAAAGAAAACAGGAGAAGAAGAGAGAAATTAATTTTACATCACAAAAACATATTTAGCACATCTGTATCTAGCAATGCTGCAAAGAATAAAGGCTAAATATTTCCTTTGCACACTGACACATGTAAACATGAGCATCATGCTTAAATATTACACAAGACTTCCCTGTGGCAAATTCTACACAAGCTCTAAACTTTAATCAATATGTCCCTGGCTGTCAAAATGACTGACAGACATTGTCTTTAACATTATGAAACCTTTGCAAACTTAGCTACTGTACAACAGAACAGGCTCTTTTTTCATGCTTCACATCTCGAGTAACAGAACTAGGAAGAAAATCATTTGCAGCAGGTAACTAATATGTTTATTTATATTTCTATAAAAGAAGGCTTTTTACAGCTATAAGCTGCAGTGCTGGATGCTAAACCCCACAGGGAGAGCCTTCCCCACAGCACAAATATTTGATTCATACAAATTGAGTCACTCAAAGTGCATGCTTAACTCCGCCCACTATGGAGTTCAGGCGCAAACTACAACCTTCCACTGCGGGCTGGACTTGAAGAGAAAGACACAATGCTCCATCTCTATAAGACATCTATAAGAGGAGCTGCTTTTAGGGAGAGGAAAAGGCCTCTGAGAACCACAAGTGCAGTGAGAATCAAATGACAGCCATTGTTTAGTGTCCAGAGGGATACTGTAGAGAACAGGCCTCCTTTCTACTTCCCCTGGGTGCGCTGGGCCAGCTCTGGCTGAGTGTAGGCTTGGCGTGGGCCTGGAGCCAGTACTCCATGCTCTACAGATCCAGCAGGGCAACTGGGCCCAGACACCCAGCAGAGACGCACAATGGAGGCAAACAAATGTCCAGCGGCACCTCATTTCCCCCTCACTGGGACAATCTAATCTATTTTTTTTCTTCAACAGTGTCGCAACATGGAAAAACAACAACTAGGGTGGAAAATGCTCAGCCCAGGACCACAACTGTATAATTTCTCAAATTATAATTGACTTCCTTTACAAATTCTAGTTAGGTTTTGTGCTTAAATTAAGCTTAAATTGTTTTGCCTTGTAGGGTGGACAGTGATATTAGTAATTGAGCAACGTACCAAATATTTAATTATAATCAATGTCCAAAAATGCATATAAATCACTGTGTCCATCAGGTTCAGCTACTTACTGAATGCAATCCCTGGGAGAATGTAATATTTCCATTATCGTCATGTGATGACTGATAAAGAAAATACGTTTTTATTCAGTCTTTCATTAAGTCATAGAATAATCAGGTTTAATCAAGACAATCTAAAACTGTATTATTTTCATCATCTTAAAATCCAGTCCTTACAAATTCTATTTTCACTTTGTACTTCAAATCTAAAGAGTGCAAAGCTTATCTTGATCTGCCTTGTTGGCGGTCACCGCCAACTAATCAACAACGACTGACAGAGAAATTAATTTTTAATCAATATTTTTTCAATTAACCAAGTTTGATGAAGTACTGACAGCCCTAGACTGTATTATTTTAGTCGTGTTAAATTCTCTTCTTTATTAATTCTGTTTTTAATTCAGTTCTATTTTGTTCTATTGTCACTGTATGCCAAAAAGTACACAGCTTTAGCTGTTCCGCCAAGCAACAAAATCCAAAATAATACTTGCAAAGATATCTTGGATCAAAGGCTTATGTAAGAACAACATACAAACTGCGTCATGCACCTAAGTAAATACCAGTTATGGACAATACTGAGAGACAACTGCCTGGTTTCAAATGGTGAAACTGCTATACCGTAACAACTCGAGGAGGTACAATAATGTACATAATGAATATTTTGCTCCGAAGGAGCATACAGAAATAGAATCCTATCATTCTGTTTTGATTGGCCTCCCCCTGCTTCAAAATAACACTTTAATAGTAGGTGTTCTGAGAAAAAGATACACTTGGATTCAAAAGGCTGGTTTCTGTTTGTTCTGTCCAGTCAATTTCACCTCACCTAACACTATGCAACACTGTGTGTCTGCACTGCAGACTTTGGAGATCTGATTTAATCCCAACTCTCAGTCATCTCTGTAACTGTAACTTTCTTATCATCCAGCACGTCTCTGCAGAAGACGAGTGCCCCGGGCTACAGACACTGTGCCTCATCTGCTGCAGACTCATACCTGCCCTGGATACTTCACCAACATCCTGCTTAAACTTGTTGACTAAACAAAGAGAGGAATAATCCATCAGGAAAACAGCGATGTAATCCTGCCCGCCCCAACACAGATCTGATAAACTACATCTCCGGTGTTACAGCTACATAAACTCTCTGCTTGTGAGAGACAGCACAAAAGAGAACAAGAGAGAGAGAGACAGTTCAGCAGGTTTAGACCTCTCTGCTCCGCAGAGCTATGTTTTTCCTCCTGTTACATGCACAGGCTCGATGTTGGAACTGACACCTCCTATTCAGCACAGTATGATTAATATTATTATCACGGTTATAATCACTTGATTGCAATTATTTGCTCTGATCAGTATTATTTAAGCTAATTATTTTTCACAACTCTATTTTTATGTCACAACTAACAGAATTTAATTGGGTGTATTTTAGAGTTGAGGCAAAAATATGTTAAAAGAAAGCTGAAATCACATTCATGAGACACCGCAGTGCTGGGCAATATGACCTCAAATCAATATCACGATTAACTGAATAGTTTACCTTGATTACAATTAATGAACGTTTTTTTTTTTGCCCTCATAGTTCACTGACAAGGTTTGTACTATGAATATGCTCTGCATATCTTAATGCAAACCGTCGCAACAGCCAGATTGGAATTCATGCGGCTTTTATGTCAATCCAACTCGATGTTTGTCATAATTTCGCGATGCGGAGACCTCTAACATTTGGGGTGATATTTCTGTATAAAAATTAGAAGAGACTTCTCCACACCTCTGTGTCTGAAGAGATCTGGAAAGAAATGGCTGAACGCGGCCGAAGGACAGCGAGGCTGCAGCGTCAAACGACAGTTAAAAGTCTGAAAGCAAAGTTAAAAGATTCCGAGAACACGAACCAAAGAAGTGACCGCGCCCTTTTGACGGCGAGCTCGAACACATTCTGGGTGACGAGCCCAGCTGTCAGTCAGTGAAGCTTCATGATGGCTCCTGTGATGCTGGCGAAGATGAAACTGAAAGCTCCGGAAGTGACTGGTGTTCATTCACAGTCAGTGATTGTCTACCTCTGGATGAGCCACGTGAAGCAACGTGATGCAATGTTCCTGCGCATACAGGTCAGTTTAGGAGCTGATCTGTTCAGACTGATGTCGCATACAGGTCACATTTAAACAATATTGTGAACTTGGATTGGAAAAACTGGATTTGGTGAGAAAATCAGATTTGGGCCACTTCCTGCTGTGTGAACGTAGTCTTAGCTTCCATGTTGCAGACTGGGAGTGGCGGAATCATGTGACACATGTAATGTTTGTCTATTAAAGCTTGAGCTGTTTCTGCGATCAGTTAGGAACTACTAAGTATTGATAGCTAGAAAGCGAGATCAGCCCATCTGTCCAATTAAGGCATGTACTATAAGAGTTTTATATGATAAAGAACAAAATCAATTATTTATACGGTAATTAACTGTTAGCTAAAATTTCATGATCATGACAGGCTTAGCCAAACTACTAACATTATAAAGTTTACCATGTAAATACCTAGATTTACTGTTTCACTTGCTTGATTGCATGCACTGCACTGATGCTAAGTTGCCTTGTACCTTCGCTCACAGGCCATTTTATCAGAAATACCCATCATATAGATGCACTTTGTAGGTTTACAATCACAGACTATAGCCCAACAGCTGCTGCACAATTTATCAAACGCTTCTTCCCTGGCCATCAACAGAAAGGGACCATCATAAGACCACTGCTGACCAGATTTTATTTGGTAGTGGACCATTATCTGCACAGTAGTGACAGACATGGCACTGGTATGTGTGTTGAACTGATATAAGCGTCTCCGGCACAGCAATGTTACTGAGCAAGAGATGGGCTATAGGCAGCAGTTGTGTTCCTATAAAGTGCCGCCTAAAATCAACTGAATAAAAACCAAACATCTACATTCATTCTCATTGTTAAATTAGAACAATCCGATCTGTACATTTAAGCCACCATAGAAAGGATCAATTGGATCCTCAAAGGAGAGCGAACAGATTTTATTTAAACATGTAGCGCTGTGTTCTCATACTCAAAAAACCTGTGAGGCCATTAGCCAGGTAGTCTTCTTCAAGGGGTTGGAGGGGGGGTGTGCAGTAGATCCCATTTTTTTTTATTACAAGAATGAATTTTAACTACATATATGCACTCATGTAAGTGCTTTTTTTCTTAATGCTAATTAGCAGGTTTCTATCACCACAAACCACAACTACTACTGATGATGATGATGATGATGATGATGATGATGATTATAGTAAAATAAACACACAAAGCGTTCAGTAAATATTTTACTGTTCACTTGAATTAAATAAACTTCTAACATTTAAAAACAGTCGAATTGTATGGGACTCTTATTATGATAGCATTGGCATTTCTGCTAAATGCAAGTAAAGTTTTTGCGAGTTAAGTGCTGGCAATGGAGAGCAGTTATTTGCGTTCTCAGTGGATTAGTTTGATAATTCTGTCAATTTATTAATTCTGACGCGCTGCATCTACCACCAGGTCATGAAAGAATGAATGACAGAAACAAAAAGTTCAGTTTCCAGTTACCTCAGACGGAGGTGTCACACTCAGCCGGTCTCGAGCCCAAGACCGTTAATTTGCAGTACCGGACTCAAGTACTACAACACTAGTTTAAAGACAAAACTGAAAAGGTTTGATCACAACAAAAGGGAATGAATGAGGCTTATCGTGGTCAGCTAAAGGGTTCTGACTGATCTTGGAAGGTTTATTATGAATATATTTTGCAGCTGAATACATGAAAGAGGGCAACAGAATTCATAAACAGTTATAATCCTTTGCTTCAGAAAACTGAAGGTAAGCATCACGTTAGCCAGTGCAGTCCTCAAAATGGCACTAATTATATAGTATGACGTCAAATAAAACACAAAAATATGGTGGGTGATTTGAGTATAGCACTGGCAATTTAGTGTATGGCAAGCGATGAGGTTATCTGAGATGGGACCCACAGAGAATGTTTAAAAGCAGTCCTACTGAGATGCACTCAGCAACACAACTGAGTTATTCAGTCATTTACATCTCATCTGAGCTTTCAGGAAGCAGACTGAAGCAGGCCTTTGTTGTATCCCTACTTTCTAACTGAAAAAAGATACAACAACGCCACCAGCCCTGTGCCTGTAAAACAATCTTCTTATTTAGTTAACTGTGCAGAAAATAACTGTGCTAGTCGGTTAAACTGTGATGGGGGTTTCCATATATACATTTTTAATTAACAATAATAAAAACAGACAGATTGTTGAACAGACAGACGGACAGATAGACAGACAGACGGACAGACAATAATAGCAACACTTTTCCATCTGGTAATTTTGAGATGCTCTCTGGCACTGAAGCGAATGGAAGCAAACAGTAATAGAGTGCAAGTAAAGCTTAATTTTTGTGAAATTAAAGAACATCATAAAAGCACAGTTCAGTAAAAGTTGTGGTCGTAGTATATGGTCATCTTTAACTTAGCCACAAAACTGTAATTAATCTTGTAAGACAGAACAGATCTGGTAAAGTCATTTAGACGCCTTCCTCTCTGAGTCATTTTGTCTGAGGTGTTTGAACTGGGCCAATCTGCCTGATGTATGTGAGCTGATGATATTACTCATATGAGACCTGAATATGTTTTGTCTGATGACTGAAACTTGGTGCTGTCCAGTACAGCCTAAGACGTTCATTACGACATACTGGCATGATATCTGCCAAGAGCATGTTCAACCAGTACAGCTCAACAGCCACATTTCCACAATATTGTCACCTATATTGGGTACAGTAAACATGGCATTACTGTAGAATATCAATTCACTCAACATGCTTACAAGTTCAATTCTGGTCATGTATGGGACAGAGTAAGAACTACTACATGCCACCACAAATGCATGACTAAGGGTGGAAGGCAAAATTGCTGTATGTAACATCCAGACAGACAAGTAAAACATAATCCATACAACAACAATAGCAACAACAACTGAAGAAAGCCCTCTTCACATTAAAATCCATTTCTAACAATAATTTACAGTTTGGTTCCCAAACCTAGTTCAACGAACCCCCTGCACTGTGCATTTTTGTCTTCTCCCTACTCTATAACCAGTGGACCAGCTCAGGAAAGCCTTGATAATAACATGATGAGTCATGTGTGATCGCATCAGGTGTTTTAGAGTGGTGCAAGCACAAAAACATGCAGTGCTTCCAAAATTTAGACTAAAATCCACTGCTAATAAACAAAATAAACAAGGATAACACAGATACAAACACAGACCCACAGAGCTCTTCTAAGCAATCCACCATCTGCACAGACAGCATACACTGGGGATATCTGTGTTACGGCACATGAACTACAGACCGTGTTGTCTGTTAATCAGTGACCTGGGCCTTACTAAATAAACACCCAAACAACCACGATCACCTTCACACAAGCACAGCTGAAGACTTCAGCACTGTGTAATCTGCAGCTCTACAGCAGTCAATGACAGTCTACCAGAGCAGAATACAAACACAGCTGCAGTTGCAACTTAAGCACCCCTCTCACTCTCTCAGGCGTTTGTGATAATCACAGCAAGCATGTACTAATGCTGACACAGGCACAGCACTCACCAGCCTCACACAGAGCGCTCTAACCCAGCCTTTTTCCCCTCCTACGCAGGGGCTGCTTTGATGCTGTCCAGTAGAGGTCTAACTAGGCCTGGGCATCACAATTCAACGCTTTTATAGTACTGAACAAATTACTTTATTACTACCACGTATCGCATAATTCTGCACCAAACAATGACAAACTGAAGACCCTAAATACTCAGTCTCATCAGCATCAGTGAGCCAATAAGCAGGCCTGTTCCAAAATGTAGACCACTGACTGGCTGTCTACATTAATGTCATTAGCATGTTCCCTCACTGCTGGATAGATTCTGTGCAGTGCTCCTTTGTGTACTTTACAGTCTAAAGCAATATATGACTTTTAACTCAATTTAATAAGTTTAAAAGAAAGCATCAAAAAACAGCACTGTTTAGAAAATGGTATTGGAGTCAAGGTATTGTGCATTGTATAATAAACTTTTTTAAAATGGTTCTAGATAGCACCAGAAAGGGCTCCATTGTTGTTACAAGTCATACTGTTATTGTATAGAATCTTTTTTGCCAAAAGTGTAAGTGTAGGGACACAATTTTTACAAAATGATATGTACTGGGTTTGTGCACAATGAAACTATCCTTTTTCGATGAAGAATTAAAAAAAGAAAGGCCATCATTCATTTTACTTTGACAAGCCAAAACAAGACCACAGCATCTGGTGAAAGCATAATTAACATGTAATCTAGTAATTTTCTTACAAGACTAATCATTTAAATGCACACAAACTGTAAATGGTTTTGGATGCAGCACAGGGAAGGTTTTTTCCTCCTTTTATGGTTGTCTTTAGTAAGAGCATAAAATATTTTATAATAGTGTAGTGGAAATTACACCCAATTTATGTCAGTACACTTAAGCAGAAAGGTTTCTATATAGTGACAAGAAAAAAATCTATGTCTTGTAACAATAGTGGAACCCTTTTTAAGGTTCTTGAAAGAGCAACATATTCAGCAGGTCAGAGTTGTGACAGTTCTATATATAACCATTGCATTTACTGATGAACCCTTGAAGAACCACTTTTTAGGGGTGCATGTCTGATATAACAAATATGTTGCATTCACATCTTGTACCAACTCCCTGTTTCAAAAAATATATATTTTTAAGAGTATTTGTATTACAGCACCCCTACTGGCCAGTAAAAGGTGGTGACGGGAATGGCGGAGCTCACCGTTACGTTGGGGGGGCCCCCTACCCATTTGCTGGTTCATGCCAAAGGGATCCTGCGGGTTAGGGTTCATCGCACTTGTATGCAGAGCTGAGTCTGAGTTGGTTCTGTTGAGAAAAAAAGAGAAAGTGAGACACGGGGTGGGGGGGGGTGAGAAAGATAAAAAGGGCACTGGTAACTGGCATACTAGGTAAAGAACAATGGCCTGTTCCTTTCAGAGCAGCCAGGTGAGGCTGAGCAAAAGCCTGAGCACAGTTGAATCCATACAAGCAGGTAAGTCAAACACCCCCCACCCGACCACTCACTGCTCTCTTTAACCAGTAACACATGAGCTGTCTCTCAAGGGCTCTTCAGGAAGCTCCAGTGCTTTTCTGGCTCTCTCTGCTGAGCACACACTCAGGACAGAGCTCCAACATTAATCACTGCACATGAAAAGGTGAATGCAGTGCATTTGTCTCCAACAGCAGTTTGCGTTTTAAGTGCATTATGCATCACGACAGAATGAAAACTACAGCAACAAAGTACAAAGGTGAGTTTGTTTCAGCATGAGCTCATAGTGCTTTTGGAGACAAACACTGAGGCAGGGCTCAAATCTACATTCAGAATGAAAACATGAACTTACAGTCATGAACAAAAAGCTCCAACCCTAAGCATTTCACTAAATTATAGTATAAAGTATAGTGTCAACATGGCCACTATTTTCTAGTTTCACTCCTTTCATATAATTTAATGTATCTGAGGAATCTATTAGTAATATTAATTAACAGGACAGTATATAGCCTTATGCAAAAAAAAGGGGAAATAAGTACACTTCCTCTACAGCAAACACACTACTTTACTACATTTTAATTTTTGCATATATATTTATATATATATATATATATATATATATATATATATATATATATATATATATATATATATATATATATATGCAAACATGAAAATGTTTACATTTTTTCCAATGCGTTAAACTCAGCAAACAAATAAAATTGTGCACTAAAATCAGCAGAAAAATGCCATTTTTAAGTCTGTTCCCTGTAGAGAACTTAACTTATTTTCAACAAGACACATCATTTGACCATGATGGTGGTGTTCAAACTTTGGCAAACAACTGTAGCTCTATTAGCCATTTACATTCAACGTTTGCAACTGAAAGCAGAATTTATACACTGAATTTGCCCATATCTGCTTTCATTGTTGTATTTAAATTAAACAAGTCATTTAAAAAAAAAAATCTGAAACAGATCAAATCAACAGTGATCTATAAAAACAGTAAATTTTGAACGACGCATGAAATTTCAATTGTACCAATAATCACCAATTCCATGTTCATGCTTTGATTTCCAGTGTGAAGATTCAAGCCCAGGCATATTTTACATTTTTATTTTATGTGTATTTTTTTTGGAGATTAGCAGAGAATTCCTAATTTGGTTTAGTTCAATGTGGAAGTGACTGCCTTACCGATACAGTCATTTGCTTTTTTTGTTCCACAGAGTTAAATATGATTGAAATTAAACAGAACCAAAAAGGCCGTGATTGGTGATATGCTAGAAATCGACTTGACCTTAATCATGAAACAAGAAATGGTACAATAAATAATCAAAGAAGAGAATGTGTGAATGAGAGACAGGATGATAATATCTGTCAAAAGGGAGAAAGCAGAGGAGAGAAAATGCAAGACAGAAATCCAGAGCAGCTGATCTGTGACAGGAGTTCAGTAGAAGTTCGAAGATCAAAGGTCACCTGTTGAGCTGCGATATTAATCTAAACCCAGGCCGTTTCTCTTCAGTCCAGGGCTGCTGCTCCCTTTGGAAATGGAAACAATCATGTGTTACTCACTGTCATTAACACATAGGGACTGGAGATCACCCTGGCTTTGGGTTAGTAGAGGGAGATGAGCAAAAAGACAGAGAGAAAGGAGAAGAAAGAGCGGCAGCCTGCGATTAACAGTATCCTCGGTGGGCCTGCGGGCACACAAAAACAGAACTACACAAATCACAGCTTGGTCCCTCATGTTAGCCTAAGCAGGGCACACCTCGCAGATTTACTACAGGGACTGCCACGTCTGGGAACAAATCAGAGAACAAACAAATGTGCTGCAACATCCACAGCCTCTAAAGGGCTGAATCAGACATATCAAGAAATCTGAAAAACAGCATGATATGTGCAGCTTGATATGTGCATTCCGACTGATTTTGATATTCAAGTTTTTGCAAGAGTTAACACTTAATGAACGGATATAACTGAAATTAGCGTATGGTCAGAGGCTTACTCTTTAAGGTGATATTAATAATGTTAAGAGGCTAAAAGTATCAGTAGCACAATCATTTAGAAGCATGCAGAGGAATACATTTAAAAAACGTGTTATTATTCAATAGCTGATGGAAAACAGTAGTTTTTGTGTTGGATGAGTAACAGAGGCTGCTTCTTCAGATGTGAGCTAAAACTCTGGCTGAGGTATTTTCTCTTCTATCGACAATGTGCCAACATGTTCATTTTTAAGAAAAATATTTCCACTGTTTCTGGATCTAGCTAACATCAACAGTTAGCCTAGTGTTACGTGTAAGCATGTTATTTGGGGTTTTTTTTTGCGTTTGTGCCTGTCTCTCTCCCGGTCTCTCCCTTCGCAGGTGTACCTGCTCTGCCATCAGTCATGTGAGGAGGACCTTTGACCAATCAGAAGCCTGGCTTGTGTAGTTGGGGGGAGGAGCCTAAGCCTTAAAAGGAAAACTTCAAGATGGCTGAAGAGAGAGAGGACTGTTACCACATGTGTGCTGTGTTTAGTTTGTGTTAGAAGTGTGCTTTTTAGGTAAGGAGTTGTCTCTTGTTACCTGCATGCTTTTAACTTTGTTTTACAACAGACTGTTTGATTGTTTGTTCCACCTGGGGTTTCAAACAGGTAGGAGGGGCGCACCTATACATTTGCACCACATAGAAGTCTACTCTGTCTAGTTCCCTAGGTCAGTGGGGTACTTCTGATTACTGGCCAGGGAAGTGTAGAGTAGTTAGTTTTTGTTTTCTTGTGTAGTTTAGCTAAGTACTTTTTGTTTAAGTGGGCAAGCAGGGTTAGGTTTTGTTTTGTTCTTCTCTTTGGTGCCGCCCGCAAATTGATTCTTCCAGTGTGGTACTACACATCATAGCACATAGTTTTATTGTGGTTGGTTTTAATAAAATGGCTTAAAAAGCTCTATTGGTTGGTTCCTGGTACCAGTCATCATCCGGTTCAGTGTTTTAATGCCACGTGTCACTGATCCCACAGTGCCCTACACAAATGTGTGGTAATAACGTAGCAAAAAAGCTATCTTCTCAGTTACTTCCTTAAGAATGCATTCTTGGCAACACATTTACATTCAGGCACTCATGTTTTGGAGTGGCAAAGTGTAACATACACTTTGAAGTCTTGTTAAAACATAAATTGATGTTTCATTGCAGTCTTAGTCTGTATATTTTCCTGTGATGATATGGAACAAGTACCCAAGTACTGATTTCAGTACTTGAATACTGTCACCTCAACCAAGTACCCATGCACATCCCTACGGGCTATATAGCAAATTTTATAATTATAATGATTTAGGTCAGAGTAAGCTTTTCTGAGTGTATCATCTAGGAGTGCACATTCAGAAATGGAGTCAGAATCAGCAGATTTTTTTGCTCAAAACTGGCCAACTTATTGTTTTCATTTTGGAAGATCTATGTTCCAATTTTAGGACATAAATACTGTGGGACAGGAAGGTGCACTCGCCCTGGTTACAGTAACTGTGGTGTCTCAGATCAAATTATCTATATGTCATAACAGTAAATCAAAAAAGCACACAAAGAAATTACATAGGACAGGCAATAAGCATAATTTCTACACTCTGCAACTGCCCATCATAGAGCCCAGATGTAGAAACCCCAGCTGTGGAACATCTGTAGGCTGTGTAAGCAGGTTTAGAAAATACTGATGCTGCTCTTTAATATTTCCACCAAAAGAGGCTTGCATATTTTTTTCCACAACAAAAAATCTCCAGGGAAAGGAAATAACAGCAATAAACCATTTTCAATTTGTCTGCGTGGCAGGTGGGAAAAGGCTATGTAGAACAACTATTTGGGGGATATCAGGGTGACGCAATGATTTACCAACACAAAATGTAGGAAAGACAAAAAAAAAGAGGAAAAAATTTAAAAACACGACTGGGCCATCTCTCTGCTGCCCAGCACACGCTGGACATCAGCTTATTTTCACGTTACTACGCAAAGCCTTTTTACCCCCACCCACTAAACTGTATTAAGGCTTAGCAGCACATGCCATATGGAGTGCTGAGGCCAAGCGGCCAGCCTAGTCTCGCATCTCCGTAGAGATATCTGAGAGTGTAAATTAAAGATGGCACTCTCAAAATAGAAGATTAAACCCACAGACATGTACAACGAGGGGATAAGCTGGAAAATATAGATACATGAAGAGACAACTGACCAGTCTACATAAAAATCCAAACAAAACAAAGCCGCTGCCCACCAGAGAGAGACAGAGTTAGAGAGTGCTTTATGTGAACCTCCTGCAGGCCACTTCTGTTTTTTCAGTGTCATTTAAGTCCAACTCTGAAGGCTTTGTTGCTTTCAAACTGATCTAAAAAGCAGATGCTTGACGGATGGCTTCAAAACCCGATGGCCACCAAGGCACTGGACAGACCATTCAATCAGTGCATATTCCTACTGGACCACAGTCAAGCTTCATGTCTCTGGGTCAGAATGCCTTTAAGGGTGCCCTCCCAGGAGAGGCCTGCCTAGCACAAGTGGTGACCAAAGCAGAGAAAGGATGGGGGAGCGTGGGACTAGGAGAGCAGTGGTGACCTCAGAAATGACCCAGTCCAGCTGGTCTCCACAGGGACAACATACAGACCCTGCCCAGACTTCAGAACCAAGCCACCATCCCCCCTACCCAGACTCCAGAGAGACTGCTGCTCTCCTGGGACAACTGAACCTTCCACTCCAACCAAAAACTGTCCTGTCCTTTGGATCTCATGGAGTTATGGCTAAAATGGCCGTCCTCATCGCTCTGAGATCATTCCCCTTTTACACTACATAAATATTCTTATCAGACTAGACTTCAATGGGTCATGCACCATTTATCATGATGTGAGAAAATTTTCCAGCAAAAACAGCCAATAGCATCAGAAATATGTTCAAAAATAAAGAGTCATAATATCTGGGCAAGTTCTTAATATTATCTGTCGATCCTGACTACTGATGCAATATATTTTCCTTAAGTAAAAGAGCCACAGCACACACTTCAGCATATTGAAGTGGCCAGGATGGTCATCCCTCTCCCCCTATCACTCGGCGTGATGCTAGACAACACAAGCTGTTAGCTGACATAACAGAATTGGCCTTTAGTGTTGTCCTCCAAGCTCACTGAACTGTCCAATTTAGGAAAGATAAGCTTCACAGTCAATTACTTTAAAGGTAACTGTTTTAATCTAATAGCAAAATCATTTCATTGTGAATTTCTCTGGTTGTGGGACTAATAAAGGATTTTCATATCTTGTATCGGAAGTTTCTTTCTTTGGTTTTGCTGTGGAGCTACGAGGCTAATGTATCTAACAAGGAATGGAAGCCAAGGGCCCATTTTCAATTCAATTTTTAACATGCCCTCGCCAACTTTGACTCACCACTCAGAAGTGCATCACATCTAAGGTACACAGGTGGCCACTCGCCATATAAGTGAAGCAGGTGACAGCGAACAGTGGATTTTTCAAGTGTAACGCACTCACCCTCAGCATGTTAGCTTCAGTGAGCTGTATAGCTAGCCATGCAAACTGCTCTAACAGAGCTAACTGAATGTTATGGTTTGGAAATATATAGCATTTTTATGTTAACTGGCTTATAACCGGCATTTGTATGGGTTTGGAAATGGAAATGTGACAGATCTCAATGCTTTCTGGGCAAGTTCTGCTGCTAAAGTGGGAACCTGTGTTCACTCAATTGGAGGGGTGCTTGTTAGAACCAGTATTGAAATGGGCAGTATGTCTTCCAAAATGTGTTAGAGAGGAACAGATTTCTGCTATATTAGCCTTGTAGATGCAATAATAAACATACTTTGGTCAATGGAGAAAGAAGGGTGAAAGGAAAATTGTGTTATTTTGGTAAATTTTTGGTAAACCATTTTATTGATATCCATTAAAACATTCTAAACGAACTAATTCTTTGTTCCACCGCAGTGCCAACCAAGCGCTTTCATTCAGTGACCATGCCCACGCCTATTGGTCTCTGATGCTGAACAACAGAGACAACATAGCAAATCAAACACTGTGATTTCCTCTAAATCAAGCAAGTGCAACAAAACAACGAAAGGGCCACACACACTCGAAGATACTATGAGGCTAACAGTTACGAATAAGTGCTTCCAGCAGTGAAAATGCTGTCCGGGGCGGAGAGGGTTAAAGGATAGTGTGGATTGCCTCCAGTATGTCCTGAAGTAATGCATTACAGATGTGGAGTGTTGTAAACATTTCCTGCTCCTCTTTCCCCAGAGGTCATACATTAGCATCTGCCTCGGAATCGAACAGAGCTCTCCACCTCCACCGCCCAAACACTGGCCTTAGCGTAGCATCTGCAGCCAACCTGAAAGCTCACTGCCAACCTTACAGCAATAATGCTAAAACCCACAGCCCACTATTGCCCCTACAGCACAACGCTAACCCAAAAGCCCACTGATGTCCCAGGAGAAGCTATTACAAACCTATCAGCCTACGACTGACGACAGCTAACCTCACTGCCCACTGCTCCATCCTCTAGACAGCTGAGAAACCTGCAGTGCTGTAGATACATGCTCTGAAAAACAGAGATTTCAGAATGCTGCCTCTCCTGCTAACCACGCTTCAGAAATCAAGCGTGGGAACACTGGGGTCTACTGTTCACCCAGAAGAACACAACTCAAAAAAAAAGCTTGGCTAGCCCTTCAGCAAACTCCAAACCATGGCGTCGAAGACAACCCAAAAAATTAATTGGTTAGCCTTTAGCTTTCTTCTAACCATACAGTCCCTTGCTGAATATTCATTCAGGAACTGGCAAACAGAGGCATGCTTTTAACCCAGACTGCAAATACTGCAGTCTGCACAGAATTTGAAATAAATTAAAGCTCCAAAAGCTCTTCAAAGCACATGGTCTGTAACTACAACGCCATCAAGCTTTCCCTGCAAACAGCCCTCCCTTTTCACTCTTTTATACTACCGAAGCAAGCGATAAATAATAAATCCAGAGACGTCTGAAATGAGATGTTTTAGCAAGACTGATAGCAGACCTTGCAAATGAGGCTTATGGAAAAAAAAAGACTCATTTCTGAAATCATCCCCATTCAGCGTCACCCCTTATTCTGTAGAATAGAATAAATGCTTTCCATCTGGGATTAAACCAAAGGTTCCGCAGGTAGTTTTAGTTAAACGGTGCTTTACTGACTGACACAATTGTCAGTTCTCAATTATGTCAGTTCTCAATTATCACACTTCAATTCAAACAGCAGACACTCAGTCTTATAGCCCTGGCGCCAAAGCTACGCAGAATGGTTTGCGGTTGGTTTCCGTTTATCATCTTCTATTTTACTTATTTTTCGGTAGGTCTCTTCATTAAACCTGTGTGTGTATATGTTATAGCATGTAATTCTCATGCTTAAGGTTAAATCTGCATGCATTTTTATATGTTTTTGTTACTTACCATGATTGTGTTTCGTGTTTCACTAGTTCAGCCTGTATTGCTGTCATGTAAGCCCAACTAACACTTGGCAGTAACATCCAATCACCATAATCTGATCGTGGTGATTTACACTAGCTCTTTCAAAAGCAGCTTCCGTATCCAGATACTGATCAGATCTGTTTTTCTGAGCGATATTTAAAATTTTAAAACAGGTTAACGTTGTAGTGGAGCAGAGTAGGTGGAGCCTATACAGGCTGTGCTTTGTTTAATGCTTTTTGCAACCACATTCAGAGCACTCCAGGCATTTTAAGCTACAAGTTATGTTTGTTTAGCTCCCACAACTGAAGCACAATTGTTTAAAAAAAAAAAAGAAAATTATAGCCAGGAGTGGTATGAGAATTGTGTACTGTGTTCTCAGGCAGCATTTTTTTTTTTTCATTCCTGAGCCTAAGCTTTAATACACATGCAAACGCTATTATTATATTAACTTGTTCAATAAGAGAGGCAGCAGTGTTATCGAAATGCTAGACCTTTAACGTAGCCAAGCTGGCCGCATTGGGTTTACACACACAGACAGATCCCATCACAATGCATGCCTGACTAACTCAGGATGAGGACAGGCATATCGCTTTTAAAAACGTGTACAAACAACATCCAGATACAGGATGTGTTTTTAATGCCGAGTGTAAACAAGGCCATAGTTAAACTGAGAGTGGCTCAAATTGAGCTCCTCAGTGACACAACAGTGTATGGTTTTGTCCCATAATCATGACATCGCAAAATCAAATCTCGGAGGTCCGATGACCAAAAATAGATGCTAATTATCTGCAATATTATTGACCAATACTGATAATACCATGGGTCAGCCAATGGTAGCGATTGGACCCTAATCACAACATGCTGCCAAAAGGAAAATAATGCCAAGTCACAAGAACACTCATCCAACACTGAAAAAACTCAAAAGGACAAAGCAGAGAAAACCAAAGAACACCTCACTGCATTTGATCAAACAGACAGCGAGACACCCTCAGCAGGCACAGAGCCCGTACTAACACTGGTCCCACTCCTGAAGGTCCTGTACAGAAGGGAAGCAAACCACTATAACACAGTAAGAACCCAATCTGTTAAAAGGGGAGAGCAGAAGGCAAAAGCTTGGCGGAGTGCAGATCTGGCAGAATTAGTTAGTGCTGTTCGCGCTGGGGGAGCACACACTAGAGGAATAGCTACACATTCACCCTTGAGAAAGAAAAAGAAGTGGTTAGATTAGAGAGGAAAGCTGTAGTTAGTACTGGGACTTCACCAGGAGTTCGTCAAAAACATTTTTTTTTTCTCAAAGGAAAGATTGATATGTAATGAGGTGCTACACATTTGAAAACACAAAACACTAACTGGATGTAATTAAAAGCATATTCAACTTTAACAAAATGACATCCTCATGAATCTTAAAATAAAAGTCATATATAAATAAAAAATCAAGTGTGGAGATCTGGCTACACTTGACGCAATTTCCACTGGTTCTTAGGTTACATAATTTATCATGTAACTCTGACTACATCCTTTGATGTAAGACCACATGAAATGAAGCGCTTCCCTCATGTGTAATGATAGGCTTTAAGTTTGCCCAAGATTATGTATTCAGTTGATGTCTGCACCAAAGATAAAATATTTAATAATCTCAGAATTCTGCTCTCTGGTTGCCTTTTGCTCACATTTCAAAGGCCAATATGCGCAGCCGTGTGTTCCCGACTTAGAAATACTGAAGTGACTGTTCTTGATTTTACTTATAATTCATAAAACAAGGCAATAATATCTTTATAAACTGTTACAAAGCCATTTTAATTGTGGATCCTAGTGCCAGTCCGAGTACAAGCAGTCACATGTACTGCAGCATATGGCCGTCACAGCAGTACTCCAGCACTAAGAACAGAAGGTCGGGCTAAAGCTACACCGGCCAACCTGTTTTCAGGTGTAAACAGTGACAGAGGGCGTGGACTCATTCAGTTTTACAAGTTGAGTAGAGTCAACATGGAGTGTCGAGCAGTTTGCAGTGGAACTGCTATTGGGAAGAAGCCACGTTGGCCAGCAGCCAAGCCAACATTCAAAACATGACTGTACAGAGGAGGAGCTGCATTAAGCCTTTTATTACAGGCTGTAATTCACTCCCTGGTAAACACAAGAGGAAAAACCGTCCACTGATTATGCTTCAGTGAGACTGAACTCTGAGGGGAAAGTGCCATTTGTGTGGGGCAGACTTGTTAGTGTTTATGTTTTGGATCTTAATCCTGCTAGAAATTAGACAGCTAGTGCTATGTTGTGTTGTGGTCTCACTACAGATATACAAAACACTGAGTGTGCTAGCAAAGCTTCACCGTTTCATTTGACCTTTTAGCAAAATGGAATCTGCCAACCGCATCCCTGTTGATGCAGGTTTTCCTGAGGCAAAAAAATCTATCCCATTTTAGGCATCGGTTAGGATACACCATGCACATGCAAAACATGCTAATGTTCTACTTAATGCCCACGTGACATTTTAAACAACACCTCATTTCATCCACTGATGGCTACTAAACTAAAGGCATTCATTCCCTATTTGTGTAGGGAACTGAGGTAATGCATGTAGTACTCACCTTCTCCAACTGTTGTCAGGTGGAGGTGACAGGTACACTGTTCCATACGGAGAGCTCTCTGCGTGCTTTAGTCAAGGAAAACTGTCATTGTACATTTTAAAATTATTATCAGACCAACCAACAGATCAACTCTTAAAAAATGATGTGTAATCGCACTATATAAAAGCAGAGTGCAATTCATAGTCATTTGTAGCTCATTGAAACAACCAGAGAAAACCTATGGAAAAGTGCAGATTTTAAACATTCACTCCATACCTCGTTTGTGTTCACAAGCAGAAGAGAAGAAATTTTATAATTTATCTGAATTTGATGAAATGTTATTGTTGTACAGAGACTTATTTTAAGGACAGAAAAACATCTCTGTCAGAAAAAACATGTCTTTATATCTAAACAAACAGAAAAAAGGCCAGAAGTGCAGATATAAACTTGTCAATACAGATTGTAAATCAAATGTACAGTACTGTGCCAAAGTCAGAGAGCACCCTCTACCCTTCACCAAGTTATTCATTTTTCAGTGTCAGAAAAAAAAAAAACAGCAGAAAACATATTTATCTATGGCAACTGAATGTAACACCATTTTTTCAGTATTTAGTGTATCTATCCTTTGCCTTTATTACAGCTTCCATTCTTTTCAGGAGACTTGGCATCCGCAGGGATATTTTTCCATGCCTCCAAAGTTCAGTCTAAAAAACGGGTTGCATTCAAAGACATTAAATGATGTCGAAATCTGGACTCTGTGGTGGCCAGTCGATTGTTCTGAGAATACCCGCAGCTTCTGTGTTTGATTTGTAAATTTTCTTTTTGTCTCTTTTCTCAGGGAGGTTTTCTTGACAGCTACACATCCTTTCAGACCCATATTGTTGAGTTGTCTTCTAACAGTTGAAGGATGGACAGAAACACCTGCGGATTTTTGTCAGATCTGAAGCAAGAGCGGCGCTTATCTTATATCCATGTCTCTCAGCAATAAATGTAATATATACTAAATGGCCATTTTAACTGCAATAAATGGCCATTTTAAATGAAGGGTATTTTCTGACTTTTGCACTTTACTGTAAATATAGTTTGCTGCATATCCCAAGTATCCATGTCATTACATAAGTAATTATGTAATTTCATTTTAATAGTACATCAAAATTAAAGTCTTCATTTCTAAGGGTTGACACCCCTCTGTCTGCCACACTGTTAATAATATGTTCTAATATTTGACATTAAGCTTGTTTGTCAAATGAAATATATAAATAAAATTAATCAATATAAAGCCATCACTCTGCTTGCTCACACTTTTGCTTTAGTGTTAGGAACCACCTCAAAATTACCAGAAGAAAACGTGTGTAAACGGTTAAAAGATGAAAAAATAAAGTGAAAAGGAATGAAAAGTTGTAGTTTAACTGCTTATCATGGTTATTTTCCCACATGGTTAGCCGAAAAAAGAGGATTCTATAACCGTAACAGGCCCAAACACATGGCAGGGCACAATCTCTGTGAGAAAATTAGCTGTAACTGTGGTTTGGTTTTAAAGATCCAGTTAAAACCAAAAAAATGCAAAATGGAACAGGAATGAACACAGCATGTGAAGAAGTTGCAGAACATCTTAAGTAAACACTGGGCTGAGCAGCAGTCGAAGAAACAATGTTGACAATTCTGACTCATCATGACAGCCTGTGCCAAATCTCTTGTCAGAGGGATGCAGAAAAGAGACACAGAGCAGGAGAGAGTCTGGCGCTTCCTCTGCTAAACATCTGCTCAGGATCGGCGTGCCGACTCATCAGTTCTTTACCGAGAGACTGCAGTCTACACGCCAACTCAACTACCACAAGACCAGCATCTTCAGCTACTGACCTGGGCCATGATACCACATGACTAACCACCAGCATCCAAAACCTGACCACTGAATTTTTCCTTTTTTGGCAAATAAACCAGACATCTTGAGTCATTCTGGTTCATATTCACATATTCATCTGTTTTTCAGCTCTTCTCATCTCGTTTTGGCTCTTTTTACATTATGACTCTTTTCTCATTTTCTACCTTAATGTTTGTCCTTTTTACTTTATTATTCCCTTATTTTGCCACATTTTCTCTTAAGTATTTGTTAGTATAGCAAATAGTTTTGCCAATTTGTCTGGTCTGGTTTGTGTATTACATGTAATGGTGAATAATATGACAAAGATCTAACACAACACGTTTTTCTAAGGTTTGTAAATAAGTTGAAATGGACATAATGCACAAAACAGCTGTGCTACGAAAAATTACAGATTCAATGTTACAATGTTTTTTATTCAAGTCATAAATGAAGAACAAAAGGGGGAAAAAGATCAAATAACATACTGGCACAATGGGCCAATCAGGTACTTGGTTACTATGCCATTTGCCAGATATTGCTGTTTAAAGGCGAGTATAATTGGTCTTTTTATGAAACATGCAGTTGATCAGTGTTCTACAAGTATTGATGATACCCGTGATTTACTCAGAAAAACATATTTTGATGTAATTCATCAAAATAACAACATCCTCACTAAACAAAATTATTTTCTGTGCAACATATTTGCTGAAAAAACAATTCAGATCTGAACCAATATGGAATGTACTTCAACACACATATGGCACATGAACCCAGTTTTACCAGCAGCCTTGCTAAGACTCATAATGAGCGGAGGGGTGGGATGATAGCCCAAGCCGAAAGGCTCGGATTATGATAGATCCTTCCACAGATTTAATTAGCTTTTGGCTGCCAAAGCAATGTGGAGAGACAGTGAGCCTGTGACAGTGCCTCCCTCTCAGAGGCGTAGGTGGGTTAACCTTTACTCCATTCACACTGACAACTAACACCAGACTTGCTCTACTCTTCCGCCAATGAGGGAGGTGGCAATTAAGCAAGATCATAGGGGTTGAAGACCTTAAGGGAAAGGCAGCGTGTGAAACAACGAAAGAGCAGACTAGGGGTGGCCAATTTGTAGAAAAGCAAAAGAATGCTTTTCTAAGTATATCATGGATATCATCAGCACTGTTAGAACAATGATGACTGCATGTATCATACAATAGATTTAAACTCATTATAGAGAGCAGATCAACAACAACAACAACAAGTATACAAGTACAGCATACTTTCACAACAAGTACAGCAATGGCACACGCTAGCAACTGAATGGATATCAGATATTCTCTTATTTTTATAGATACACAATGATATTGGAACCGTTACGGCATCAGATAATTGTCATAAAAATAATAATAATAAAAATAATTGTTTGTTTTTTCGACATTTTGTAATGTCGGCTGTGCTTCGGACCTCTTTCCTCGAGCGGATGAATCTGATGATTGCAAGCGCGCTGAAAGAGCATCGAAAAAGAACTCAGCCAAAACTTGGTGAAGGATATGTCTTGGGTGAATTATCTGCTACTCTTGTCATATCTACATCAGTCTAATGCTAACTTTCTGTTTGAAACATTGAGCTGGACTTTCTTTTTGAGAATTCTGCATGTTACGTTAATATGTAAAGTTCTATGACATGGTCTGAAAGTCTCCAGACCCGACACCTCTGACTCTTAAATTATTATTTCAGGCTTTACAGGACAACTCACAGCAGTGCACACACACCATATTTTAGCATGTTTTTTTTCCTCACTCAGTAATGCAACTTCTTTCAATTTAAAAAGATCTTACACAGTGCAGCTTTAAAAAACGTTTTTTTTCAAACATGGAATTAAAAAATAACATTTACCAGTGATGCACTGAAATGAAAATGAAAAATAATTTACTGTTTCATTGACGCGTTTGAATTAAAGTAGTAATGCTGACAATTTTTTAAAGCAATAATATTATAAAATGTAATAGTTGACAGTTTCCCAAAGGCATCAGCAGCTAAATGCCAAGGCCCCTCCGCTATGACAACAGAAAACACCTTGGTTTTTTTATATATGAAGCACAAGACCCAGCTTAGCAGTCTGGAGTTTCATGGAGTGTTTGTCGTTTAAAGAGAAGAAACAACCATAACCCTTAACAGGATCTAACAGACACACATGTCTGCAGTAACAACTTTCAAAACCAGAAGTAAAAAAGTTTACTACCAAAACTATTGAGTTACTTAATGTTATGTATGAGATTTCCCCTCTCGACTTTATTATCATTCAAATGATTTGTGTCCGATTTTGTCATTTTATTCTACACCTATTTAAACCTTTCCTCTTTCCAGTCCAAATTAGTAGCTTTTTTCTCTTTCGCCCCCAAACCAAAAGTGTTAGCTTATTCCTAATAAATACAGCTTTTGCAGCCTTTTATATGGCTCTGATGTTTGTGGTTGTATTTTGTCTGTTTAGTGGCTGTATTTTGTCTGTTTTGTTGACAATCCCCAGGAAAGCTAGATATCGTGATAAATATCATGTATCATGAAAATGTCAAGTATTGACTTTTGCCATATTGTCTACCCTCAGAGCAGACCACCAGTTAGAGAAAGATTGGTTGTGAGTACTGCTGAGTGTGTATCACAGCTTGCTTAATCTTGGCAGCTACAGTTGAACTGATTTGTGAAAAAAAACCCACAAGCCAACACTGAGAGAGAGACATCTGGCGCTGAGGGGGAAAGATTTACTGTGAAGGCAAATTTGGGCTTCAGGATCCTCCCTCAAAAACTCACTCTCTCCTAACAGAATGAGAACAGCACAAATGCAAAGGGTTTTGGATGCTTAGTTGAATAATTTATATCAGGAGCCTTTTTGCAGTACGAGAGCCAAAAGCCATTCAAGAGTTTTAACCACTGTAATCTGGCCTCTTTGAAACATTTTCTTGACTAAACCCATATAGCACAGGGTTCTTGCCTCAGAGAAAACAAAACACACATCAAGCACTGGAAGAAGAGAATTGCTCATTAAAAAAGTCATGAACTGACGCAATAAGAAGCAATCTTAAGTAATTAGATATACTATTTATCATCCCAAAATTAGAGCAGTTATACAATACAGATTGGTAGAACATGTTACAGAATAACACAGCAACTCGGACAAAAGTCAAAACAATTCTTTGCAATGCAATAACTAACCGGGCGGAGGGGGTGGGGTTCCATCCACCATCGTTCTATTTCATTTAAGAATCAACTCGATCTAACTCTCCACTGAGAATTTATTGCACCCGAATCCTTAAAAGAGCACACAGACAGTTCTTTGAAAAAACAGGTCCTGTAGTTATTATAACAGAGGAGGTTACAATCACAAAGGCCTCCAACCGCTCAAAGAATAAAGTCTGCTGCTGCTCACAGCTTGCGACTACTTTGAACCAAAGATGTCAGTCGTTCGAAGCTGTTATGTAACACTAGTCTTTGAAACTCTCTTGTTCTTCCTCTTGCTTTGTCTCTGCATGCTTGAGCATCTGACGAGACTGGGCAGTTCAAGTTCTGCCGCAACATCATTAACTATGGACAAGTTCCCAGCACTGGTTATAGATAATTCAAACTCTGAAAGTCCTCCATGACTTCAAAGGCAAAAACATGAATTTTCAGACTGAGGAACAAACAAAACCTCAAGCGGCTTCTTCCAGATAGTTCAACATTTCATCTCAGTGATCATCAGCTCATGAAGCATGGCATATGTGTGCATCAAAGTATATGGTTTCTGTACATTTGCTGAATTCATATAAATCCTTAGAAGTACAGAATTACTACTGCCAAGTCGATATACTAAAAAACTTCAGTACATAATTAATTACATAGTTACGTTGTGTAAATTGCATTTACATCTGATTTGTATTCTGTATCAACAGATACCACTCTGCACTTTTTTTGGAAAAAAGCCAAAAATATAGTAAAGTGGTAAAAGATGTTTTAATAAACAATTGTTTGATCAGTGCTATCGGTTCATTTAATTTTATTACATTTAAAAAAAAAACCAAAGTTCCTATTTGATTAGGCAGGTTTACCATCAACTTGAGGAATGTATTTGAATTTCACATGAGGGGGGCAAAAGACAACTGGTTCCGGCAGTACTGAACAATTCAGCATGCTGCCAAAAACAGTGGTGTTCAGGACCACTTTTCAAGACTGCAGCCAATAAGACAGACAACTATTTTGTCTGTACTTAGAAAAAAAGCGTTATGTATTGGCGATGTTGGTGTAGTGTAGTGGCTAACACTTCCACCCCTGCTTGGGTAAGCACCCTACACTATACCAATACAAGTCCTTGGGCAAGAATCCTAACACTACTTTCGCCTGCCTGTGTAAAATGATCAAACTGGAAGTCGCTCTGGATAAGAGCATGTGCCGAATGCCATAAAAGTAAATGCCGATGTGCGGAAATCATGCATGGGTGTGCAAGGTTGTGCAGAAGGATGTGGTGGACTATGACTGCTGTCGAGACCTTCTGAGGTCCACTGAACTAAAACTAGCCCCAGCATTTATGTTTGTTTTAACTTAGTAATAAGTTATAACTTTTTAACTTTGGCATATATAGATCTTTCAGTACCCCATCATTATATGTGCCTATTTCATCAGATTGTTATTTTTCAGTCATGCAATCATGAACATGTCAGCCTCTCTGTTTCAACAAAACCGGGTTCTTATGTAGGGCATTTCAAACAGTGTCTTTAATTCGGGCTGTTTACTTCGTATCCACGCTTACGACTGGCCTCACCTATCAATGCTATGTTCCACAATCCTCACAAGTAACATTTTTTAATATCTCAAAGCGTTAATACAAAATTCAGCTGATGTGAATGTTCATAACTAGTGGGCAAAAATTTTATCGTGATAATTAAAATTTTGATGCTTTCGCTACACATTAAGGTATGGGCTGTCCCTTCACTTTTTAATAAGAACCATATTTCACAACCAAAGAAAAATATTTTTTTGCAAAACATTAAACACAAAATTGAACAATATATAGACAGACCTTTGTCAATATTGCTGTCTGGCACAAAACAGTGCCAACTGTTAAGTCACATCCGAATTCCTACAAAGATGAAGTTTGTTTTCCTGTTCCACTTTACACTTGTACAGGTGTTTGAATGTAACTGCTGTGCCATTTAAGGTGGAATGGGAAACTTAAATTAGAAGGTAGCTTCAGCTTTGCCAAATTTGTCAAGGAATTTGTCTCATATGTGACTCGCATATGATCATGCGCCAACCGTCAAGAATTTGGAGAATATTAGCCAGTCATTCATGCTTAAGTATATAGAGAATTTTTGACAAATACTGGTCAAACAAATTTAAGACTGTACATATGACATTTCTAAATATTACTTTAGAACTTTTCAGCTTCAAATCATAATATAAAATGTCTTTTTCACTTTACAGACAGAAATGCAGTTTAAATTCAAAGGTTAGAATCTACATCTTCAAAAGAATCTCTCTGCTTCTCCCAATGAGCTAAGAGTGACAAATATATCATATAAAACTACAGCAGTCTATTATTATCACCAACAATAATTGCAACTTCTAAGGCTTTACTTAGGTTATTTAAGTTCAATTAGTCTTTCTGCACTTTCTATAACCATATCACAATTATTTCAGGTGGCAAAATCACAACAGACAACACACACACAGACACACAGGTCATTAGACGCCTAACTAGTTCACTCCCACAATGATACGTTTTCTTGGGACATAATGATACAGCGAAGGCCCTCACAGGCCCTACGGCCTTACAAACAACTGCCCACATGAACAAAGGTCAACATGCACTCATGCATATACCCACATGCTCACACATATACAGTTCATGCTGAGAAAGATGAACTCCCCCCTAGACAAATTTGAAAGATGGAAAAAGAGAGCAAATGTGTAAAATGCTTGTACAAAAAGGAAAAAAAACATTCTTTCATAAGGATATCTTACTTTCTGCAATATGTGTTGCCATAGACAGCCATATTCAGGCCTGTAGAGACATTAGCTTGGTTTGCATGTAAAGGATATTTGCCGTCCATGTTTGTCGATAGGTCTGCGATGTGGAGAGTTGATGCGGTTGCGGTCTCGTTGGACTCTCTCCACCAGACCGTGGTGCCTGGTTCCTCTCACTGAGTCAAGACCAGAGGGAAACGTGCCCTAAACAGAGGCATTAATAAAGGAAAAAAGAAGGGTTTTGTTCTACATACACACACACACGACACATTACATTTAGTGTCATCAACATGTTAAATTATTAAATGGCACTCAATTTTTTAATGCAGTTAACGCAGCAGTTGTTCAGATACAACTTTTAAATGGTAGGTTACATTGATGGCTCTCTTGATGAACGTTATTTCCAGCTACCGACATGGCGAACTTGTTCTTCGCCTGAAGCTCCTGTCAACATGGTTTCAAATGTTTAAATATTTGTTTTGCTACTAAATGCTACGGAAAAAGTGTTTACCAGTGATATAGTCAAAAAATATACCATAAAAAATAAAACTTTTTATACAATGTAAAGGACAGCTGCCGAGCTCGAGTATGCAGAAAACTAAAAATCACAAAAAAATGGAAATACTTGTTTTTCTTTTTTTAGACAGTGACAACATATAAGTAAATACAACATATGCAACATGAACAACTCACAACACCGCCAGTCGGTGTGGTTCAGCCCTATACATTTGAGCCCCTCGCAGGGAAACAGACCACTTTGCTCTTCTCAAACTGTCTCTGAATGGTGATTAAAAAGTGCAAAATGGAGGACAAGCTGTCTAATGGTCATTTGAGAGATCTGTTTACATTAGCTGAGTTCTCATACATTAGCTGTGAATTACATTTATTTTACATATACATATTTGACAGTCAGCCATAATTTTATATCTGTAACCTATAGCTAGCCAGTTAACTGCTGGGTCATGCTTCTGAACTGGAGGTCACACAAGCCCCAATTATGAGGTATGAGTTGGTACGGTCATATTTGTGGACACTATGGAGAAATTTCTCATGTGCCTTATTGTGCATCACGCCTGTAAAGTAAAATTGAGGAGAAACACTGAGCCTTCATGTTAGGGAAGTAGCTAACTAAAATATAATTTTATTACTACAGTTAAGATGGACCAATAGATACCAAGCTCTAATAAATGAGGTTAATTGCTTAAAATAAGATCCTGGCTAATGTAAGCAGGAAGTAGCATCTAGCTATGCCACAAACAATGGTGTAATAAACCTTCATTACAAGTTAAATTTACAAAGGCTTAAATAATCTTTTTTTTTATTTTGGCTGAGACTGAGCGGCGGGGGAGAAGTCATCTATGTGAGGTAGAGGAACACAAGTAGCTCATGTACACATATTGCTAACTCTAAATTGGTACTTTGGCAGATCTGACGTGACCTGCACCAGATGTCGCCCCGCCCAACTTTGAACAGAAGAAAATGGCAGAAAAACTAATCTCAAATCTCACAAGAGAAAATCCCACCAGCATTCTTACTCAGAAACAGTTAGAAACACCCTGTGATTGTGTGATTGTTATGTGCAGTTCATGTGAACCCTGTACTCACATGATGAAAACATTTGAGCAAACAAATGTGGATTGCGACTGACTACACAAAACAATGCGATTAAGCAAAATTAATTATTAATTGTTTGACTCCAAGTTTCATTATATATTTATTAAACACATCCTTAAAAAAAATAGAACAAAAACGTTCAAACATGTTTGTGCAAAGCATGCAAACACAATGCAAAAAAAACAAATATAAACAAAAGTGCAACCATTTGGCCTTATATTTCCACCCAAGTGAGTAGACTACTCCAAAGCACGGTTTTACCTCACTAGAGTCGGTGTCTGATGACAGACAAAAATCTAGGGATCAGTGCCAAATGACTAAAAAGAACCTTTATTCACTGCAACAAGAGCACTTTCACTTGGAGATACACAACACTATTCTCCATGGGGGACCTAAACAGATACAGTTGTTCAGCTCTCGGAGCATGCTGCCATATCAAGTTTAGCACTGAGCTTCACCGGCTACTGATCGAGTAAGCCAATTGAGATTTGACTAAAGGGGGAAAAAAAAATACTTTCTTTGTTTCACTACATGGACAAGGCCCGCAATTACCATCTCTACACAACGTTTATGTAAGTGTAGCAAAGAAGAAGATACTGTTGAAGCTTATCTTCTCCTAAGTGAGCACATCTAGCTCGACTGACTTGGCTTAGATAAGGAGAGGAGCACAGGCCTCTTCATTTACCTGGAAATCGGTGCTGGCATTGCCAATCTGATTGACATTGGGCAGGGAACCACCATAGTACTGGGCGCGGTTCTGAGACAAGCGTAGCTGCTGGATCTTCTGAAACTGCACCTTTAAAAGAAAAGGCATGGAGATTTTAATTGGGTTTGTAACAACTGCATTTCTGCATGAGGAGCTGATGTCAGAGTTCACTAGAGATAACACATGTGCATGACAAGTCAGCATAAATATTCAGAAGATAAATTCTTGGAAATGGTTAAAGTAATTCAGTTTTAGGCACGCTGGGGCTCAGACAGAGGACAACGCAGGTTTTGTTCAGAGTCTAAGGTAAACATGTAAATTATCAATTCTGATCAGGAATAAGCAAATTGGCATGCGCTCCTTCCTCACACTAACCAAAGGACAAAATTTGAATCTCAAAGACTGACCTCATTTAATATTATCAATGGGTGAAGACTGTTTTGTCAAACGCAGTGGGTTAACACTAAAGCACAATGCGCTAGTCGATGCCATGTGCTGACTCAAAGCTGTCATTCTGTGCAAACGAGAGGTGTTTTTCAGTCATTAGTACTGAACAGCAATATTGGATATTTAAACTTGCCAGTTAAGTTCCTTCACTGAAGTAAACACATTCAAATAACACGGACAGTGGAACATAAGCAGGGGACTAACTGTAAACAACCTGCGACATACTCTCAAAGCGTTTTCTTCTTCTCGTTCTAGGATTTCTCTCATTCTAGGGTTAACTCATATGGTGTCTAAGCCCCACTTAGACTTGGAATCATTTAAAACAAGGATCAGCATACACCAAAAATCATATCAATCACTCACTCCGGAATTGAGACGCCTGCTGTAATGCATTACAAAGAATACCTAAAACGCAATGTCACTGTCCCTAAAGAGCGATGCTTACATAATGAACTAAATGTCTATAATAAGTCAAGAGCCTGCCTGCACACTCTTGCGCCGTCCCATACTAACAGTGCTGCAGCACGATCGAATCTGAAGGCAGGCAGTTCAGTCACTCTGCTTTTCAAAGAAAACTGAGAAATATATTTTTATGCAGCCATCACTGACTGAAATTCAAAGGTCAATGTATGCAAAAACGAAAAACACTGCATACTCTGCTAAACAGCATTTAACTTAATTAGGGATGCATAACAATGTTGGAATCATTTCGGTTTTAAAAAAAACTCATCAGCATTGGATAGAAGCTTAGATTTGACTGATATTTTAGGACATATTCATTGTACTCTAGAAGGGCAGAACATTTAGGTGATGCTGCACTGCAGTGCTAAAATGTCTGCATATCGTTCCTGTTAATGCATAGAAATAAATGTTATTTTTCACTTTAATGTTAACCAAGGTCCAACTTCTACATTTTTTAATGTTTACATATTGAAATCAGTACTTCAAAAGTATCAGATATTGGCATCAGCCCAGAATTCCCATATCACTGCATCCCTAAATCTAATTAATATACATTATGTTATATTATGTCTGCAGTTAACATTCTAAATAGTAACATAGATGTTGTTGTCAGAACACTTCGCATCTTCAAAATGGTAAATGTTCAACACGTTTGTATCTTTTAACGCAAGTTGATGTTACAATCACTCCTGTTGGTCCATTTATCATGGAATTTTCAAGCAACATAAACTGGCATTTTCAAACAATGTAAAAATGTAAAAAATGAAACAAACAGAGACACAAGGTTTTAATCTGACAGCAACAACCGTACATAACATTTGTTACATTCATATCATCATTTTGGGGGCATTTCTTCGCCCCGTACTTGTGTTTTAAGGGCCAAAAATGTTGAATACAGGGGCATTTTAGTCATTTATGTACAGTTACCTCTAATGTTGAACGGAGAATGCAAGAATCAATTACCCACGCTCAATTATCATATTTGGCACTCTAGGGGACTTAGAAAACCGACAATCACAAGCCCCCTGCTGAGTGAGGGAAAAGCAGATAAAAGAACTATTTATGAATATAATATTTTGCTGGAGTCCACAAGCTTTCCTCTTTGCACTCGTGCGTCACAAGTAAAGATTCAGAAAACTCCAATTATGGCCCAAAGGATTTATCAGCGCCTTACTACTACTACGTGCTACCATTCTGCAATTCACAGACATGATCTAAGCAAAGCATATCAGCAACCTCAACCATATCACATGCTCTTTCTCCTGTTTTATGCCAAATAAATGGTCTTTAATGACTCCGGACAAACATTTCAGGGCCTCTGGATACATTCAACACAAGAGCATACAGATGGTAATCACACAAAATTTGCTCTTTTCTTCTTAAAACATTAAACATTAAACTATCAGTATGAAGCAGAATGCTAAAAGAGAAAGCACAGTAAGTATTATCTTTATTACTGACTCTACATGTGGATTTGATTTTAAAAAAAGACATTTTATAACTTAAATCAAATTGAGTACTTCGTTGCCCATCAGTTTTGCGCTCATGCGGCATTTATAATGTATATTTATATTTATTAAACAAAAACGCTGTCGTACACAGCTGAAAAGATGTCAAGTCACCCACCAAATTTCCTCCAATGCCAAGTTACCTGCCTCTGTAAAATAAAACAAAAGCTCATAAGCAGAGCTTTGCCTTGCTGAAACATCAGCATGAATGAGCGCTGCAATTAAGCCCAACTCAAATAAAAAGCATCACTGAACCCAAAGGTTAAATTTAGTAGAAGGAGATTCTGAAATTAAGTCTGAGTCTCTCTTCCACGCTCAATTGGAAAAAGGGTTTCCAACAGGGCTGCAGATATGGACAAAAATTTTATTTTGAATTTAATGCTTATTATTGCAACTGTGACAAACACATTGGTGAATGCTGGATGTAAGGTGGTTTAATACTGGCTTCTGTTTGTGCTTTGTGTATGTTGTATCACCTGAAGGCCTTGATTCATGCAATCACATGTGTGATTGGTTAGGATGCTTACAGCACAAAATAAAATTCTGTGATTGATGAATGGCTCATTTGCATATTACAAACCTCTACATTATTGGTATTATGAAAAAACAGTGTTGGATAACTTGTATTTAAAGTACTTTCTGCAGACAAAAAAAACTTTTTTTAACTTTTAATGGACATTTATGTAACAAGATTTGTTCCAAGTAATTTTTGACCATTCCTACTGATCCGTTCGTCAGGAAATTTTGTCATGACGTAAAGGCACTTTTTTTTAACCCTTAAATGGCCAGGTCCTACTAACATGCCCAAAGTTTTCTTAAACTTAAGAACAGGTCAACCAGTTTGCACTGACGTCCCTGTAGTTACTCAATAATAAGCTTTAGTATGTAATAAGCCTGGGATTTTAAGAGGTTAACCATATTATTAATAAATAATAAAGCTTTGGGCAGCACCGATGGGCCTTGGCCTTTAGAGGGGTTACAAAAACCTTTTGTAATGAGATAACCAAAAAAATGTTGGAATAATGACTGAGGAATAAGCACTACTGTACAGATTGGCTACTTAAATGTAAACACCAAGACATATCCACACAAATGTACCTATTGTACGGAAAGTGAATGACCAGAAAAAGAGCTTAAATGTAAGGAGAGGAGAGTGAACAGTCCTGTAAAGGCTCATGCAGTCCGAGCTTCCTATTTGTGATCTATAAACACCAGCCTGATTCAGCTAATAAAGTTAATGTAGGGAATGCGGAGTGTTACCATCCCACGTGATTGACTCAGAGAGTCTTTACTTTTAGATAAATGATTCAGAGTCTGAGCTTAGTGACAGTAGAGACTAAGGAGGGTAACGGAAGCAATGTTGAGCACTGACGGAGTAATAAGGGTCAGTGATCCCACTGATCCTGTAGAGCCACAGGCATTTTCTCCAGGACTTACTCCCGTATAGCCAATGAAGCATGGCTGTTCAAAGAGCTTATCACTGAACCTGGCTGTACACACAAAAACACACGTGGCTGCATATTCCTTTACACTGGGAGCTGAACCAACAGAATCCATTCTAAACCAATTAACTGTTTTATATCAGTCAACAGAATGATTAAAAGTGGCCACATCATGAGCTGGGAATGCATACCTCAGACCCTGTCCTGGTCCTGGAACACCCCTGCACATTTTGGTCGTTTCTCTCCTCTAACACATCTGATCCAACTAATTAGATAATTCAAAAGCCATTCCGTGCAGATCAGGTTCAGAAACCACTGCCACGGACTAACAGCACTAAAACGACAGAGGCGCAGTTCTATTCAGTCAACAGTTGTCTGCCCTTGTCAGTCTTTTCTAAGCTGCAGAATTTCAAAGACTAAACAACCTCTACGTACCACGTAGCCCGTCATGGGGTGGGCAAAATGACAAAAATATTACATCATGCTTCAAGACATTTTCATGATAAATGATAAGCACAGTAATATTTACTTTAGATTAGATTTAATGAGTTGAGTAGACAAAATAGAACCTGTACTACCACATATCAACACTGTCCAAAAAAAAATCAATTTTTCAAGTCAGACTCGATTTTTCTGTGATTTTTCCAGATAATTTGAGATGAGCAGCTCTCCTCTACATTGTTTGAAAATTTCATCATGGCTGGACCAACAGAAATGCTCCAAAACTGCTTCAGATAAAATCTCTTTCACATTAACTTAAGTTTTTTTTGCCCTCGCTTGTAAAGTTACCATTTTGCAGATACTTTTTCTTTGGACAGTGACAATATAAAAAATATACATAAATACTATAAGAGGAACAATACTCTACAGCTACAATGATTTTTATTCGATGTTTTACAAACTGCACTGCACCAAATCAAGTTAAACAGGCCTTATTATGCTCACTTTGTAATGAAACATAAAGAACTATGACTATCTACAAGTCTTGACGATATCCATGATATGCTCAGAAACAAACTTTTTCATGATAACGATAAAATATCGCCATATTGCCCACCCCTAGCCTTTCACATTCGTTTCTAAAGCACAGCTTTAAAAATGAATGGCATTTTGCTACTGGTTTGACAACTTCTATCCAGTTCTATGCAGCCTACAGCCTCAGGCTCTCTAACAACCAAGAGTAATACAGTAATACACGGTTATATTATGTTGAGGGAAAAAACTACAATCAATTTGGTTTCAGTGAAAAAACAAAAGAGTTAAATGTTTAACCCAGTCTGCTCCGCTAGACCAGAAAAGGAGTAAGGTTTTGCCCCGTTTGGAGCTGCTTTACCCTTGAGACGGTGAGATCCGTCATAAGCTGCTCGAAGGCCCGCGTCTCCTCGGCTTGTTTCTGGTTGTGCAGCGCGATCTTCTCGCTGAACTTCCGCGGGTTGGAGGCACTCGAGCCCGGGGATCCGGACATGGCGGGCCGCGGAGTTTTCGACACCGACAGGAAACAAAATTCAACAATACGCTGTTCGCAGTTCGACCTCAAAAATACTTCAAATGTCCCCCCATTTTCGACACTCTTGCGAGCCTGCTGCGTGAATCATGCTTCAAACTGGCTGTTGTCAAGGCAGTGAGCGGAGCCGTGCAGAGCTGTCAAACTCCCCCAAAAAACACAAACAAACTGCTTTCTAATTTAGAAAAAAGAAAGAAAGTCTGGAGGCGTGATAGTAGTAATACAGACTAAAATTTCTTAATGATAACTCAATACACAAATTTAGTTACATGAGCTTTTTTTCTGATGGAAAGTCGACTCAAGAAGCATAGCTAAGCTAACCAAGTCAGAGAAAATATTCGTTAGCTGGATTCGCTAACGCTAGCCAGTATTTACTGCAACAAGCTTCTGCTCACAGCGATTATGTTGTCAGATATCTACAAGAAACTGTACATAAATAGTTAGCGATGAATCCGAAGTGTTAATAACGCCAATGTTTTTTTCTTTGACACTTTGCAACTCTGCTGCAGCTTCGCAGGTTCGCGTTAAGCCTCAGCTAGCCCGGCTAACTGGCTAGCTACGCTACAGCAGTTAAACAAGACAACAAGCTGAACTTCTAATGAAGATTCAAGTGCTAAAAAGCGAAGCCCGGCCGAGTTATGTTTTCTGTGGATATGAAGGATTTTATAGTTGACTGTTAAAGTGTCTCAGTTATGCCGAACTAGACAGCTTTAACCTGCTAACGTTAGCCAGGCGAGTTAGCCAGCAATTAGTATCTCAGAAATTTCATCTCCTTCCTTCTTGTAGATGTTGGCTAAGTTAACACGCAAAATAATAGGGTTCGTGGCGAATAAAGTAGCCTTAAACTAGCAAAACCACGCATTTCTGGTTAACTTTGTGTTTTTTAATCTGTTTTAATACATTTCTAGTAAACTTTTCCCAAATTTCAACAAGTGGTCTCAACCAGCAGCGCAACCGTAAGCCTCAATACTAATAACGCTACGTATTCGGAACTCATTAAAAAACAAGCGAACACCATTCAACACTGACTTGCGGCGAGACTGCACGTTAAACTTAACGCAAGACTCGCTGAATTAGAGCCAGATAATCTGCGGTTACAGTGTCATCCGGCACTGAGCAAAAATATATAGAGATACACTGAAGTGTCAATTATATGTCAGACGCAATTGTCAAATTGGTCATTTGAAAAAAAGGCTGCCTGTACTCTCCTTGATAGTGCCGTCTATCTTCCAGTCCATCACCCCGTATTATCCGTTTGTATGCTGTAATTTTGCTGAGATGCTGGATCCTCTTGCAAGCACTTGTTTGGTTTTACTCCGATACGCTCAGCCAGAGTGAAAACAGCAGGGGGAAAAATACACAAGCCTACTCCAAAACTGTCTGCCAATTTTAAAAACTTTGTCCACAAGACGGCGATGTAGAGCCCTTAAAGGTATAGCAACGCCCCGAGCTGCACAGTGGGCAGACCTTTACTTGGTTTTTGGAGGAACGGCTGCATTTATGGAACTCAGTCATTTCCAGCATTGGGATGTAATGAGATACAAGTATTGGGAATACATATTCAGATTACAGAAATGAAGTGCGTGCATGTGTCCAAGTCACATTTTGTAAAGGCAGTATTCAGAAAACAGTTACTTTTACCACTTTTATGACGTTTAAAATACTGACTAAATAAAAAAACATACAATGTTCAAAAGAAACACTATTAATGCATCTTTATTAACTATTAACTATTTTTTACAAACACTGAACTTTCTACTAGAGGCTGAGTAGACTGACAAATCAATTGCTGTGTTTACATGCAAAGATTTTTGCAAATCCGATTGAATACATTCCAATTACAGATTAAGACTGAGGTGTTTATCTGCTCAATCTACTCAACAATTTTATGGAAAATCTTCGTTTACATGCTCACTATAAGTAATCTGATTGAAAATGACGCATATGCGTGGAGTACCACTTACAGTAAACGTTACCATGACAGGGAACATCACGTGAGATCGAGTCAGAGTGAGATGAGTTTTCAGTTGGTGTGCTTGTATTTTTAAATACTTTAAAATGATGTCAGACTCAGGAAAACGTGCTTCACATGTCCTTATTAAAGAAGGCAGAGAAGAAGACGTCGTGTTCTGAGACACATAAGTTGGACGTCCGTCCCACCACCGTCTTTTAAAGATCAGAGCATAAACTTTGTCTCCTCTGCAGACCTGTTTCTGCTCCGCCATGTTGAACCGTAAAAACTTTTGCCAGAGCCGGTTCTCTGTTTTTGCTGTGATGCGAACGCACACGCGCAGAATGTATTGTGGACTAGCGGAAAAACAAAAGCTGCACACACTCTCCTGTCCGAATAAACGGTTCTGAGGTAGAGCATGTCTTCAAGCTCCTGGGTGTACACATCTCTGAAAATCTTTCATGGACACTCAACACCTCACACCTGGTTAAGAAGGCACAGCAGCACCTCTGTTTCCTGAGGAGACTAAAAAAGGAACATCTGTCTCCTCAGATTCTCACAAACTTCAAACTGTGTGACAGTGTGGTACAGCAGCTCCACTGTGACCGACAGAAAGGCCCTCTAAAAAGTGGTGAGGACCTCTGAGCGCCTCACTGGTGCACGGCTCCCCGACATCAGAGACATCCACCACCAGCGTTGTGTGCGCAGAGCGTGCAGCATCATCAAGGACTCCTCCCACCCCAGCCACACACTGTTTGACCTCCTCCCATCCAGGAGGAGATACAGAAGCATTCGGACCAGAACCAGTCGGCTCAGGTCCAGCTTCTTTCCCTCCACCATCACCCTGCTGAACTCCACACCACTCCACTAATACTCATACTTGTATGTCGCACACAATATTTATTATTATTTATTATACGTTGCATTTCCATATAACAGACTGTTCACTGCATACAGAATACATCATATTATTGCTTACTCCAACAGTACGTAACATAGCTTATGTATTGTATTTATAGTATTATATGTATATATACATGTATATATCATTCATAGAAATATCTATAATTGTGTATGTATTGTTCATATAGTTATATGTTTCATAGATACATCATTTTTATGCCTGTTATTGCATATTTGCACTGTCCGTTTTGCACTACTGCTACTATTTTACACCCACCCACCCACCCACTCATCCATCCACCTACTCATCCATCCACCTACCCACCCACCAACCCACCCATCCATCCACCCACCCACTCATCCATCCACTCACCCACCCACCCATCCACCCATCCACCCACCCATCCATCCACCATTTTTTTTGTGGGAGCAGTAGTGACTGAAGCAGGTGGTGAGAGAGAAAATAAAGTTACTGATTTTTCAAACTTCATTTAAATGATTGCGAATTGTTCATGAAACACAATAACAAAATAATTACATGAAGAAAACTGCCAACTAGTAATGAGAAATAGTGTGAATTAAGTGTAAAAAAAGGTTTTTTCCCATGTGCCTTACCAAGATGTGTTCTGAATGGACGTATTCTAAATGATGTATTCTAATGAAATACATTACTGAATACTTATAAGACAATGTATTTTGCCAAACCCTGGTAACGTCCATCTGACTCCACACTTTCAAAATATCTACTACATTGCTCTTTGTAAGTATGGTCAAATTTTGTGTTTCTTTCAGTTCCAAAGTATATTTTAAGCTTGCACAGGTGTAAATCATTACTGATCAGCTGCTCATTCACATGGCCTGACTTTCTGTCTACCAGCCAACAATCAACCACACCACAAACTTTGTGTTTTATTTAATGATCACATAGGTTGGTTCTTCATTTGCTTCCTACTCCCTATGTAGTGCACTATGTAGGCCATAAAATAATTATATTTCAAATGGAAAGCCAGTTATATTCAGCCATTAGCTGCACAACTCCCTAGCACTATTTGTGTGCGTAGAACAGAGAGGAGATAAAGGGACAGCAGAATGGTAGGTGATCTTTAGGGTGCTAGCCACACACAGAAGCCATAGGCTGCATTCATTTTCTCCTGACTTAGTCTGACTTGATGGTCAGTGTGAACTGCTGATGACTGTAGATGGGTATAAAAACACTAACGTTAAGTCGGACACATTCTACTCACAACAACAATGGCTGATCTTGCGGCGTTTGCCTATTTTGGTGTGGACAAAGTTGAAGCGCTTGAAAGTTCACGTTAGACTTCTGACACACATCAAATTAAATCTAAGTAAACCTTTATGAAAACATCTAGGGCGATAGGTTAAGGTGTATGAGGGAAAAAGTCACACATGAAATTGCTGCCAGAGCCACACTTTTAGAGAGCTTTTTTATTTATTTATTTCTGTTTTTTTTTAAACCAAATACTTGAGAATAAAGTAAAAATTACAAAATTACAAAGGCAACCATAATGCCAGGAAGGTGACCAGAAATCGAAAGAATAAATTATGACCTACAGTGGCATTATTTCTTTTAAAATAACAAACTCCTGAACTAAACTGTTTGTACAGTTTTTAAGTTTACTGGAAATAAAAACCGTAATGTATGGTGTCAATGAGCTGCCAGAAGGAGGAAATCAAATAAATGTCATCCCCTTTGGGAGAGATAACCATAGGAGATAACAGATCTGAAGTTCCTAGAGTAAAAACGCCATGTTTGTCACTGGAGATTCCAGCCAACGAGGGTGATGTACTGACGTTACAAAGCCATGTTGTAGCTCATGCAGCAGATGGAGAGCAACTGCAGGGCCTGACTTCAGCCACATTGCTCCCGGGAGATGGTGACTTTCTACAGCGCCAGCAAAAGTCAGACACAATTTCAAACCAGCATGCATTGTTTTAAGTCATGCTTCATGTTAAGTCAGCGCTGCCCAGGACTGCATTAAGTCAACTGCAATGAACCGCAGTGCACTTAAAAAGCAGTAGGGAGCCATTTAAGATTCAGCCTCAAGTATTTGAGAGTTTCTAGAAATTATATGCACTACTTTTGTGTAAATACAAAACGCAAGGTAAGTGCACTGTTAGAAATAAAGGTTCTGTGCAGGTACATTTTTCATTGATCAAGGTACAAACAATGTAAATGTTCCCTTGAAGGTACAACAGTGGTTTTAAGGTCCTTAAATAAGTTTTTCCAGGTGAAAAGTACAAATTTGTACCTTTTCATAAGCTAATGTCTTAAAACAGATCAATAAAATAAAAAGCCTGGAGACGAGATGGAGTGTGTGTAGTCAATACAGCTTAGAAAATATCACTTCAATGAATTATGGTACAATTATGTTCCCTGACTAAAGGTACTAGGATGTTCCCTTGAGGGTCCCACCCCAGTGACAGTTTCATACCTTTTTTTTTTCCTGAGTGTGTAGCTACTTAGCCTCTTGACCACTATAACATCGTATCCTGAGCTGATATCCAGGTCTGAGAGTGCAGTCCTGCGGCTCTGCAGTTAGACCCTTCTCAATGGAACCGACTAGTAATATTAAAGAATGTGACACAACACTATAGAGTTTGTCCACACAGTAGGGAAGCTAACAACCTGGTTTTACTACACTGACATATTTGTAAGGCGTTTGCTTCAACATAAGATTGATTTGCAGTTTTTTGTGCTTCAACAAATAAATGCAAATCATTGTTCGTTAATGTGCACCTTTAGCTGGGTTTTCCATATAACTGACTCCTAAATAAGCTAGAGGTGCTCAGTGCATTTGAAGGGTATGTGTAACTACGGTTTGTGCAGAGGTTGCTTGTACTAGATGTACAGTGGACTGTGCAAAAGTCAGAGACCACCTTTTATTGAATTTCCAGTCAGAAAGACATCATGTACAAGTTATTCATTTTTCAGTAGATATTTCTGAAGATATTAGATATAAGGTAATGCACTTGCGTGGGAAACAAAGTCAAGAGAATAAGTGAAAAATCAATTCAAACGATTAATAAAATATACAGAGAAAATGAGACTCTTGACAAGACCAGGTAGACCACCAAAAACTTTCACCATCAGATAAACAGCCCTTAAAGCTTCCATCTTTGAGAGAGAGGAGAAAATCAAGCTGCTTCAGATCTGGAAACATCCACAGGTGTTTCTGTCCATCCTTCCACTGTGAGAAGACGACTCAGCGCTATGAGTCTGAAAGGATGTGTAGCTGTCAAGAAGCCCTCACTGAAGAGTGGTCTCTGAATTTTGAACAGTCCTGTATATATAAAAACTATAAATCACTTAATATTATAATTTATTTTAACATAGCTTCAAGCTATTTCCAGTTCAGGTTGAACCTCAGTCTTAAAATGAATATATAGAGTTCTTGTTTTTTGTGTCCGTCTGCTTTGGTGATCATGTAAATATAGTTGTGCAAGCACTTAAATGTTGACCTGACAACAAAAAGCCTCCTACCAAATGGTTGTCGTTGTTTCTGGTCGTCCATTCCAACTACTTGATTTTGCTCATTTTTCACTGGGCTGGGCTTCTAAGACTGAGTATAAGATGCAGAGCAACCTGGACAATTATCAGTAGTTTAGCTGCAGTGAGATGCCCCATGTTGTCCACTACCTTTCTTTATTATTAGATATTACTGGTTTCAATAAGGCTTGCTGGCAGCAGCTGTAGGCTTACATGTGCACTCTGACAACAAGGTGCTCAAGTTCCCACTGTTTGAGGCAGTAACACTACAGTATGAATCACTAATGAAAAACATGTCTTACTATTATATAAGATGTTGTAAATTGGCAAGCGTGTCATCTCATGGGAAAAGAATTGGAGATCCAGATTCTGGAAAATAACAATAAAGAATCAGAAACATGAAGCAAAAGTGGCTAAATTATTTTCCTGTTTATTTGTTTTCAATGTATTTAGTTTTATTCATGATTGTGTTGCTCCTGGGGCCATTTAACATAAGGTATTTGGAAAAATGGCAGCATACTGTTAGGTAAAAAAGTAAGCATTTAAGTGTGCACATTTAAGTGTGCACGTTTAAGTGTGCACTTCAGCATTCAAGTTCTGTTCAAGAATGACAATATACAGCAAATGCATGTGAAAGGGCAACATATGTCAAAAGGTGGCATCGGTTCTTAAAAGTAACAGTAAAAATAGGACTACAAAACGACACCAATCAGATGGCAGAGTAGTCAGATGCCACTATATACTACAAACACCATGAACAGACACATCATGTAGAAGTTAACTGAAGAAGCCTTTGAATTGTACAGCCCTTTTATTATCTTAATTTATTCATGTGACCAACCTGCATTTAGGTAAGAACAGCTAAGCTGATCCTCATGCTTGCGCAAGATTTATGCCTCTATGCAACTTCCCTTCCATTTCCAGCAGTAACTGGATTTGTTTCAAAGACGCAGAGTAAAAAAGCACTGTATGACTGTGACAGGACTGTCCTCATTTGGCTAACATACATCAGTAGAAATGTAAGAGCCCCCTTAAGATTAAACGATCACTTCTTTCACCCAACAATTTATTCAAGTTAAGGCAATATAAAAGAAAAATCAGGAAAAAAAAGGTTTTTCAGGACAAGCTAATAGGAAATTAGAAGGACGTAAACGTAAAATCCATCCAGCATAAAGCGTCTGAGAGCTGGGAGAGAAATATCTACTTTTTTTTTCCCAATAAATTACAATTTGACAAGATAATACAACCCAGGTCTGCGTTACAACACTTTGAGTAAGGTTTGTGACAAAGATTCCTCCGATAAACATTTTAACTGCCTAATGGGACTGAATGGTTGAATTCTCCACCTGAAAACGTCCTATATAGGACAGGGATACTAAGAAGCATGTTCTGTTCTCCCAAAGTATAAAATTTATAGGTAACAAAAACACTCTTTACATATACATAGTATTGAAAACTCAGGCAAGCACAGTTGCAAGAGAGCAAAAGCTAACTAGGGTAGATCTATTTAAATGCTGACTGAAACAAATGGAATAATGAAAAACAATACATTTCCAGAAACTGTGGAATGGTCCTCAACGATGCATTCATGAACATACATCAAAGGAAATATCCTAAGAGAGCAAGGCACATACAGGTATACAGGCATATTCCAAGTAGTGCAGAAAAGACAAATTATAGTACTGCAGGAACAGGCGTTGTGTTGTGGGCATAATGTCATATGCAAAAGTCCGTAAAGCCCTTCTCGAAGCCTCTTCTATTTGCCATAAAACTTCTTATTAAGCAGGAAAATGAGCAGGTTGACGTTTACGGTGGCTCGGTCAAAGAGTTTCATGACTGCCACTCCCTCATATTGTAACTGCAGAAGATCCTGCAATTAAAAGAACAACAAATGCATTTTACATTTGTATTGGGAAAGGAGAAGTATCTTCACAACAGCAAAAACATTTAGCAGAAAATGTTATAGGTTCATTAAATTAGCAGAAAATACAAATAAATAACACGAATGCTTGTGAAGTAAAGGATATGAGAGAAAAGTACAGCATATAAAAGAATAAATTTTAATAAACAGAATAAAATTTTACCTGGTATTCTAACATTAGCGTCTCCAAATGTACTCCCATAAACTTGGCTTTTATTTCAAACACTCCTACAACCTCAGATGGGGAGATCTCAAAATGCACATTCTTAAATCTGTGAAAAATTGGAAAAAGCAGATATGCATTAATATAATGTAAATTTTAGGGGCATCAAGACTGCTCAATAAAATATTTAGAAATCAATGTTTCAAACTTACTTTCATTATGAATCGCCAATGATTTTGCATAATGATAATGCATTATTTTTAAATCTCCTGCTAGCCTGTCTTAGACTAAGAGTCTGATGGACACAACCAATTTTATGCAGTTTTTGCAACATATTAAAAGTATTTAGGAATTTTTGAAAGGCTATGCAATTAATAACTGTTTTCAGTTAAGTCCATCTTCATTATTCGGGTTTTTTCATAAAACAGCTGATCTACGATACATCCTATGATTTTCATGGATTATTCAATTACTAATAAAGTTGATAGTAACAGCCCTAAAATATTTGAAACAAAAAAAGAAGACAATGCTGATGGAAACACACTGATTTGTCTGAAGATCCTCGATCTCGATCAGCACTCCCTTCTCATGCAGCCGCGCTGCCGTGTACTTCTGTGATGCCTGCTTGGTCTTCTTGGCCTTGTTGTCTCCAGGCTTCTTCGACACTCTGAGTAGAAAAAAAAGTCCATACACTCTGAATAAGCTCTGAATAGTTAACCCTCTAAATTACAATGACAACGACTAATCATACAGAACAATCATGCATAAAACAAGCAGATGGAATTCTCACTTACTTGCCCTTGCTGGCTAGATTGTCCATGCAGGTCTTGATGTATTGGTTGTAGTAGTCAATTTGCACATTATAGAAACTGGTCTTGGAGTTGAGGGCAGCATTGGTCTGCTGAAGCTTCACCAACTCGGCCTTCCTTCTCTGACGATACCTCCTCTGGTTTCTGATATCCTGCACAAATAAGACGAGAGTTTTCATATTTACAAAAAGTTACATTACAGCGGTGGTCATACCCAATACCTGGTTTGGCTAATCAATACTTCATTAAGTCAAGTGTGCCAATTGTGGATTTGAATACATCTATGCAATGGCTAGGAGAAATGCACTGGGGAGAAATCTGGAACCAAACACATTCTTCTGACTGCACTAGTGGGATCAAGACAAAAGTGCAAATGTACTAGTGGGGATATTGGCCATTATACACTATATGGACAAAAGTATTGGGACACCCCTCCTAATTATTGAGTTCAAGTGTTTTAGCTACCCCCATTGCTAACAGGTGGATATAATTAAGCACATAGCCATGCAGTCTCGATAGACAACACTGGCAGTATAATGTGTCATACAGATGAGTGACTTTAAACATGGCACTTTCATAGGATGCCACCTCTGCCACAGGTCAGTTTGTGAAATTTCTGTCTTGCTAGATCTGCCCCTGTCAACTGTAAGTGCTATGATTGTGAAATGGAAGCACCTACAACAGCTCAGCCACGAAGCGGGACCACGCAAACTCATAGAGTGGGACCACCGAGTGCTGAAGCGCACAGCGCCTATCCTCCGTTGAATCATTCACTGAAGAGTTGCCTCTGGAAGCAACATCAGCCAAAGAACTACACACAAGCCTAAACTCAAAATGCAAATGTCTATGGATTTAGAATGGGATGTTGAAAAAAGCTCCTGTAGGTGTAATGTGTTGGCGTCCCAATACTTTTGTCCATATAGTGTATATTACACAATAAGTACAAAAATAAATAATAAATATAAACCAGAGATTATACAACTAGAAGAATCCTGTTTCTCACTGTATATCAATCGAGTAGACCATTAAATATCTCAGCAGTAATGTTAATCTGGCATCTCCACTACGAATGCGCCTTAAATTCTACAACAAAAACACACGCCAAACACACTTGACACAGTACCTTAGCAATGTCATTGATAAGATCCTGGTATCTGTTCTCTGGATGGACTTTGCCCAGCTCTGCCAGTCTCTGGAGGTTGCTCTTGATCTTGTCCTTCTTGCCCTGCAAAGTGAGGCTGTCGTCCACCACTGGTTTGGCCTGCTTCATCTTTTCTGGGGTTTTAGCATCGCGAATGGCTCGCCGCTGCATGGCGCGCTGATACTCCACCTCCTGTAGTCCACACACAAATTCAGTCATCAATAAAAGAAGTGTCCAGCTGATTATCCTAGTTGCATACTTACATGTTCACTTTTGTTGTTTACCTGTTCTTGGGTTGCAGCAGTTTCCAGGATTTCAGAGAGTGTTTCCCCTGGCTGGAACCTGATCACATCCACAATGAGCCTCTTGGTGCTGAAAGGTGAATTATTTATTGTTACTATTGTTATAGTACACCAATGAGCAATAAAGAATGCTGACTGGTAGCGTAGCCACAGGTGTAGAGGTTAGTACATACAAACATGACATTCAGTTTCCTAGCAGTAATATTAGCTGCCTGGCTTCCTTTTGCATTAGTCAACTAACAGAAAGAAAAAAAAAAAACATTTCATACAGGTCTTGTCTCAAATATCCACATATCTGAATATCTAGGCACGTTTACAGGTGCAGTAATGGTGAAATTTGTAATTTTGGCCTGTGTGCCCTACTCAAGCTACTTTTGCTTGGTGAAGTACTATAACTCATAAGTGATGAGGCCTGTGATTTTAATTTAAATGTTCATTTCCAGAGTGAATTGCTTTCTGTAATGTGCTGCTCCCTCAGTAATAACAGTCATGCTTTAATTGAACTCCCAGTAGTATCGGGCAGTATGACAAAAAAAAAGGTATACTATATATATATATATATATATATATATATATATATATATATATATATATATACACATACATACACACACACACACACATAAATACACAAATATAAACCCTACAATCTGAAAGTATCTGCTGCACCATTTAAGGTGGAAGCAGCATTTCTAATACAAAACCACTTATTTTGGCAAATTACACAAGCGCTTTTATCCCATTTTAATTGTCCAATCAAATCCCACCTCTCTGAAAAACCAATCTAACACAAACACTGCTTTAACAGAAAGAATGAAAAGCAGAACACACTTCAGAAGAAGAGTCTTTGCATCCATTTCAGCATTGGCTTCACCAGGGACATCAAACTTGTTGGTGAGGGTGAGAGAGACCTCGGTTTTGCCCATCATCTCCTTATTAGGGTCATCAGGGGGCAGTGGATTCTCACCTGCAATTGTAGCATTGTAGCAGCTCATCCCAGCAAAGTAAATGACTCTTTAGTTACTATGTTCTGGATCTTTCCTTAGTAACTCACCTATCAGACTCTCGATGGTAGGCACCTCTCCCAAATCCTCCAGCAGCTCATGAATGGGGTCATTGTGCTCCGGAGCGATGGCATCCTGGTGATCTAGCAAGAGCTGTGAGAGATAAGGCACAGGAAAAAATATCCATTGAGTCATGAAAACAGATCACACTGGCGGGCAGGAGTGTGACTACTGTCACGTGATTCACGCACATACCGTGTGAGTATTGATGATTTCTCCGATGGAGATATAAATAACTGGCTTGGACACAGTGACCAGGTCTGAGTACTGATCCACATTAAATTTCTCCTCCAGTGACGGGACGTCACAAGCTGCCAAAAAGAAGCGTCTGTGGAGAACAAACAGGAGAATAAATTAACATAAAAAAAAATAATCAGATCTCATTTTGAATCGGATTGGCTGAGCTACATTTAAAGCCATTGTAAAATATGAAGTAAATTATGTATTACTGCAATAAGCTATTAGATTAGATTAATCTACTCTTAATAGACTACAATAATTAGTATTAGTTTCCAATTATTAATTAAAAGTATATGGGCATCAAACAGATGATGGATGTGTCAAATATTTGATGATGTATTTATCTGGAAAAGCAGAGTTTAGGTGATCCTGGGCCTCTGTGCTAGAATGAATAAAATGCAGATCATTTATTACATTTGCAAGCCTACAGACTCTTCTCTGTAATGCTGATCTAGTTAGATGTCTTTCAAATTTCTACATTTTATAAATGTTTCTGTATTGACATCAGCAGCAGAAACGTAAAAGAAAAATATCAGATATCGGCCCACCATGCCCAAATCAATGCATTTCTATCAATTACCATATTTGATGAATACTTGTGCATTTTATGATTCTATTCTGCCACTGTTTTGTAAAAGCAAAACCCACTCATGGCTTATTCCTTTAAGGCAGATCCAAAAATATGGTTATTTCTGTTTTCGGTTTTATCTACTCTTTCCTGTTAATGCAATTTCTGATTGCTGCTGTTATGTTTATCTGAACACGATCTAACAAAGCTGAAAACGGTGGGTTCTTATTCGGTGTGTTTCACAAGCTACTAACTACCATTTTCAACAAGAAAACATGTATAGAAATGTAAGGCACACATCAGTGCCATTTTGTCATTACTCTGCTTAAACAAACCAATAAGTGCTCATGGATCCGAATTCTGTACTGGAGAAGCTCACATGCTTTGATAAATACACTGTGGTACAAAGAAAGCTCTGGTTTTACACGCTGAAACTGCTAAAATAATTTTGCTGTCACCAAAGGGGACATGCATGCAGCATAACTCCTCTGGCAGTAGATTTAAACATGAGGTCTTTTTTTTTTTTATCCAGTTCATGTAGTTAACAGTAAAAAGAGAACAAACATACTGAGAGGTGATACAAAAAGAACACAAAGCCTCTACCTGAATTTCTGGTAGGAATTGGTGAGGTACTCATTAATAGGGTTGAGATGGGCGTTGTCCCCGAGGAACATCTTGTTTGAGGCAGCGTGCTGCAGCATTTTGGCGATGGAACCCAGGTTCCGACGCTGGTCAGTGGTCAGCTGACCTCCAGCTGAGAGATCGATGATATCAAAAGCATCGGGGGCCACAATGGCAGGGTTCATATAGCGGTAATATAGCAGGTTTCCAACAATCTGGAAATAGACAAAGACAATAAGACCGACTGGCAAACAAAGTTAAATTTAGTTGAAATGGAGTCTAACTGGCATTCTCAGGTGACCTATTCCAGATACATCATGGAGAGTCAGTAAGGTTCTCTTGGGTAACAAGAATGGATGTCCCAATATTCAGAGTTCACTTTACACCAAGGCAGTCTTACATGTTATGATTAAAGAAATAAAATAACCTTTATTTCCAAGGCAAATCCACGTAAAAATATTAAAGCGGCTGGTTTTAACATTTTTACATGGATTTGCCCTGAAAATAAATAGGCTGGTTTTAACATTTTTACATGGATTTGCCCTGAAAATAAAGGCCATTTTATTTCTTCAACCATAACATGTAAGAGTGCCTTGGTGTGAAATAATATACGTTATATTTTTTATTACTGTAGAAAGGATGTACACATTTGAATCAAGCAAATTCACTGGATTACCGCTTTCATTGCGTGCAGCATGTCTATCTTTCGCAACCAATGCAATATTACAATTTGCCTAGGCAAACACAAATAAGGATGTCCATTTTTAATCTGTTCCTAATAAGGTTTGCAGGGCAGAGCAGGAAACAGGAGAGAGAGCACGAAAGAGTGAGACAGGGGTGTGGCTCACCTTGTATGGGCAGGCACAGAGGAGCAGAGGCCTCCAGAGAGCAGCGAAGGCAAGGCAAAGAGGGCAGCTGGAGCCAGGAGAGAGACAGAGAGGGGCCACAAGGACAGAGACAGAGGCAGCATTGACAGGAGCCAGGAGCACCACAGCAGATTAGAAGTAGTAGCAAGTTTCCCACAAGGATTTCAATGGGGAATCCCCATTCACAATGTAACTCAGTCCACAAACAGACTTAATCTGCGTGTGGAATACCACAGAATATCGCATAGAGATTAGGTCTATTCTTGGACAGATTGCCATTAGAATAGCACACAGAAAGGAGTGTTCGAGGCCACTTTTGTGCATGCAAAACGAAAAACAGGTCTGGGCCAGGAACTGGTGATGTTTTAAGTGTCCCAGGACGTCCGTAGAAAACGAATGTGCAAAGAAATGCATTTGATTTTGTACAAGAATGTACTGATGGCACAGCCCATGATGCTTTAGGGGGCGACAAACCTTTAAAAGCTCATCTTCAGTGGCGTCAGGGAACTTTTCATGAAGTGTATCCTTCAGCACTTTGGCAATGAAACGCATCCCGTACCTGCAGATGAACATAATCAGCCCCTGTCAGACAGTCTGTCAGTGACACTGAGAGCCTGAACAAAGACACAGGTCATATAACAGGTCTGTTTGAATATTCAAATATGAACATGCCAGTGGTCATTTTCATACATTAGGGGATGATTTACAGTAGGTGACAGATAAAGGCAGACACAGAGTGTAGATGAGGGCTGCTCAAAGTGTGGCCCCTGGTATAACGTATGGCCTGTAAAGACATTTCATTTGGCCTGCCAGAAAGTTACCCTAACTCCCGCCCCCCATCCAAATAGAGAACAAACATAATTTTATGCTATATACAACTCATCACATTCTTAGTTTCCTTTAGAAATTATATAAAGCAATGTAGTAATAAAATGTGTATAAAATACATTTTAAAATTTTTATTTGGAACCTTTCTACCTTCTTTATTTGTATATTGTTTGATCTTTTCGGCCTTTGGACCATCACAAATATTGAATTTCAGCCCCCCAAGACAAAAAGCTTGGGCATCCCTGGTGCAGACAGATCTCACATATAAACGCATCCAGTCATATGTAAAAGGGCACCCCTAGTCAAGTTATACATCCTCTACAGGGAACAAACACACTTCTGTACATTTTAATGCATATTTACTTTTTTACATATTTGCTGAAATTAACATATTGGAGGAAAAAAAAGTTTGTACTATGCAAATGTTATGGCACATTTTATATTTTAGGTTTTATTTTGGCATATTTAGATGTGTTCTCTGTAGGGGTGTAAGAAAATAGTTGTGATCGATATTTTATTAACAAGCAAACGCAAAAAAAAAAGAGAAAAACACGGGAACTATGTTCAAAAAGCCCAGGACATGCCCATAGAGCTTCCCACAACAAACATAGTACAGAGTCAACAATCATCGCTAGACATCAAAGACCGGCAACACCGGCGACGACAGCATTGATGGTCAGTGGCACACCCACACAAGAGGAAAAGACATACACACCAAAGCAAAAGACATATAAACAAATGAATACTTAAATAGACAAATGAATAAACTCAGTATACTGAAATTTCCACCCTCATATCAGTTAGCAAAGATTGCTATGCTCTCATTGCCTTTAACAATTTTCTCAGTATTTGACCAGGACACAACTGCTCTTATTTTGGCCTTATTTATTCTGGCTGTCGTACAGGGGTGTAAGAAAATATTGATGCACCTGAGTACTGCGATATTGTTTTGTGATACTGAATTGATTCTCAAAACCACAGGATCAATTTTTAGGTAATAGTTCACATGCAAAGATTCATGGCAGACCATAGTTCACTTTGTGTTGTGTTTAAACCCCCGACCATCACATGGTCCTACCTACTGAGTGTGCATGCCTATACCGTTACTATAGCATAATAACTTACATTTTTAATGTTAAATCAGACTTACTTCAAGTTTACAGTATATTGTATTATCCAGCTTAATATTCCTACTTTAGGCTATCAAAATATCTTACTTATTCTTTTAATGCTGGTAACATTTTCTGATAAGGAGATGTATTCGAGGCTAAAGTCAGATACCTATTTGCCAGCTTCTTGTTTGAATTTTCCTGTTCCACCTTAAATGGTGTAGCAGTTACATCCTGGTACCTAAGGCGTTGTAATAATAACTGCTGCACCATTTAAGGTGGAACAGGAAAATTCAAACAAAAAGCTGGCAAATAGGAAGCTGACTTTAGCTTCGTGTGATTTAGCCTTCAAAATGTCCTACCTATGGTTTTATGTGGGGAGGTACCTGTATTTATGCCCTATTAGCACAGTGTGTTAGAACAAGGCTTTTGTAATATGGTGAATACAACGGAGCCTCTTTACACCAGACCCTCCCTGACGCATCATTGTGTTCAAGTTGTACAAGAAGGTAAAAGCATACTTTTTTTATCAATATAGATAAATATTAATTCCTTTGTTCAGACTGCATAAAAAGTAGTGCTATGATGTTGGATGTTACAGGGATCGTGATAAATGAATTGCAGATCGCTGTTCTGACAGCATATGAACTGAACCTTTTCTTTTCCCCAGATTTTTGGCATATAGAGGTATGTTTTTATACCATGACAGTTTTCCTGACATTACATTTTTTAAAAAATATATTAACTCATAATCGAATCCCTGAATCACGATGCGCACCGTATCGCCAGGTTCTTGCTAATACACAGACCTAGTTCTCTGAAGAGGATGTGCTAATGCATTTTACTTAGAAAATCAACAAAGCATGTCATTTGACTAGGGGTGTTCAAATGTTTGCATACAACTCTACACACACATATAAGATCAGGATGCATCTAGGAGGCGGATACTTACGGGATTTTGTCAATAGAGACTACAATGGCCGACAGGAACTTGTCCGTGACTGTACGCATGTTCTTAATGGACGCCTCCAGGCGGTTGCGAACCTCCTCATGGCTCATTGCCTGCTCTGGTGTGACGTCATAAGGCAGTTTGCTGTATGGGGCAGAAGAGGAGTCCACTTTTAAATAAAAATAAATTATCCATCTGTGTCAATGCATATTAGCTAAGAGTCCATTTTACAGATCTATGGCATGTCCATCTGCTTCATGTGACAAATTCTGATTTTGCTGCTAGCTGCATACTGTTTTTTTGTTTTTTTTTATAGTGGAGAATCCTCAGGGCCTTCAAAGGCCTAATGGAATCTGGGAACTAAAACCACATGTCTAATTTTAGTTAATGTAATATAATTATTGTGCTTGCTGCATTGTAAACTCTACAAGTATTGCAGTAATACTCTTATTTCATTGTTAAATTGGGCACAAAAGGGTTAAAATCTTGAAACGTCTAACGTCAGGATTCTCGGTAGTATCTAGGTATATACAGCCAAGTGAGCTCTCCCATTGTTAAGACCTTAGGAGCCAGACTGAAAGTCTTATATGTTAGAGTTTTTACCAACATAATTAGGAGCTGACAGATAACTGGCAAGAACTAACAGATTTACAAAGGGTTGGACCAGTTTTGTGATGGGGGGGAGGTTTCTCTAGATCTTGGACTGGAAGTCCTAGAAATGTCACTAACTGCAAATACAAGCTGTAATCAAGTTTCAGTCAGTTGTTAGAAATGGAAAGCAGCAGCTGCAGCACTATGCCAGAGCTCTTTATTGGTAAAGTCACTGTAAAAGTGCAATATGTGTCAGTAATAAACTTCAAATGAAACATGGAATGCCTTTTACAATATCTATGTTTAATCTGCTATTAGACGCTAAAAATGTTTATTGTTAGTTTCTATTGGTATGCTAGTGCCAATATAACATATCAGAAGGCCCATAGGGATGCTCTCCACTGTTATTATTTAATTACTTATACTTTTCAAATACAGAGAGAATTCTTTCTCTCAACCCTCTTTAAATCCAGGGCTATTATTTCATTATTAAACTTCAGACTCTCAGTAACTGGTAAATATTAAGGCTTAATGGGTAAAAATGTGGTCCATTTCATTTAAATCTTGTATAGTGTCATCATTAATCGCTGTCTAAAAAGATTGCCTAAATATATACGGTAAAATAATTCTAACCTGGCTTCTCCTGTTTGAGACTCCATTTGGTTCACCCAGCTCTTGTAAATGTCCACTGGGTCGGTTTTGATGTTTAGCGTCTTGTCGTCCATGATTTCTTTTACGACGGGAGCCAGAATCTGCCTCAGGGCATTCTGACCCCGAGCTCCTCTGTTGAAGCTCACCACCATCTTGATGACTGTGGGGTTTCCAGTTACAATCTCCTGGATCTGGTCCACTTTTGATCTGTTCAAACAGGGCAAACGTTAGTCGTGATCTAGTGACTCACCCCCTAATGAAAACAATAAAATTCTCATGAATTTTCCCACATGTTCAAACATAGTTACACAGCCTGTGAGCCTTACTTGATTTCCTCTTGCAGCGCTGTTTTGAAAAGTTTGAGCAGCAGGTACTCCTCACGCTGGTTGGAGGCGTAGTTGTATAACGTGAAAATCACAGAGTCCATGAACTTGGTGGACTTGTTCTGGGGCATCTGGAAGATCAGCTTGGCCAGGTAGGTGGGATTGGTCTGGGAAAAGGTTGGAAAGGTTGCGAAAGGCGTTTGCATTTCAGCTTTTCAAAAGAATAAATCTGCAACATCTGAATCATTCACAATGAGCCCATTTGGAAAATTATAGGTCATTATAGATACAATGTGTTGGCTTATTTCCTATAACTGTCACTGTCAACAACTAATCAGATTTTATTAACTAATCACTGCAGCCCCACCTGGAAGAGGTGCAACATACCTGCAACAGGTAGAAAAGGTACTGATAGGCCTCCAGCTTCTCTCTCTTCTCTTTGCTGAGAGCCTTCAATCCTCCCTTCTGCTTGTTCATCATCATAAGATTGGACAGCTCTCCCTTGTTTTTCTTGGTCAGCTTCTTGCTGTGGGAGACCACCTCCTGCAGGGTGATCTTGTTCTTCACCAGCAGGCCGATCTTGATGTCCATCAGGTTGAGGTCGTTCTCCAGCTGCTGGTTGGAACGGATGTTGGTGATCACTTCCTCTCTCAGGCGCATTAGATCTAATTCTTCCTGGAAGTCCTGGTCACTGTGGTCCAGCAGGTGCACAAATTTACGGACAACCGCCATCGGAGGATCATCCGCGTTGACTGTATAGGAAGATTTGTCATTTTAAATATTAAAAATAAATAATACTGCAGCTTGGAAGTTCATTTTTATTAAAACGTTCTCAGGAAGACCTTTAATTGCATGTATGTATGTACATCACATCCTTCACCTATATACACACATATATGTATGATAAATCCTTTGCTAACATGGCCTGATTTGCATCCAGATAATAGAATGGTACGGAAGATCATCCTTACTGAGTGTCTTGTAGTCATCCCTCGCTTTATTGGCTCGGATGAAAGCTTGAATCTTCACCACATCATCAATCTATGATTTCAAAACAAATGCAAAGAAAAACATTTCAGCTGAAACACGACTCTGCAAGGACAAATAAACAAATAAACAAATATACAAGCACTTTCTGCAAATGCAAATCTAGAATCAGTTTCTGCAAATGCAAATGTGAATATAGAAAGCATATGGCCACTGTCCAAAAAACAAACAAACAAACAAAAACACCCAAAAAAACACATCTCCTTTGTTCTATGCAACAGTTACAATGGTTTTTTAGGGCCACTGTTAAAAAAAATGAGATAAAAAGTTGTACGGCATGATATTTTGAGAATAAAGTTGTAATATTTCGAGAAAATAGTTGTACAGTATGATACTTCGAGAATAAAGTCGTAATATTTTTGAGAATAAAATCAATAATGTCAATAAACGACATTAAAGTGGGATATTACCAGGAAAAGTTGCAATATTGTGGCCAAAGCCTTTGCAAAGGAAAGGCAGCACCTCCTTGTGTTAAAATGAGGGGCAGTGAGGAGGTGGTGGAGTTATACTTTCATATTGATTTCACCCATAAAGATGTCTCTCCTGGCACATCAGCACCAGCCTGTTATTAGTATAAGAAACAGCTGAATGAAACAGAGTTTATTTAGATGAAAGAACCAGACTGACTCGAAGAAAACTGTCTGTTTGTTGAAGAAGAACTCGCAGGCAGTGGCTACTGGTAGCCTTGTAGACAGCCATGCAATTCGAGGAGGGCATGTAGTTTCACAGGAGACAATGAGAATGATAATCAAAATGACTGATCCCGAAGGAGTGGAACTCTAGCGGCTCGCGTCTTCGTCGTCGCCAGTATGGCAACCGAGATCCCGACGCGTTATGGCAGCCCCCCCCTACAATTAGCCTACTTTATTATCAAAACATCACGAGTTAATTCTTGTAATTTTACAACTGTATTCTTGAAATATTATACTGTATGACGTTTTTATCTTGAAACACTTCTCAAAGTCTACTATTTTTATTTTTTTTAACAGCGGCCCTTCAACGCCATCGTACAACAGCTGCCTTTTACACCGTGTCAGCCGTTCATGAGGACCAGATCAATAGAAATGTTCCAAAACTTCTTAAAATCTTTTGACTTTATCTTATATTAAAAGTAAATACTTTTGCCTTTTCCTGAAATGCTCTAAATAAATCATCAGGTCCTTTTTTTCAAAAGCGATAATATGCTTTTTATTACGACAAACAGGGGTATAAAAATCATAAGATTCAAACACAGATGCTGAGGGAAGAGACTCACATGGTCTTTGAAATACTGCAGCCGGTCTCTGTACTTTTTGCGAGCCTGGTGCATCCTAACCATCGACTGGATCTGAGGAAGTTAACACAAACATAAAAATGAGCTCAGTCTGTTAAAGAATAATCACACTATTATCACTCAAACGAAACATCCTTCAGTGTCTTCTGCTTCATTCAACAGTTCATGGCTACATACCTTGACAGCATCTTCAGTGTGATCTTTCAAGTACTGCTTTCTGTCTTTGAATGCCTTCCTCTCTTTGTAACCCTTCCAGTGGGCCTGCAGATCACATTGAGGCAGAAGAGAAATTACAAAGACTGTTCGTCATCAATGATTAAGGAACTTGTGAAGGAGCCAGTGGTATTATTACTAACAAAAACTGGTACAATGAAGACTAGCAGAGAAAAAAAAATGTCAAAAAATAAATAAAAACATATAAACAGTTTTCAAAAAGAGGAAAACCAACTGTCCACTGCAACAGGAATCTAGAAAGCATTATGGAGGGGAAAACAATTTGCTGTTATTGGAAGAAAACCTCTTATCTCCAAAATGGTAACTTTACAGGAGAAGGAAAAAACCTACTTGACTTTTATTGTAAGTCAATGAAATCAGCATTTTTTTCCACGTCATTTTAAGCCGTTTCTTTTGGTCCATTCATCGTGAAATTTACACACAATGTAAAGCAAAACAGGGATTTTCAAATTATGTCAAAAACATTATGTGAAAAACAACAAAAATGAAGATACAAGGTTTTCTTCCGACAGCAACGAATTGTTTTCACTGTAGGAGGGATGGTCTAGAAGATGATTCATGTAATGATTAATGTAATGACAACGCCTTTGTCTTTGGAGGTGTCTTCACCTCTCTAAGGTGTTAGCCTATGTTTTTGATAATCAGGATTAACAGTAAACAAACACTTTATTACATAGAGTATTGTATATCACTTCTTTCAGCAAAGACGGGGATATTTGAACGCTGTAGACTCAAATGTGTCAGGCAACTGTATGAAAAGAAAAGGCAGTGAAAGCCGGAAACTCAAAACTGTTTTTCATGTTATGATATTGTTTTCACAATGGAACATGAAACCTTACACTTCTGAGTCATGAAATGCCTTCCGGGTATTTTATTTACAAACGAAACATCACACCCTCCAGAAAAGGCTCCTCAGAAAATGCTGCATGTGCACACAGTGCTTTCCAAAAAACCCAGACAATTAAAAACAAAAACAGTATTTCATCACAGAACAGTAAAAGCTATAAGCTGATTTGGAATCGTGATTTTCATTTTCTGGAAAGCCGTGGATCTGCGCACCAAAACATAATTTACAGCATCTCTTTATTGAGTTATTAAGGAAAGTGTGAGGCAAGCAACCTATCTGAGCATCATTCTAGACTCTCAGTGAATGTGTTTCTATAGTGCCAATAGGTTAAAGGGTGAGACCCACCTGAATGCATTTAATGGCTGGGTCCTGGCCTTTCAGGAAGTCAAGACGCTGTTTTAGACCTCGTCTCACCAGGTAACCACGGCAACGTGCCTGTAACTTGGCAATCAGGCTCTCATTGGCCAACCACAGCTGCTCACGGTTATAGGCAGCAGTTACTCCAGAAACAACAGACTGAAAAAGACAGAGAAAGGCATGAGGTGAAGCTGAGAGATAAAGCGATTCTACAAACTGATAGCTGCACATGACAATACCCACATTTCACTCTCAGGGCTGGGCGATATCTAATAACAACTATCATGATTTTCTTGATTAAAATATACAAACAAACAGAAAAAAACAACAAAAAAAAACCCATATCTGATCTTATTCACTACATCACCACCTATCCAAATGATCACTTAAGCCAAGGGTTACACTACACGACCTTTAGCCTGATTTTAGCCCCGATTCTCAGTCTGGCCGAGTCTGTGCTTGGTTGGCTCAAGTCTGCAGATTTTTGAGTCAGTCGGAGTCGACAGTTGGAGAGAGAGTCGAGTCGTGTGTGAGGAGCGCAGGCTCAGATTTTTTTGGCCTCTCAATTGGATTTCAGACCAGTCAGATTATCGTTATATCAAAAATGTTTAATTTTTTTCGACCCCGACTCTGGAAAGCGTGATCTAGCGAAAACTGAGAGTACAAAAGAACAAAAAAGAGCAAGTAAACAAAGAAAAAAGGGCGAAGTCACTCACATGTGGAGCAAAGCTTTTTAAAGAGCTGAGTTTAAGGCACAAGCACAATCGAGTTTTTATGCATTTAAAACTAAAAAAATGCCACACTGATCACATTTTTAAACCAATGAGCCTCACTTTAAATCCATGAGACTCACTTAAACATGTTTACCTGCTGCTTATTTACTGTGTCGGTGCAAACGGCAGAGAAAACAGCAGCAGCAATGAGCAGCTCCACATTTGTTTATATAACTTGAGAGTTAGTGTGAGTTCAAATGAGCTCTTGTGAGTTCGTGTGAGTTCAGTGAATTCCGTTCGGTTGCACAACAGCTTAAAAGGTGTGTAGTGTGTGATCCCTACATGTTTAGTGTGTGATCCCCAATATTTCGGTCACCCCAAAACCAATCATATAGTGTGAGATTTCCAGTCTTTTTATAATCTGTTAAGACTTTAAAAGTCACGTAGTGAACTCAAATCTTTAGACTACTGAAAATGCTTAGAATTTTCAGTGGACAGTTTGTAGCAATTTGGGAAACTCACAGCTGAAAGAATAATAATAAAAGGGAATAAAACATTACACTGAACCATTATTTAATATGCTCTGTTAAGATGTTACAAATTAAATTATGTATAACTCTATCAATTCTATTGGCAATTATCGTCTGTCAAAGATCAGCATCAGGTTACTTATCACTGTTGATATCCAATTACATCACCTCATCACCCAGTCCTCACCTGGATTTCATCCTTGTTTAGCTGTGTGTTGTTCTGCACAAAGTCAGCAGGCTCATCCCAAGTGCCCTCTTTAGTCTTCAGGTTGTAGTAATAGTTATGACCTCCTTTCACCCAGTGCTTCATCCACTCACTGCCATTATCACCTGAGAAATGCAGGCAATGTTTATGTCCAGTGCCATCTAATCACAGTGGTCTTTCTACAGATATAGACTATAATGATGCAATGAAATGAAATCATAATTGAGACAAGACAGCCAATGAAAATCCCCAAAACAAGCCAATGGACAGCGTCATCACTGAAACCTGTATATCAGTTCTACATCCAAACTCACATTCATCAAGCACACATCTCACTCTTACCCTCGTTCTTTTTGTCCTCCTTGATCTTGGTCAGGTCTTGCTGGTAGGTCTGGGCACACTCCGGGGTCACCCCGTACAGACTGGCACCAGGAGCACGCAGGGCAGCCAGCGTCTGGGCTGAATCCCCACTGTCCACAGCCTCGTTAATGGCCTGGATTGCCTGAGAGACTGTGGGTGACCATAACAAATATATTTTTCAATATATATTCAATGTATTATTATGGTGAGACACTACAGGTCAAAAGGGAACTTTTTAAAACAGAAGATATCACAATCTTTGCCAGGTGATTATTGTAGCTGTAACTCTTACAAATATTTTTTTGTATTAGAAGTTTTACAAAAAATACCTTTAAATGCACAAATGAGATGTTATCTACTTAATAATGCATACATTTGTAAATTTTGTACATTTTTCAACACCAAAAATCTAGTCTTTAGATGAGGACAGAATTAAATGTTTATTGCATTTTGAAGAGACGTATTATAAAATATTTTTCAGGCAATTCTGTAGTATAAAATCTTATTTTTTTATATAAATCCAGCTATGAGTAATAAACTAGGGATTCCTTCTGGAATATCTTTCAGAATATGGTTAGGAATGAACAGGGAATGCAAGTATTCTGGATCCTAGAGACTGTTTGTTCTGAATGTAGAGAAAAGCTTTTTCTGCATGACTTTATTGAGATAAACATATTTGGAAAGCAGAAAACAAGCTTTTCAATGACATACGACACAATGTGGCTGTACCAAGTTAATATTTGGAAAATACTGTTAGACTCAAGTCGATGCGAATACACCAAATCTGCTGAAATACACAAATTGTTGAGATTTTGCAATTTAAGAAAATGCTTGATGAGATTTCAACCTGTAAGGTAACAGCCATACAGCATTGTGTCACGTAATGCAACCACTTTTTCAAATATTCTATACTTCAAATATTAGTAAAAATAAAAAAGGCATTAACAGATATTAAAAAAAGAAAATGATTAGTTAGAAACAACTAGTTTTAAAGCATTCTTACACTGCACTGCCTCCTCTGTGTCTTTGTTGGCCCTGAGGATGGCCTCCTGAATCTCATCCAGCCAGAGGACAGCTGATGGGTCCCGGGTCTCCTACATCAACCAAAGGAAAATACATTGTTATCTCTCTGTCTCAGGTTCAAACTGTGACTTATTAGGTCAAAATAATGACATATTTTCTCAAGATTTTGATGACAAGTCAACAAAAATGAGTTATTACTCATTAAGAAAGGACGTGATTATTTCAACAAGTACTTATTTTAAGAAAATAAACATGAATGCAAATTAGAGTGCAACATATTAGTTTACAGGAAGTCCATCAGACATCTTTTCTCTTCAAAACAAGCTAAAGTGAAAGAAAAATTCTATTTACTAAAGTAATGCTACACTGAGACCACTAGAGGGTGAACGTTCATTCCCTCTTCAAGCACATTCAGTTTATACCCATCCATAACTGCTGTCAACAAAAATGAATTTGCTGAATCAGATATCTTTGATCAAAGACATTTTCAAAGTGAAAGACAAGGCCCTGTGATACCAATAAACTCCTAAGACTGAAGACACTGAGCTGTTATTAAATTAAACTCAACTGTGCATTAGAGCCACATGATGTCAGTCTGCATGACTGCTTCTGGCAAAGCGTGCAAACAACATGGAGCGATCGATGCACCAGATAAACTCTCCCTGGACGGAAAGCGAAGAGCCATAAATAAGAAAAGACTAAACGGGCTGATGTCAGTTTAGATAAAGCATGTTTGTCTGGCTGCCGTGTTCACTGTGGCACATTTCTACCACCAGGTGGCACTCTTTCTCTCCAACAGCCGCAGCCCACATGCTGAGCGTCGTTTCCGGAGTGCGCTGCTCTGTGCTAATTGGCTGAGAGCACAGGCCCCTCTTTGTACCTCTCCCTGCTGCTGGAGCCCGACACTAAACCTGAGGGTGTGGTGCTTTTAAATACAGAGAAACGTTGTCTTCTTGGAGATTGCAACAGGTCTTCGCATAAATAAGCCTGTAATTGGCTACTCTAACTACGCATTCACGCTTAGTCTGAGGGACAATGATGGGTTATTGTACAAATAGGGCTGTAGGCAGAGATAAGATGTGTTCAATGGGCTGTAACCAAAAAAAAACTAAAAAAATAAAAAATAAGGTTATCAGCACTTCTGACTGTTAATCACAATTGAGGAAGTGAAACAGGGTGTGGTGAAACGTCCGAGATTGCGTTTCTGCCTCTCCAGGGCCTGCCACAGTATGATATCACAACAATAAAGGAACTTACTATATCCCAAAGCTAATGGTTGTAAATGTATACTTAAACGTGGCTGTAACTAGCTGGCCTGAGGTAACACAGTCTATGAACAGCATTATGACTCACTTGCGTAAATGTATATAATGTATTTAAAATAAATTGCCATTTTCATGACAAGACACTGTTAGGCACAATTAAGCCCATCACAACTATGAAAGCTGGTAATTAGCTGACAATTAACTGACAACTGAACTGTCTCTTTTGTTCATTGTATGTAACTACTAAAGTACAAGCCTTTACTCACTGCTGCCCTCTACAGGTGCTACAGCACCAAGTCAGAAGTTAGAATTTTTGTATTTTTCATTAAACTTGCGATGTGTTATTTGTATTACTTACATGAGGGGTGTCAAACTCAAATTACCTGGGGGCCATTAGACAGGTGCTCTTCCCCAAAGGGCAAGGGCCGGTTGAAAAAATCAAGGGGAAAAAAAAGACCTAAGTATCTCCATTTTTGTAATTTTTCATTTTTTGACATATTTGAAAATGCCTGTTGTCCTTTACACTGTGTGCAAATTTCATGATGAATGGACCAAAAGAAACAGCCCAAAATTGCTTGGACAAAAAGTCTGGTTCTATTAACTTACATTAAAAGTAAAATATGATTTTTCTTCTCCTGTAAAATGATCATTTTGGAGATACAAGTTTTTGTTCAAATAGCAGTGATACACTCATTTATACACATCTTAATCAATATTTATTAGCAATTCTTCTGTCATCACAAATCACAACTACTACTACTACTGCTAATAATAGATGTAGTAGCACCAGTATAAATATATAGTGTTTGATACATATTTTAGTGTTCAATTAAATCAAGCACACATATTTAACAGTACAATTCTAGAGGACTCTTATTATGAAAACATTGATGTTTCAGCGAGTCTCGTGACGTTAATCTGCGTTTTCAGTGGTTTCATCCGATAATTCTATTTTTCCTTAATTTTGACAAGCTGAAAAGAAATTAAATGAATCCATGAAGGCAAATTTAACTATCAGTCTAAATTAGAATAATAGCTAAGTTAGCTGTGGCTAAATTACAGCCATGTCCACTCAGTGTGCAGCGCTTATGCTGTGTCAGGTTTTTGTTTAAATGGTTCCTCTTGCATACAACAATTTATTCTTGCCCTTTAACAACATAAAATCAGCTTAGGCTGTTGCTTTGGGTCAGTTAGCCTATGTTAGGTATTTTTGGGTCAGATTTAAGGATGAATTATAAGTGTACGCTGGGCTGTATAAAGCTGTCTCTGGGCCAGATGTGGTCCGTGGGCTGGTAGTTTGAAACCCCTGATTTACATGCATATCATCGCTGTATAATAAGAATCTGTAAACTGGTAACTTTACAGAAGAGGGCAAAACTGCTTTTACTTTTAGTGTAACTTAATGTAAATAAATTTTATTCTAAGTAATTTGCGAAAATTTCTATTGGTCCATTCATCAAGAAATTTTCACACAATGTAAAGAGCTGCTGCTGTGCTCAAATGATGTAGACAAACAAAAACCAAAAAAAGGTTATACTTGTTTTTTTGTTTTAACCAGATGATTTGCCTCAACTGAACAGATGAACATGGACCCAGTTCACATTCTATATTGCTACATAAACATAAACTGAAAGCTAAAAACTGGTGAAAATAACTGCAGTCAGCTCAAATCATTGCAGTCAGGCAATTATAGCATAACTGTGGCAGACCTACTCACAATAATCAGACACCAGAAAAAGAAGCAATGACTTCTTATGGCATTTCTAATTTTATATTAGAATGGAGCAAGTGCCAGACGATGGTCTGCTCTCCACCTGTTCCTGCCTGACTGTCTGAGTAAATCTCTCATGTCTCCTCACTTCCACCAGCTGCACTGCACATGACTTTGCAGAAATTTTTAGAAAAAAAAAGAACCACTTCCTCTGCCACTAGCAGATTTGGAGACATCTATGTAAGCCTCACACCCAGGAATCACCACTGAGAGTGAGCTCAGGGTCTAAAAACATGCTGCTCCAGGGTGGACGGCCAGAGTTTTGCCCTTTTAAGGCAGTGATGGAGTCATTGGCCCGTTATTTCCTACTGTTGTGAAAAGCGTCGCATAAAGGAAGACTTTGTTTTCATAGCCATTTTGAGTCTAGCGTGATTCAGAAATGGGGCATGGCAACAATTAAGGCTCGAATTTCAGGAACATGTACACAAAAGATAGATATCAGAGTTGAAAGCTGATCCAGTGCTGACCATGGATGAGGCCAATGAGAGTAGAAAATATACAATAACTTAAAAAATGCATGCAAAGAATATTAGATTCTGATTTACTTACAGCCAAAAGTGAGCTGACCATTTAAACTAAATGAACTTTATGTGTTCTGATCATGCTACTGAATGTTCTGATGTTCTGATTACCACTACTGAATACATCATACATTGAGTTTTTAAAAATGATTGACCAAATATGCTGATTGGGATAGTGACTGGAAGCAAGCAGCCATCAACCTGCATCATTACATTTTTTTAAACCTTAACAAAACCCTAATATGTGGCTGCTCAATGTCATTTATTGTTAGCAATGCTGGCTTTTCCCCTCACTGAACTTACTTTAAAAAAAAAAGCACTGATAGAAAGATTAACATGTCACCCAACAGCTGACACATCACTCTTACATCTCTATACATTCAGATAAGGTGGCAACTTGATCTCTAAGGAAACGACTTCTGTTCTAAACTCTCACCTGCATGGCAGCACTTTCAATTTCACTGGAGGGGGTGGCTGAACAGTGATTTCGTGCGGAACGTGGCATGAAAAGCTACCATACTGCCCACTAACCTTTCTCACGGGGCAGCTGGCTTATGAAAATCAGTCTGGGACAATTTAGCACTGAAGTGTTTTGTTTTGTCTCACTCATGAATGACATGTTTTTGGGGCAGTTCATACAACACTGCGCCAAAAGTTAGGACACCCTCCATTTTTCCTTTTTATCTACAGCTGGAACACCCTGGGGCTATTTCACAAGAGTATTTCTCAGTAAACTGGATAACTTAAGCAGAAGTTGATGATTGCCCAATAGGAATGTTCTAAGCTCTTCTCATCCTTTCCCTGTGAGAAGACAACTCAATGCTTTGGGGGAAAGGATGTGTGGCTATCAAGAAGCCCTTCCTGAGAAAAGGAAATAGGCAAGAAAAGAAAATTGCAAATCAAACAAAGAAGCTGCTGGTGTTCTCCAGTCCAGACCTCAACATCAATGAATGTTTTTGGGATTCCTTGGACGGTGAGAAACAAAGAAATACAACTTTAAGACTGGACTTTGGAGGTTTTTACAACAAGCATGGAAAAATATCCCTGCAAACAGTGAAAAAGTTGATATTATATTTAACTGTTGAGGCTTCTGTGTAATTTGCTGTTAAATATTTGTATATATAAAAGTGATTAACTTGTACTTAATGGCAATTTTGACTAAAAGTTAAATGAATAAATGAATGAAGGGAGATTTTTGTCCATAGTCCTGTATATAGCTGAAATGAATAATACTCTGACCAAAAGGACAGTCCATTTTAGGTGATTTAGGCAGATGGGAAACGGAAAAGCAAGGCTACAACAATGAGACTACACTAGAGGCGAGGGGGCGGGGGATGAGACAGAGCATGAGACAGAGTGAGTGTTAATGATGTCATCTGGCTGAAGTCATGGGGTACTGAATCACATGAAATGCAGCGTTCAGAGACAGCAGTGCTTCAGTGCTTCAACTGCTGGGGAAACCGACCAACCACAGGGACTGTCAAACTGAAACTATAAATATCGGAGATACTGATCTCTCAATTAGATGCAAACATCATTACTTTAAGGCGGAATGCAAAACTTCTTGCTGGTAGAATGGTAGAGTGATTTCGAGGAAGGCTATAATGCATATTGTACACTGTACAACTAGAACTTTGACGAGGACATACGTGAGCTTTCTCCCTGCGAGCCTCCAGGAGTTTGTCGAAATAATGCTGAGCGATTGATGGATCCACGTCCGTTAGCTTGGCTGCAGGGTGCTGCAAAGCTTCCAGAGTCTTCTTTGGGTCTCCCTCATCCAAGGCCTCGTTGATCAGACCGATAGCAGCAATTCCTGAATGCATGAGACAGCAGTAAGTTGTTAGAAATTATCTCAGTTCAAATCTGAGCGTTATCAGCTCAAAGGCTACATTCGTTCAGCCTTCTTGCTCAATTCGGACTTTTTGCTAAGATCCAATATCACTCTTTCTTGTCGGTCCACATTCATGTTTGTTAGTGACCCATCTCTGGCATTAGTGTATGTAGATGCGCTGTGAAAGGTCCCGCATGACCATGTTTTATTGTCAAGTTAAGGCCACTGCTAAAACGCTGCCCACAGTGATGTGCGAACACATGGTATATTGTGACGTCTGTATCAGAAAAAGCACTGCTGAGGCTGGCAACTTCAGTCATATCAGTAACACTATCACTTGAAGATGCCTTCAGTAGACTAGCCTGAACTATGAATAAATCAACAAACAACAAACTAACAAAAGCAACAGCAAAAATAGCTGTAGTTCCCCTCATTACATAGCGGTATGAGAGCGAGAGGGCTACAACTGAGGAGGAGCTGGATCGTGCAGTCAGTGTTGCGCCAACTGGACGTTGGTCATAAATACTGGAAGCTACATTCACTTTGCTTTCAAGTGATGTTCATGTGGTTCATGTGGAATTTTTGAAAGTAAAGTACTGCTTTTCAAATGGAGCAAATATGTCTTGACTAAAATTGAAACCAATAAAACATTGTTATTATTACAATTAACTATACAAACTAATGCAATAGCAATTATTTTAATTGCTTAACAGCTCTAACTATTTAATAAAAAACTATTTTTTTATTAATTCTATTCTGCTCACATTTCTTTTGTGATTGATCCCAATTAACTACATAAACTAACATGATTAATTACAAATAATTATTTAAATCACTTGACAGCTCTATGAATTCCAATTTGATCCCATTACCGTCACATGGCCAGATGACAGACATGCATCTAATCTAACACACAAGAGAGACTCAAACCAGATTTGAAAAGATCAGATTTCTTTTGCGACTAATCTGCGAATTAACTACTCAAACTAATGCAGTTTATCATTCATTATCTTAATCCCTTGACAGCCCTAAAAAATGACCACATAACAGACATGTATCAGATCTACACGCGCATATAAAAGACTTTTCATCTGATACGATTTTCATGTTAGATAAAAATCGCATTTATGGAACTTCAGTTCTATAACAAGAACGTAGTCATAGGTTTGTCATGTGTCTGACTCACTCTCATGCTCCTCTTGGACGGTGCTGTTGACCTGGTCCACACAGGCCTGGATGTCGTTCCAGGTCAGATAATCGCTGCCCTCTTCTCTTGCTGCAGCCTTGAGACGCATCAGCTCGTCCATATACCTGTATATGAAACCATATTAGCAAGGTCATGCATGTACTGGCACAACGACCAGACAAACAACCAACACAAAATTTTCTTTTTTTTTGGTAAAATATATTAAAGCAAGAAAGAAAGAAAGAAATAGATAAATAAATAAATCTAGCTTTCATTGTCTATATTCCAGTCTAGCACGCATCAATTATGCTCTCTTTGCAAAGATAAACGCAATTGGTCAGTGTTCTTTAAGTACTGATGATATCCACATGCTCAGAAAGCATTCTGTGACACAATTTATAATGATGATGATGAAATATTATACTCTCCAGCACTAATTCAGTGTATTATTTTAAAAAATGGATCACACTCAAATAACAAGGCATTTAATTTTTACCAAATGAATCCTAATTGAACGGAATTATTGTGAGCTCAGAGATCAGCACATCTAATTTGTCTATATTTCCTCTCCACCCTTGGTTTCTTCAAGTCTCTCTCCATCTCTCACTCTTCCTTCTTTCTGATCAGGAAAGTGTGACAGATGTCAGTTTTGCATGTGTTTCCTGAATCAAACGGTTACACTGAGGCAACATGGTTCCTGAAGTTGCAAATTTACTTTAAATAAGTCATTAGACTAGTTTAAAACATCAAAAGCAGACATGTTAATTTGCCTTGGTTGGGGGACGCTGTTCCTGTCTCACCTGCATGTGACCAACCTGACACTGTCGGTGATCCATGACAGCTAATGGCCTCAATGTTTATCTTAACAGCACAGTGTTTCACCTCGAGCAGTGTTATGACATGGCCTGTCATGAATTTGAATGTCTTAACTACATATTTCTGTAAAGATGTATAATAACCATGACCCCTGACCCTCACAGATGTTCAGCATCGACATGGGGACTCATGTCACACTTAATCATCAGAAAAGGGCACTTAGGCTTGTTTGGGCTTCTGCACAAAGTCCTGCACAAATGCAGTTGACTGTAATATTTTAAGTCGTGTATTTATATTATTCTGTCATGCACTCGTATTATTTCTTCCTGGCAGGCTTGAGGCTTCACTTGAGACTGTCTCTCAAGCACTTGACTTGTAACTGTTTTAAGTGACTTGTGTGTCTGTCTGGCTCCATGTGTCTCACCTCTGGGCGTACTCGTCCTCCACGTTGCTGAGGCCAGTGACGGAGCTGCTGAGCTGTTTCCACACAGCCGCTCGGTCTCCCACATTCAGAGCCTCGTTTATTAGGACCACCGATGACAGCATCTCCACGGCAACCAGCAGCTCCGGGTGCGTGAGTGAGCCCTGTTCAACCAGCCACAACACAGCAGTCAGTCCAACAGAACTAAATCCTACTGTGAGTCTAAGTGTATGTGGAGCATGTGGAGTTTTGGAGTTGAAAGAGCAAAAGCCACGATGATAAAACTGATTATGTATAGGGTGAGGTTCAGAAAATTCTGATTACATATAGGTGGTTACATATCATCACCGTTGGAACAAAACTTTGTATCCCCAAAATGTATGTAGAGATATAAAACAATAAAAAAAATGGAGATACAATGTTTTTCAGTTTTTGACGTAATTTGAAAATAACTGTTACTCTTTACATTGTATGTAAATTTCATGATGAATGGACTAAAAGAACTGACTCAAAATGACTTGGAAGAAAGTCTGGTTCCATTAAAAGTAAAGTAGGTTTTTCCCTTCTCCTGTAAAGTTACCATTTTGGAGATAAGAGGTTTTCTCCTGACAACAGTGATATACATAGTTACATTAGATTAGATTAGATTAGATTAGATTAGGGGCATATACATCACACAACATCCTGACATTGTACAAAAACAACCCAACTGAGCACTTTCTGACCTCGGCGCTTTGCTGTTGCAGGCTCAACAGTTCTCTCTGGTAGAGTTCTGCAGCAGTTGGGTAGACTTGCGGTAGCTGAGCCTCAGGGTTCATCAGCTCGTTCACTGTGTCCTCAGCCACACCCTTTCTAATGGCCGCATTTATCCTGTCTACAGCCCGCAGCACTGAGAAACACAACAAAAATATTTTCTTTCACAAAGCAGTAAAACACTGTAGGTGTAATAAACAGGCTGATGTAATGCAGGAAATTCTTCAGAATGATTTAAGTGGCATGATAAGGTGCAGCAACTGATGAATTTCCTTCTGATGAACTGATGAAGTTCATACTTTTCAGATAGCCTTCAGCAATGCCATTGGCCACATCCACCCCACTCTGCAGCTCTTCTTTGGTCAGTGCCTCTCCTGTTGTATTCTGAGTGAAATATGAAAGCACAAAATATCTAAAAATATAGAAACATTCAGCAGATAAACAAAAGTAAATTAATGAGTCACAACTGTACCTCATGAAACAGTAACTTCTGTTATTTACGAATCTACCCATCGATCTATCTATCCATCCATCATCCATTCTTCTATCAGTTTATCTATCAATTTATCTATTCATCTATCTAATCATCCATCCATTTATCTATTCATTTAACATCTCTCTTTATCAATATTTCTTTATTTATCTACACATCCATCCATCAATCTGTTCATACATCTTTATATAGATACATCAATCTATTTATCTATCCATCTGTTTTTTTGTACTGATGTATCTATCCATCCATCTCTGTCCAACCATCTATCCTTTAATTTATCTAGTGTATCTATCTATCATCTATCCATCTATTAATCTATCATCCATCCATTCATCATCCATCTGTCCATCTATATATCAGTCTATTTATCTGTCCTTCTGTCTGTCTCTCTGTCTGTCTATCCATTCATCCATCCACTCAAATGTAAATGTATCAGTTTGGCCAACAGGCTAATTGTTATCTACTATTTCAGATGCGTGATGTAATCCAAAAACAAAGCAGCAGAAAATTTACATACAGGTAAAACTAATCCTGTAACAACACACCAAAAAACAAACACAGATGGTGACAATTTACATGCACATACAAGCACACAAGACAGATCATGGCACAAAGAAAGAAAAATGAAGTAATATGTCCTTATCTGACCTCCATCACCTGCTCCTTAGCCTCACGATCAGCCATCAACTGTTTCAGGTACCATTCCTTGTTCTTTGCCTGCAAGGACTGCAGGCCCAAAGCCGGGGAGGAGAGGGCCTCAAAAAGCCTGTCTTGGTCACCGCTGAGTAGGGCCTGCTCTGTCGAACTCAAGGCATTGGCCACTAGAAAACATGAGGCAAAGATCTCAGGCAGGATAGCAAATAAAAAGATACAGAAATATCTCATAAATGGAGACTTGCAGGGAACCTACAGTTCACTTTGTTGACATTTCCCTGAATTTCAGCCTGTGTGAGCAGCTCCTCATAGACGTCCCTCTCTGCATCTGCGTTCTCCCCAATCTACAACAAACACAGATTATATAATACAGCTACATAGAGAGTATTCCACAGAATACGATCACTGGTCACTTTGTTAGAAACTCCTACATCGTAGGTCCACCTTGCCGACGTACAGTTAGAGACAGCAACCCACTTGTTACGATGAACAGTGTGTTCAATAACCTCTAGCCCTTCATCGGCGATCAATTGTCAACCACAGATCTGTTCTTGGCTGTGGGTGGGGAACCACTGTAGTTTTTAAGCCTGATATCCTTAGGTGTTTGCCGTCAGGTTTGTTTTTCTCGTAGCCCTGCTTTGAAAATCATCTGCTGTTTATTATTGGCTATTCTGCACGTGCATGAGCATAGCAGACAGCCATGATCAGGACAAAATGCACCAGATCGGTGTTGTAGTCGGGCGTATATGCACGTACATGCCATATCCTGACTTCTAATGATGCAGTTTTGCACATACCCACATGTATCAAGTCGCATCACAAATCAGCAACAACAAAAACATCAGCTTTGATTGGAGAGTTTCATATGGTGATTAATAAACCATTCTGACTGGTTTGTTTTCATCTGTTTCTAAGGATACCACCATAATGTTAAACTCTTCATCCAGCAGTCGGTCACAGATTTGCTGATACAATGTTAGGTAAAAATAGACAGACTGTGAATGAATTTGCCTCTAAATATTGTTCTGGATAAATAAAAGATCTTGAGACGTTCATACCCTCTTTCTGGAGTTGGCCACTTTCTCAGCCTTGGCCTGGAACAGTGTGTCCTGGTAGTGCTGGGCAGAGCTCTCGTCCAGGTTCAGCAACATAGCGTTGGGGTTCCTCATGGCTGCCAGTGTGCCCTGGGGTTCTCCATGGTCAATGGCATCATTGATGGCAATCACTGCAGCATGCACTGAATCAATGCAATAAAAGAAAATGATGACTCACTGCTCATGAAGAACGGGGGGACCTTCTTAACTTTACTATGCTGTTAATTTTGTGGCACTATACTGTAAAGCTACAGCAAAAAATTATGGTCTGCTATTATTATTACTGGTCATAGGAAAATGGAAAAAACAAGTCCCTTCAATTCATCTATGAACAGTCTATTCTCAGAGGGGCACAGAAAATAGCAGCTCACCCACTCCCATGTTCTTTATTCTGAATATTAGCTAATATTTTCTAGTAGAAGGTACAGGTTGCCAAGCTGTATGCTCAATCAATTTAAGTACTTTAAGTACTAAAGCCAAGTACAATTTAAGTATTTTTGCCAGCTTCAAAAAGCCTAGGCAACTGTGCAATACTGTCTGTGCTGTTGAGACCGTGCAATATAGTGATCACTGAAATTCAGGTAGGCAGACTGTGTAACTGCAGCTTTATCTTATCATACTTACATACATACTTATCGAACTCTTATATACTTTCACTATTATAAAAATATCATCATAGTTCAAAGAAGAACATGTAAACTGCTCTCACAAGCTGCCTCGTCCACAGAAAGCTCATTGGCCAGGATGCCACCAATCTTGCTGAACGCTGGCATCTGAATGTTGTACTTCTCCAGCTCACTCTTCATGTTGTTAATCTCCTCCTCTGTGAGACAGGGATTAGGCATGTACAGATTAAACATGACAACATGACACTAATAGCCAAAACATAAGGATTACTAGGATAGAAGGAACTTTTCAGAACTTATTATTTGTTTACACAAAGCTTTGCTTAAAAGCACTTGTGTAAACGTGTCATATCTGAGCTTCAGTAAGGGATGTTGGCCATTAATCGAGTAGGTCACGTTCTAATCTTTTTTTCAGTGTTTTTTCCTGGGCCTGGAGCTGAAGTGCTGGACATTGTTCTCAGCACGACTGTTAAATACCATTCCCCTGGCCATGAGCTTGGCAGTAAGAGAGGACTGGCCAAAATGACAGGAAACGCACACAATCACTAATGGCTTCCACACTGGGGGCAGCTCCCAAGCACCAGAAAGCACCAGAAAGTTCTGGAGCCTTATCACTGCTGATGAAAACAACTATAGAGGATCAGGAAAGCGGGCAGCTTTAAAAAAAGAAATATTTCAGGAAAAAAAAACAACAACACAACTTTCCACTTTCCACCCTAGATGTAGTCAATCAGCCAAGACATGTTCGGGGTCCAAAATTTGTTTGTTTAGTTTAGAACTGAAGTTTGTTAGCCTAACACTGCTAACAAACACTAGAACTCAATAGTCACCCAAATAGCCATAATCGTTTTTCTAAAAATACCTCCCCAAAACTTCTCACAGCCTGTTTGAACTGCATTTAGATCTTAATTAAGGTCACACAGACTAGTTGATGTGTTTTAGGACACAGTATGACTTGCTGTGAACTATAAAAATGAATGAATGAACGAATGAACGAACGAATGAATGAACGAATGCTAAAGGGCAATTATTTAACAAAACACCAGAACTGATATTCACAAAGCAGTTGCAAATTAGAGGAATTACAATAGTAAATCAGAGTCAAATTTGAGCAGTTGTTAATTAAGACCTGGATGCAGTTTGATTGGGTTGAGAGAAGTTTTGGGCTGTTTGATTGACTATTGTGTTTAAGTGTTCATCATCAATCTTAGCCTCACAGCTCCAGTTCTAAACTAAAGAATCAAACTCTGCACCATATCTAGGGTGAGAATATTGTGTAAATCATAAATTTCACTGAGCTTTTTCTCCCACTGACATCAGTGCACTCACCTGTGAAGGCGACCTTGCCATAGAGGTCTGTGATCTGGGGGGCAAGACCGAGCTTGAACAGGTAAAGGCTGAAAAGGAAAGGGGGAAAAAACAAGCTTTAGGGAAAAAGAGACTGAACTCCCTCAGCCATCCACCCCTGCATGGCTTTCAGTTTAACACACCTGATAAACATGTTTGTGCTGCATCTGTGTTCCACAGGGGGCCGTAAAAAAAGGAACAACTACACACCCAGCTAAAGGCCCCAAACACCCACTCAGCTTCTCTCGGCCCACGGTAGACCCCTGCCAACCTCTCGCCCCAGCTGGACTGTGTGACTTCCTGCTTCTGCAAGGCCAGATTTATGGCCTGTGGGCTGCACATACACTCTGTACAGGCCTGGAATGCACTGTTAAAACAGCCTTTGCGTCTGCTTCAGCTTTTCCACCATGGCGCTAAATACCACTGCAAGAGGTTTCCCCATCACTTAAGACTTAATTCCAAAACAGATCCCCAGCATTTCCCTGATTTTTCACATATTTGAGGCTGATAAGATATCCAGATGGCTGCATACCTTCACATCTCAAGTCTGGACTTTGTATGTATTGACTCTATATGGAAAAAGCAGCTGGCTCTTAGCCAATTAAAGTTTGCATTCAAAAGAAATGGTTCAGGTAAAATTACACAACTTTCACATTAGCCTAAATATAGTTGATCAGCCAAGAAACAGACGGTGTCCAAACTTTGCTTCGTTTTGCACTGGAACTACAAGGCTAATGAAGCTAACAAGTAATAAAAGCATATTGCTGCTGTTGGAAGAGAACCTCGTTTACACATTTTCGACGTTTTTCAGTTTTTGACATAATTTGAAAATGCCTGTTGCCCTTTACATTATGTGTAAATTTCATGATGAATGGACCAAAAGAAACAACCCAAAATGACTTGGAAAAAAATCTGGTTCCATTGACTCACATTAAAAGTACAGTATGTTTTTTCCTTCTCCTGTAAAGTTACCATTTTGGAGATACAAGGTTTTCTTCCGACAACAGCGATATGCAACACTGCACAAGCAACACGCATGCCTAATACCAGCCTCACACCACACGACTTTTCAAGCGATTTCACTGCTGCAGACAAATTTCCAATGTCGGAATAACATCATGAGAGTCTTGCTAAAGACTCTAGAGTTGCATTGCACTCGCGTCACCTCGATCGTTTAGTGTAAGGTGTTCAGGACGGCAGTCGGTCTTTTTCTCGTCTTGACGCTATGACAAAATCAACGATGTTTAATATTGTTATAAGTTTTAAGTCTTGGCTCATGCAAATAGCGACGTGCCATAGGTGTGCATGAGAGTGAGTGAGAGAGAGAGTTCAAGGGAGAAAATGCATGCATGAGTACCGGAATTCTCTGTTAAAAAAAAAAAAGAAGGGAAATCTGCTCCACTTTAAAACAAAAATCATATCAACTTAAAAACGTAAACTGGCTGTTTTAATATTTCAGCTTCACTGAGTGTAACAGTGATGTAAGGAAACGTGCAGAGGACTTTAAGAATGGCTTTGTTAAAGAATCATCAATGTGTTTTTTCTTTTGCTTTCTGTTAGTGATTTCTTATTTTATTTGTTTGTTTTTATGGTTTAGTTCTTAACATCCAGTCAACAACACTGAAACGATGATGTTTTGTTGATGTGTAAATCTTTATATTAAGTAAAAAAGTAACTGCACATTTTACATGTTAATTAAAACAATTCTGGGTGATGATTGGCCAGAATATACAGTTCTACAGTGAACTGAGCTGAGCCCCGGAGCTTTACATGTCCAGCTAACGTATCTTCTCATCTGTACCACTACAGAGTGGAGAAGGAAAAAGGTTTCTCTGTTTGTACATTTCCACCAGGTGCAATAATCAGAACAATCTAGTTGCAGTCTTGCAAATAGTGCCCCTGCAAGATCCCCAGTCTTTGCAAAATCATAGTCTGTGACTAAAAACAGTGACATTGTCTTTAGATGTGAGAGGGTGTCAGACTTCAGTCTTTCAAAAGTCTTTTCAAAGTCTTCTAGTGTATGGTTAGCTTAAATCATCACAAAGACCACATAGGCCCACTCTTATGCAGCTTTTAGAAAACTTGAATTCTCAGAAACAAGAAGATTTTCCCCTTTTTAATCTCTGGGTTCAGCAAGCTTAGCAAGCTCAAATCAGTCAAGTAATCTCAACAGACTAACTTATGTGGTTTCTGACACTGTAGTGTACACACTGTTAGCTATATTAGATAAAATTATGTCACATAGTTAAAACAGCAGTAGCTGCCATTCTGATTCCTAATGCTTTTGTCTAATTTATATTGTTGAACAACCACATGGAGTTATCCAATTAAGCTTCCATTACTTGTTATCTAAAATCAAGTTGTAGCTCCAGAACAAAACTACACAACCAAGGATACCATGTTTTTTATTTGATTAACTACATCTGGGGTATACGGAGCCCCGGAAGAGACGGCGGTAAAAAAAAATTGTGCAAACGTTTTGCAGTTCGTACACACATTTTATTTTATTTGTGGTAACGATTTCTTAAATCGTTCCCTCATTTTCTTTTAATCATGCGCACGTTTTCTTTACTTCGTGAGTACGTTTTCGTTTTCTTTCAATCGTTGTCATGTTTCATTTTTAACTGAACGCACGTTATTTTTTTGATTGGTGCACAAAATCAATGTAGTAGTAACTAACAGCTCCCTGAGACTGTCTGACGGGTTTTGATGAGTTAGACTGATGAGATAATGAACAGAAGTGCTCATCAGGTCTGATTTTGATTTGGGGGTTTTGAGGAAAGTGCAGCTCCTCTTCACAGAAAACGGCCCACAGATTCATTAGTGCAGCTGCAGTTTGGTGGTGAAATGAAGGAAGACAATAAACTACAATCACAATCTTCACTAAACTGCACTTTCTAATGATCACACTTAACAGAGATATAGACGCTTAGCGCTGTTTCTGCTCCTGCGACAAGCTGCGGTGTTAGAGATCATCACACAATTACAGGAAGAAATGGTCGGCGTCAATTTGTTTCAACAAACTCAAATTAAACACACACAGAAACATTAATGTGGGATGAGGTCAAATGGCGAGAGAGTTTAATAGATCTGTGGATTAGATGTAGATATGTTAATGTGAGGATGTTGAAACGCTGATCATTTCGTCCTGTAATTCTGTGATGGTCTCTAACGCCGCAGCTTGACCGGGAGCAGAAACACAGTGGGCCGTTTGCTGTGAAGAGGACCTACAGTTTCCTCATAACCCCCAAATCAAAATCAGACCTGATGAGCACCTCTGTTCATTTTCTTCATTATCAATCTAACACATCAAAACCCATCAGACGGTCTCAGGGAGCTGTTATCAAAATACAAACAACGTGCATTCAGTTCAAAATAAAACATGACCATGATTAAAAGAAAACGAGGGAACGAATTAGAAAATTGTGATCACGAATTAAAAAAAACGTACCCACGAAGTAAAGAAAACGTGCACACGATTACAAGAACACGAGGGAATGATTTAAGAAATCGTGACCATGAATAAAATAAAATGTGTGTACAAAATGCAAAACATTCGCTCAAATGATTTTTTTTGAGCGAATGTTTTGCACCTCCTTCCCCTCCGGGGGTCCGTAGGGGTAAGTACACAACCGTATAAATGAGATTTTTCTATGAACCACTGCTTTAACATGAATTCCAGCACAGACGGAGACTCTTGATCTGATTTATTATACATCTGAAGCTGTCATTTTGGATGTAAACCCATAATCCATGATCCAGATTGTTTCATATCTTCATATGTCAAACTTCGGATTTGTTAACAATATCACATGGAAAAAGCAGCTGGCTCTGGGTTTTCTACAGCTTGTATTTCAGCATGTGTACTGTCACAGTTAAGTAGTTATTAGCGCCTAAAGGGGACTTTTTTTTGTAATTTTTACATAATTCAATGGTGGAGATATGAAGATGTAGTGTAATATCATCCATCGTGATTTGATTGTCCACTGTAGAGAAACTTACTGACTCAGATTTCTTTACAGTGATGATGAGAGGAACCCAATGTCTACAACTCAAATATACTGCACTTATTTTCTATTTAAAACGACCAGTGAACCTACATGTGTATTTGAAATGTTTATGTAATGTTGATAATGTTGGTAAAATAGGGGTAAATCTAAAAAAATAAGTTTTCTTTGGGTGCCATTTGACCTTTCAACACCCTGCACATACCTCTCCACCATGAACTGACTTTTTAGGCCAAAACCGCCATCTCAGACATCAGGCAGCATATTTGTAATACTATTATGTGAGAGAATTATTGCAGACATTAAATTCTTCAGATGTCTGGTTCCTATGACTACCACTGTAAACAATTCTCACTCAGTACGTTTCTATAGAATGGGGCATTTTGCATCAAACCTCTCAAAATGACTCTTCATTAGGCAGAAATTTTGAAAAATCAGTGGAATTCCCCTTTATGCTCGGAAGACATTCTATTGGGGCTCAAATTTTGCAAAGTGGAAAGAGTCTGAGAGGCACATAAACAGAGACACTGTGTACCTGAGTGCATGGATGCAGTAAATGCAGCGAGGCATGTTCTTCCTGTCGTAGATGTCTGTAGTCTCAGGATAGAAAATCTGAGGAGGGGGAGGAGAGACAAGCAGGTTGGAGTGAGCGCTTTGATGAGGTTACACTGAGAGTGCTCTATTGTTAGAACACAATCAGCGTCTGGGCAAGTTGTATCACGTCTCAGGAGGCGAAATTCAGGCTACGGAGAGACATTTGTTTGGCTCACTGAACTGAAACCAATTCCTCTGCCTAAAAGCTAAATGTAACCTTTACTACACATCATCACTGTCATAAAAGAAAAGACTTACATCTCCAAAATGGTATCTTTATAGGAGAAGGGAAAACATCGCTGAGGTGTAATTATGACAACAAAACCAGTTTATTTTTACAGGACCATTTCCCATCATCTTTTATCTCTCAGAATTAAACAGGTTGTATATTACTACTGCGCCCTTAAGGCTAAATGACTTCTGTTCTGATTGGCTGCCCTGGTACTGCGCCTCATTCAAAGGGCTTAAGCTGAAACACTTCTTATAGCTTCAAAGTGAATGAGCAGAGCTAAACTGATGCAGACTGAACGGAAGGGCAGACTGAACGGAAGGAAGGATATACACTAGAGTTCAGAAGTTTGGAATCAGCATTTTTAAACATATGAACATTTTATTGCAAGTACATGTGTAAAATGATTCTAATATAATGCTATATATATATATATATATATCTATACTATATACTATATATATATATATATATATATATATATACACACACACACACACACACACACACACATACATATATATATATACACATGTGTATATGTATATGTGTGTGTATATATATGTATGTATATATATATACACACACACACACACACACACACACACACACACACACACACACACACACACAGTAGGAAGCTGTGATGCACTATAGATGTTTCCATAATTGAGAAAATTGAATATAATTGAGAGTCAATTTATAATAATTATATTATTAATATTAATACTTAATATCCAGAATGCATCATATTTTAAAATCTTGCTGATCAAACACCTATTCATAGTTCTCAATGTCAATTAATGACTAAAAAAGGATAATTACAGTTCATCATTATTAATCATTTTTACTATGTAACTAACTTCTTATTCCCAAAATACTCTAAAGCATAAATAAACCACCGGTTTACATTTTGGTGTCTAGTTTACCCACTTCTACCAAAACTAATAAGAACAGAAACACCTAAACTAAAATATAATGGGAGAAAAAAGGAAGCATATGCCTCTTCCACAGGGTTGCACAATTAATCATTTTCATATCAAAATTACAATTGGAAAGACTACAATTTTGACACTGCTGGAGATGCTATTTAATTATATCCTGCTTACACATTCCAAAAGGGCCTGGAGGTTCAATTATAGAAAATAACTGCATTTAAATCAAATTATTCAGCAGAAAAAATTGCAAACAGATATTTTCCCCAAATTGTACAGCCCTCTTGCACTCTTCATATCTAGATTTGAGTAAGACTGCTCACCTTGGGAAGGCCTTTATCAGCCATTGCATTCAGCCACTGGATGACATTGTCTGTGTGTCTGAAGTGGAGCCCAGTGGCCTGCAAGAAGTGCACAAAAACAATAAAAAACAGAACAAGGCCATGAATTCTTTGCACATGACAAAAACAGCACACCGCCCCTCGAGCAGAATACATTTTGAATCCGCTCTCTTACCTTGTAGCGCGTTTGCTCACGGTCATAGATCCTCTTCACAGACACGATGTGGGGGGCGAAGAAGTTGCCAAGCTTGGCCAGGTAGACGCCGTTCCGCAGGCCCTCCTCCAGCTCTGTGGTGGGCGGCAGCTCCTCATTCAGACAAGCCTCCATCCACCTGCAAAGCACAGAGATATAAGAGATTGAGCAAGATACAAGGAGATTAAGCTCTGGGGAAAAATCCCACTGTAAAACCAGTTTTCTAATAGCCAGATAAGATTTGGCATTAAAATAACTATGCAAATAAGAGCACTGAAAGACCACAGCTGGGATAGTTAAACTGAGTGTTGGTTTACAAAGATCACATCATTACAATGTGTTTGTAGAACCTACTACCCAATACGTTGTCCGATGATTTTAGCAACACCTTTGAATATCTTAACAAAGCTGGTAAAAACACCACCCACACCTACAAAGAGGCCAACTTCAATCGGCTTATCCTATCAATGCATCCTTATGCCAAATGGCCTTCATACCTTCAGCATCTAAATGATAATAAACTGGTGACAGCATATGCCACTCTTAATTGTACCACTCTCTTATTTATCCTTGAACGTCACTGGTTCGTCTGTTTCCATGAGTTAAAACAACATGCCAGCTGGTTATTTCACTTGCACAAGTTCTTCAAATTCTTGTAAACACTTCAAACCACTAAACTCACACATTTCAAAATATTCCCTGAAGGCCTGCAAGAGGTGGATCAGCTGCACAGCAACTCTTCTGTTCAATGTGGAGAGAAGTTAAGGACATTTCATCATAGAGTCAAAGTCAAGTGTTGAGTGAGGAGCGAAATATAGGTTCTCCAAAACACAGAGCTACTTTTAAGAGTAGAGCAGCAAACAACAAAAGACAGTTAATACAATAAATACAGGCAACACAAACACTAAACAAACACTCTTCTACACAATAAACAATAACTATACAACCATTAAGCACAGCACAGGAGAGGCTAGACAGTGTACAATGGGGTTGGGGAAAGAAATAGGCCAGCTGTAAATCCACAGCAGCAAAGATTGCTGTGCATGTATTATTATCAGTCCACTGATAGTTAGTAATAGTCCTTAGCAGCATAACCACAATTAGGCTACTTAGTTTGCTGTAATTGTGCATGAATTGTCTGCAGGTTTGCAGCTGAAACTTACAGTGCATTATATTCATATCTATATTACTATCAGAGTTTCCACAAGTAATTCTGATGCCAGTCACAAAAGGGTAAAATTTTGATATTGGTGTTATTGTTGCGCAAAGCCTACACTGTGTTATAACACAATATGACAGGCTAGTCCAAACATCCGCATTTTCATACATGGCTTTTGCCGACTTAACATCAAATGTACCTTAAGTTCAACAGTTTGATATGCATACGATTTAACCAGCACTCCTGAAGCCAGTTTCAAACTGGAGGGTCGCAGCACAAACAGCAAACTAAAGAGGCTTTATGAGCCTACTTTTCTAAGAGTGCATGTATCAGTCTGACTTTTCTGTGTTTTAGAGCAAAGGACAAAATGCAAATGTCTTTATTGACTGTCAAATCAGTGACCTTCTAAACATCATACTCCTATGATCAAATAAGCTTTAATACTCCTATGATCAAATAAGCTTTAATACTCCTATGATCAAATAAGGTTTAATACTCCTATGATCAAATAAGCTTTAATACTCCTATGATCAAATAAGCTTTAATACTCCTATGATCAAATAAGCTTTAATACTCCTATGATCAAATAAGGTTTAATACTCCTATGATCAAATAAGCTTTAATACTCATATGATCGAATAAACACAGCAACAGTTACATTCCATTGGGGTATCTTCCCTAAATGCAGAACAGCAGAGGGAGGGTTCACCGCAAGATTTCATTTGCTTTTAACGTAATATGGCGTTTTTAAATCGGCCAAATGCCTGTATTTACCATAAAAATGATTGCCATTTACCATATGTTGGTAATGTTGGTAAAATGTTTGTTTTTATGCTTCTCAGACGTTTGGTTTAAAAGGGCTGAAGCGACAGCCGGGTAAAAAATGTAGCAGATCAGCAAAGATATGTCTGGTGTCTGAAGTTTATTTCTTGCATTTTACACTGGAGCTACAAATCTAATGTTCTCACAAGTAATGGAACCTTCTACCCCACCGATTAGCATTACAGATTCATAGATAACAGTGTGTCATACAGTTTTAGAAACCACATAAGCAGGTCTATTACAGATTACTTAACAACTCCTCAAGGCAAATGTGCGATGATCTGGGTATGCGTATCTGCACAATGCTAGTTGGTGCGACATCTCCGTTATATATTAGCTGCCTTGCAGCTCTAGTGCAAAATATGAAGCAAACTTCAGACACCAATGTCTTGGTGTTTTTTAAGGAAATAAGTCCTGAAAAGTTGTATTTTTTGAGTAGGTCCTGCATCAGCATTGCGAAGCGCAACAGTGTAACTTCTATCTGGAGCATAAAATAAGTCACTCAATCTCTAGAAATGCAAAGTATTCTGTTTCTTCTCTGCTGAGAGGGGATCCTCCCCTCCCTAGCTGTGAGCACAACACTACTGAAGCTTGTCTGGGCAGTTACAGCAACTATATAACAGTTACAGCAACTGTGTAATAGAATTTCTCAATAGACTAATGTAAGAAAAACCACTGCTAGTGCACATGGCTAACAAGTACAACTCGCAAACAAACAGGCTGTCTCTCACACACACACACACACACTTTACACAAAACATAGTATTATACTGAGCCCCACCTTGGCCCCCAGGCCCCCACCCAGGAAGTGCCCATGCACTGTAGCCCCACACAAACTCCACATTGAGAGGGATAGTGGCCAGCCTTACAGCTTCAGGGGAACACGGTGAGACACAGTCGTCCTTTCACTCTCTCACACTGACATTCACTCACTAATAGCTCTTTATCAGGGACACGCCCGGCTGCGCACACACCAGGTCCACACCCACCAATTAGTCACCGCTGTGAGCGGGACTGGAGAACGTCCACAGTTAAATTCCAGCACGAGGACACGTGTCGGGGGTCAGAACCAAAGCTGGGTCATACGCAAATGTTTCTAAAGTGTGTCTGAGGTTTGGACAACACGGTATAATATAAAAGACATTTTCACACCGAAATGAGATCAGCTTCTCCTACTCACTTATTAATGTACTCATCTACAACAGGAATTCCACAGATTGTTCAAAAGTTCTGCATAATTCAAATGTTAAAATGTGAACAGTCATTCAGAATGTTTACAGTGGAGTTGATGGGAACCAGGGGTTGCAATGTCTCCAACACAAATGCAGCCATTTTATGTACTAACCAACACTGTTTTATACGTAAATGTTGATAAAGGTGAAATTGTGCTAGATCTGAAGAAAATAGGTTTTCTTTGAGGACTACTTTGTCTTAGAACAGCCTACGTGTAGCCTACTCTCCACCACAATGACTTCAGAAAATGTGTTTTAGGCTAAAGATTTCTCTCAAAACTATTATCAAACAATTTCTCAGGCATCAGGCAGCGTATTCAATATCATTTCATGTAGTATCTTTGAGGGACCTTTTAGAGGCATTAAATGATTCAGATGTCTGGTTCCCATCACCACCACTGTGAACAATTCTGACCCGTTAAGTTTCTGCAGAACAAAGCATTTCATATCAAACCACTCGGAATGACTGTTTACAGTTTTAATTAATTATAATAAAATGTGAGCCAATTTCAATTAAAGCAGTTGTAGCCAAAACATGGTCCATCGGCCTCGACATGTGGGTCTCTTAAGTTTGCCTTATTAGTTTTACACTGGAGCTATGAGGCTAATGTTGCTAACAGGTAACGTAAGCATACACCCCACCAATTAGCAGTTGTTTGGAGGTCTGAGGAGAATAAATACAATGCCCCAGGCAAGCCACATTTAAAAACTGCAATCAAAACAGGACTCTGCATTCATACGGCATTATAAACATGATTATAAACATTTATAAAAATGAATTACACTAATTAAATGAATTATAAATGAATGAATTATAGCTATGTTTGTAATACATTATGAATTGTTAATATAATGCATTATAAGTAGTGTCGATAACATGTTATACTATCAGTGTCAATGAAGTCAGTCCCAGCTTGGAGAGCGTAAAGTAAAGACAAATACCAAGCTAACGGTGGTGTACACTGACTTTCCCACATTGGGTAAAACACTGATGGCAGCACTAGTGTAAACTCTGACATTTGAAGCCTGTAATGTGCTTTACTGTGTATGTTTTAGTGTTTCAGTAAATCCTTCAGTAAATACTTCAACTCAAAGCCTCACCCTTAACACTGGAGGAGGCTTTGGTACAGTATGCTTCACTTTACTTAGAGCGGACAAATACGACTTATGAGCTCTTATAATTTGTTATGATCAGTACTTATAATGTATTATGTTAACAATTCATAACGCATAAAAAGCATGGCTATAACGTGTAGTGCATTTTTATAAATATTTATAGCCATGTTTATAATGCCTTATGAATGCATTGTAACATGTTATGAACGTGTTTATAGATGATTACAAAGGTGACATTCATAGAAAGTGTTACCCTCTCGTCATTGCCAGGATTCAAACTTGCAATCTTTTGCCACTTATTTTAATGAAACATACAGTTGGTCAGTGCTGTTAAAGTATTAAAAGCACCAACAATATACTCAGAAAGGCTTCTCATGATGTAATGTATTGTGATAATCCCATATCACCGTAATGCTATCACCCACGTATGAAACCGGAGGTGAATGTGTGAATAGGGGCAGTAAAAGAATAACCAAGCAGGCAGGCTTTCTTTTCATATGACAGGAAGCCACAAGCCATGAAGTTCGGAGGTCACTCCAATAGGAAGAGGCCAGCGCGAGACCAGTGTCTGCAGAGGAAGAAACATAGAGCCATTCTCCTTATTCATCACAGCGTCCAGCGCACACAGAGACAAAGCTCTATCAGCAACACTCCCTATCAGCACAGACTCAGTCCAGATGCTAGGACTGCAGGTCAAGCCCTAAGGATCTCAACGCATACAAACGTAAACACAACGCGCGGCCTGCACATTTTTCCCATTCAGTTCTAGAGCCTTCCACAGCTGCCGACCACAAACAGCCATTTCCGTGC